GTTTTAATAGTATTTTAATATAATATTGCAGTAATGCCTTGTCCACAGTCTTTTCGAAAATCGGCTTGGACACCTGTCTGTTTCTTCTTATAAGGCTCTAATCTGCAGTGGATAATTTCAAGCATAATTTTGCTAGCATGTGAAGAATGTGATATTTTGCGCATTATGTTAATTGGTTAGCCTTTAGTTGTTCTCCAGATTTGCAAGCATAATCTAATTAGAACCTTCGTGACTCTTCTTTCATTGTCTAGAAAATTTCACTAGGTATTCCATCAATTCCTGCAGCTTCTCCTACTAGAGGTTGTTGTAAGTAAGGAATGCCGATGGTGTCTTAGTTATCTGTATTGCGCCTCAATATATTCTCATCTTCCCTTCCTCTGATCGCTTTTAAATCGGTCACTGTTCATTGGGTCCTTTTGCCATACCAGTTCCAGGCTAGAATCTCATCTGAAACTCAGAGACCTTTTCAAAGAATTTCTTTATCCATATTTTTCCATATTTGATTACTAATTTAAGATCACTACTTTAAGTCTCTGCAGATGTTGTAATATAATATTCTTTCTCTCGACTCTCTGGAATTCTTTATCAAATTTTTTAATCTTTTATGAGATTTTTGTAATTCTCGGTTTTAACTTCTTGCATTGGTTATTTCAACATTTTATCCATTTTGCTTTCTGTTTATTCATTTTTGACAGTAGCTTTTCATTTTCAACCTTAATAAATTCATTCTAGCTCTCTGACACAATGAGATTCAGAGCTTAGTAGCGATAAAAATATTACACTTGAAAATTTTAGAAGATTTTCATAAGAAATCTCATCCAACGCTTTATCATCAATTGGCATAAAAAAGCCTAAATTTACCTAGGAATAGTTTCAGTTAATTCAAATAATTTTATCAGTATGGCGTATTCTTTCCGAATTTTAAATCAAATGTTAGAAAATTTGATTAAATCAGCCAGTTTTCATATTTTAAAATTTAACTTTTAATTTAATTTATCATATTTAACTTTTTTTTATGCAATATTTTAACATTTTGTGCGTTATTAGTCGTAGTTTACTTCGATAATATTTTTAATCTTGTTTTCCAACACTATTGCTAAATTAATTAATTTTTGATTAGTTGCTCTTAATAAAGGTGCTAAACACTGCAACACTGATCATCATTATCATTATCAAGATATAATATTTTTCGTAATATTAATATAATATTATAAAACAATTTTACAACCCGCATCACTGCAGCTAGAAATGCGTTCTTCTGGTTCACGAAATCTTTATGGAGCCATCGTGAAATTACCATTAAAATAAAGTCCGCATCTATGTAGCCTTGATTCGTTCGTTCTTGCTATATAGCTCTAAGACATGGCAAATGAGAGTGGAGGATATTACGAAACTATCTGCCTTTGATCACTTTTGTCTAAGGTACAAGCCCGACTAGCGGATAAAATATCATCCGCCTTCGTTCAAATACCGCTTGCATTAATAATTTTATCACAGAGCGTCGCCTTCACTGGTTCTGCGTCGTCCTGAAAGAATATCTGAAACAATTACAAATACTGGAGAAAGAGTATAGGAAATACCATGGTAACGCAAGATATACTCTCCATAGAACATACCACTAACAAATAGCTGAGGTGGTTGGCACTGAGAAATCCTATCAGAAAAAGCTGGAAGGCAGTGCAAGAATAGATACTAAGCACCAGACTCATTAAAGTAAGGATCTACCACATCAGATGGGATTCAAAGTGTAAAATAATCTCAGAAATTGATGTGAAGATGCAGGACATGAAGATGTAGGAACAGCATGCAATGAAAAGCACAACCAATTTTTTTTTTTTTTTTTGAGAGACTAGAAATAGTTAAATGATGAATAATAAAAGAGCAATAATAAAAAAATAATCACAAAAACAATTCATGCAACTCTGTTCCAGATTGAAAATCAAAGAATTTTTAAATTTCTATTGGATGGGTTTGTGCCAAAGATTGAGCCCTTAACAAATCTGCTGATATAGTTCCAATCAGTTCAGCTTCAGCTTGACAATCAAAAATCTCGCCAAGGTTTCTTTTCGCGCGCCTGTACGCCTAAAATATGCATTCACAATAATTTTATAATTTCATAAATTATGAATTAATATAAAGCTTATCCGAAATTGCTATATATCGTTACAATAATTTTTTAACAATAATAGATAAAGGATAAAAAAAAACTCAAAATTTTCTTGAAGGAGCATCTAATCTTAACAAGACAAAGGCTTTCTTGCATCCGCAACATGCTTTCATATTCTATTAAATATTCACAATATGATATGGATTCATCCTATAAAAAAATCGTGGAAAAAATTCCGAGAGCGCAGGGAAATTTTACCAGTTATTTTTATTTCATCGCTTAAATTCTTGCAATAGCAAACTAATTTTGAAAAGTATTAAAAATAATGACATTCTTCTTCTTCTTCTAACAGCTCTCACCATTACTGGTTGGGCTGGATCTAACGACTACAAGGGTAAGACGCTTCAAAGAAGCGCGGTCTGATGCTATCGTCGACAGTAATGGAAGCCATTCCTTTTTCCATCGTCTAAGTCCATATATTGCTGGTCCACCTATACGTTCAAAATCTTTTCTCACCGTATCAGTCCAGGTCTTGGCCCATCTCGCTTTTAACGCCAACGGTTTAGCAAAAAACGAAATATGCGTCAACTCCTGTGGTGAACGACGGAGAATGTGTCCTAACCAGCGAAGGCGGCGCTCTATGATAACATTATTTGTGCAAGTGGTATTAGTGGTATTTGAAGGTGGATGCGATGTAATGAGATTTTATCCACTCGGCCTTAATATGTACCTTAGATAAGAGTGGTCAAAGGCAGATAACTTCTTAATATCCTCCACTTTCATTTCTCAGAACCATATAATAAGATCGAACGGATCACGGCAATATAGATGCGGACTTTCGTTTTTATGGTGATTTCACGACGATTCCATAAAGGTTTCGTCAATCGGAAGAACGCATTTCTAACTGCCGTGATCCGAATTATAATATCATCTTTTGTCTGTCCATTTGGTATTAGAGTGGACCCAAGGTATTTGAAATCATGCACTTCCTCAACCGGCAATGAATTTATAAAAAGAGGTATTTTATCAGCTTCTTGCACATAAGACGAAAAGACTTTCGTTTTATTTACATTGATCCTGAGTCCGATTCTTGCTGCAGTTTCTGACACGTTATTTAGTATTACTTGCATTTCGTTATAACTGTCAGCAAAAAGGACTACATCATCAGCGTAATTCAAGATCTATGATACAATGCTCTGGACTAATTCGGACACCTCTTGAGTGCCGACAAGCAGTGTCCATTATCCAGTCTATCGCATAGTTGAATATTGTGGAAGAAAGGACGCAGCCCTGACGGACACCTGTTCTTATTTCGAAGGAATCTGTCAGCTCCCCATATACATAGACCTGTGCCGACGTGCGCTCATAAAATGCCTTTATGAGTCTAATGATTTTCTCTGGAACACCATTACGTTCCATCACCTTCCAAAGCGCCGCTCTATTAATTGAATCAAAGCCGCAGTCGATGAAACACGTGACAGTGGGTTGCAAATATTTGAACCAATGTTCCAACACTTTTTTTAACGTGAATATCTGGTCACCGCGCCCTGGTCCGAAACCAGTTTAATTAGGGCGCATCCTGCTGTCTCGTACTTCCATAAGTCTGTTGAGTAGCAGGGAAGCAAAAATTTTTGTTGAGACGTCTAATAGGTTAATTCCTCGATAATTGTCGCAATATGTCCTATCTTTCTTGAGAATTGGGAGCAGAATTGCTTGGCTCCAATCATCTGTAATATTTCTTTTTTCCATACTAAAGAGTATATTTGTTGAAGGTGCCCTAAGAAGGACAATGGACAGTATTTGAAAAGCTCAGCACGAAGACCATCTTCTCCTGAAGTTTTATTGGTCTTAAGCTTATGGATAACTGAAATTATTTCTTCTTCTGTTGGAGGCTCGCAATTGCAAACGTATGCTTCGGCAAACGTATCAGCTATATTAGAGGCAACAGATGGCGCTTCATGGTTTGGCCTCAAAGAATTCTTTCCATCTTATGATGCGATCCTTAATACTTTTAATTAGTACGCCATTGTTGTTTCTTACCATTTCACTGATCGTTCTCCGAGTCATAGTTGAAGAAGGGAGAATAGTTTCCTACTGTCGCCTAATCGAGTCGTCGCCTCCATTCTTGCCTTGCTGCTTTCGTTGCAAATCTTCGAGCACCCGGTAGTCAGGATCATCTGACATTCGTGCTTTGGCAGCTTTTTCAGACAATTAGACAGCTGCTTCCGATACCCAAATAGCGGACTTCCTACTAGTATGCCCTAGCGTGGAAGTGGCTGATTTTCGGAGACATTCCTTTAGTTTGGACTAGTATTAATTTGCCATTCCAGAAGAGTCATTAATATTTGTACCATTAAGATGCTTCAATAATTCGGTATGCGCTTACTATTCCCGAATTCTTTAGATAGTTTGAGATAGTTGAAGGAACTTGGGGGATGGTGTTTTCTGCGAGTTGTCAATTTTATGCGGATCATGGTTCGAACCATAACATATTCTGATCCATAAAGATTGCCCGTTTCAGTTTCGCGATAGGAATGACTATCCAGTACAGAACTCTTCCAACGGCGACTGACAAAAATATAATCAGTCTGATTGAAGTGTTGGTTGTTCGGGGAATTCCACAGGACTGTTTTCTATGATGCCGCAAGCAATTAGATCAATAATTAGTATTAATAGCAAGAAGTTCATGCTCTTCGGCATAACGAAGAAGACGTTCTCCATTGGCACACTGGTCTCCGATGCCATATTTGCCAATTGCTGAGGTCATCGCAGCTGCATTATGACTTTGCTTCATTATGCGAGCATTCCAGTCTTCCCCGATTATGATTATATCATGTTTCGGTAGAGACTTCGTTAGCAGTTGAAGTTCCGCATAGAACTTGTCTTTATCACGGTCATCTGCCGACAGCATTGGAGCATAGACACTGATGACCGAGATATTGCAGAACTTACCCTTAAAACGGGCATAGGCCATACAGTCGTTTACAGGTTTCCACTCAATCAAAGCGGAATGGGCCTTGTCAGACATGACAATCGCTACGTCATTTCGTCCTGAGTTATTCAAAGCACCACAGTGATATAACCAGTATCTCTGCTCTGAACTAGGATTAATAATTTCTCGAGACTCAAAGTGAGGAAGACGGACCTCTAACAAGCAAGCGATATCCACACGATACTTAGATAGGGTGTGGACAGTGATCGCTTGGCTTGCAACGTCAATAAGCGTTCTAACGTTCCACGCTGATACGGCTAATACCTCGCCGCGCGTGCAGAAGGCTGTTCTCCTTTTTGATAGGTATCGAGCAATTACCCTGGCTTGAGAGCATTTATTTGCCATCCTTACACATTTTATTTACCATCCTTTAAGCCCGGATTATATACTTATCGCATGTACCACCGGGTTCGAAGCATCATGCGCATCGGGAGACGAGGATGCCGCATGAAGTGTATCTGACCCTTTCACCATAGAGTTACTTGGGATAGAATTACAGATGTGTCCCCAGCAGCCATCCGGATTTTTGACATAATAGCAGGTTTATTCCTGCCAAAGATAAAAAAAAAATTAAATTAAATCTGATATAAATTAAATATTCAATATATATAACCTGTATATAATAATATATATAATATGCTATTGCTGTAAAGAACAATTAATGTTTTCTTCTGACTGTAATGATAAGGAAACAGAATAGTTGAGTGGTATGCTGGTTCGGTTAAAATCAAGCATCATGGATTGAATTCCAAATCTTCGACGGGAAAGAATCTTGAATTAAAGTGAAATCTGCTTGGCGCTGGCTTCTCCATACGTCCTCTCTATTTTTACCTGTTGTCCTAATGGCTAATGCAGCCAGGTAAACGAAAAGAATGAAACTCACAAGTGCTGAATGGAAATGTGCTCTTTGAGTTGGGTGTTATTGGAAAATATGCGAGTACATGTAGAGCAACGATGAATAGAAATTGCTGGTAACTGAACATGCTTTCGTTCATGATGCTTCCGAGCTAAATCGCCACTTTTAAACATCTAAATAAATAATATTATAAAGGAGGCTTGGAAACCGGACGGAGACCGAAATTTTTTATAAAATTTATTCATACGTGGACAGCATAAAGTTTCAATATTCGCGACTGGGAACATAATGACTGGGTGGCATGTTGCTAAGAAGAAGTCTAATATTCTAATATCACAGATTCTGCCGCTGCTTCACAACGGAATTAAGTAGCATGAATAAGTAAGTCTGAAAGTGAAATCCGACTGTTGCAGGACCTGTATTTCATTAGGGGCAACAACAGTGATTTCTCGTGAAGCAGTTCTAATAACCAGTGGAGCTAACCAAACCAGAAATGACCAAAATGTTGGTAGAACTTATATATCAAATTAAAAATGGCAAACATTGAACTAAGAGACAACTTGGAGTACAAATATTCAATAAATATTCATGAAATGCATTATAATAAACCTTTTGGCAGACACGACAAACATAGCGGCGCCCTCGTTTTAATCGTATATTTTGGTTTTTCAAGTGGTAATTCACAATATGATATTGTATATTTTGCTTAAGAGTAAATGATCTGTCGCAATGGTCGCAAATAAATCTCTTTGCACGAAAGCGTTGATAGCGTTTGCGTGGTCCATCTAAATCTATGGGCAATAGTGAATCTTTATCATTCAAATAGATTTCCTAAAAGATATTTATAATATTATTAACACTGAAATATCTTTAACTGTTTATTTGCTGTTAGCAGTTTTTTCATGGATTTTTGTTAATTTTTGTTAACCAGAATACCATATTTTCTTTTTGACAAATTTCTCATAAATTTTTCTATTAAAGAGCTAAAAACTAAAATTATTTAACTAAAATTAAAATTAACTAAAATTATTTAACTAAAATTAAAATTAACTAAAATAAAACTAAAATTATTTTTAATTTATTTTCGAGATCTCAGCCTTTTCATTAAACAATTTTACAAATTTCAAATTTTCTGGACGCAAAATAAATGTTTTGCAAAAAAAATCCTGAGCATCCACTTCTATGCCATCATTATTTCCATTATTCGACGATATCAAATCAATCCAATCATTTCTATGCGAAATGCTGAAATTCATTAGATAATCATCAAAATCATAAGTAGTTCCTTCCATCCATTCAGCGTTTCCTGCATTAAATCCTAAGTCCTTCTCGGATATTCCTTTCAGATTTTTCGAATCGTTAAAATCGCAATCCTCTAAAAAATTGTGTAAAGTTCATGAAAAAGCAAAGTTATTTATTTCATGTTGACCAGGTATCGTTATGGTATGGTTGCTTCGATTTGTAGAGAGTGTCAAAGGCTTGATTAGCCGGCTTTGATGGAAATAAACCTGCCGTTTAAGAATCCGGTAGGTGCTGGCAATCCACCTATCACCAAGCTGAAATTTAGTGTCCAGTCGACACTAGAAATTTCATAAAGTTGATTAGAGGAAATGAAACGCAGAGAAATTGAAAAATTCCAGGGACATCATTCGTTATTTGTTATTCGTTTAACGGGAGAATTCTTAGCGAACTTATCTTTTTAAATATGATTCATTTTTTAGCTTTTTTTACTAAATTAATGATTTTTGAATTTTTTTGAGCTTTGTATAGCTTTATTCGAATCACATTTACCACTATTCTGCTATTTAGTAGTCATTCGAAAGAATCATTAACATCTAATTGAAACCTTAGGAAAATTCTTCTCAAAATTTGCATTAGGCAACAACGAATTAGCTACTGATCCACGAAAAAAAACCTTTTTCACAACAAACGCATAGTTTTCCATCAACGATTGGCAAAAAAGGATCGTCTACAATTTCGCCGCCATTCAGAAATTCGTCCATATTTCTCGCAATCATTTTTCCAATTGTTTTCAAATTTTAATGGATTTGCAGATTTTTTACTGAAAAATGTTTCGAAATAATCTAATAGTGCCACGTTCACTCGAAATTTTTGTTCGATTTTTTTTAAAATGCAAATTTAAATTTGAAACTTAGGAAACCTCCTATTTTCATCTGAAATAATATTCACTATCATTCACCATATTTACCATAAAGGCTTTGAAAATTTTTAAAATTCGTCTCACAAATTAGTTCACGCAACCTCACTTCACTGCTTCTAACAGTGATATATGTTTAACTATTCAGTAGTTTAAAATGAAATAATCCGAGAGTTTCCAACGATTTTGACCTCCTGGGAGTTGGTGAAAGGGGTCAATGGACGTCGAGGGATCGACTTGCTGTTGACAGAGAGCCGCTGGACAAGTCGTTGAAATTTCAAAATATGCTGATGAAAAAAGATTCTCATGTGTGTTCCACTTTTTACTAGATTAAGGTTTTTACTTTCCCCAGTCTCTATTCTATCTATTTGAAGTCGCCGCTTTTAGCCATTTAGTAAATCATTAATTAATTAAGACAAATTTATTATAAAATAGTGTCGAATAAGTTTAAACCAGATTTAAAAATTATTTACTGCAGCAGATCCAGGCAGAGCCTTCCCGCAATAGTCATTTGTGTTTAACTGCGTCGATATGATTTGCATTTTTAATTTTTTAGTTTTCTTCGAAAAAATTATTTTATAATAATATTACATTGTGCCAAATAAATACAAATAAAAGAAGAATCTCAAGCAGATGAGAAAATATTCCTTTAAGAAAAATTTTCACGTAAAATTTTTTTGAACCCGTAAATTTCAAAAGGCATTTAGTTAATATCTTAAAAACTTCACTTTTTCGTTAATTCAAATATTATATTAATGTGCAAAATCTGCGAAAAAAACAAAGATTCTAAAGGGTTCGATGGATAAAAATATTTCTCTTGAAGCAAATTGATGGAAAAATATTTCTTCCATTTTTTCTAATGATGCAAGAAAAAGTTGGAACCCTGTGATACCACCAAGTGAATCCTTGCAAATAAAATTTGAGACATTGTTTGACTCTTTTGATTCAGAATGAAACTGGGGAGTTCTAGTTTAAGCAAAGTGAAAACTATATTACATTTAGGCAGAGAAGAGTGCTATACCCGAAATATGGGCAACGTAAATACGTAAAGAAAAATGGGCCATAACTAGAAAAATTTAATGCGAAAAAAATATTGCACTGACCGGGGTTAACTAGCTTACGTGAAGTCTCATAAATGATGCCCCGTTCATTCCCCGTTTTTTTTACATAATTTTTATGCATACTCACGCAAAATGTGCTGTTTGCCAGGAGCAATTGCAAGAAATTTCGAGATTTCGAAAGCCTACCAAAGAAATAATAAATTCAAATTTTACAGATAAATGTGCTCATGAGAGTTTTATTTCGCAATTCATGTCCGAATGTTCCCAACACTATTCGATTTTATGCCTCAACTTGGCCATATTTGAGCTTGGCCAGTTGGCCAATTCAAATTAGTTCCAGTCATATAATTTAGGTCGATACGACCCGGATTTGATTGTTTCTTGGTCCAGTCTGGCTGTAATTTTCAAATCGAGTAAACGATATATCAGTCAGTTACCTCTGTTTGATAAAAAGATGAACCAAACTCAATATTTTACGCGTTCATACTGAAACTTATAATTTGAGTCAATCTAAATTTGATCTAATTCAGAAAACTAAAAAATTTTTGCGCTGTTAGCTTTTGGAGAAATTTTAAAGCGATTTTCTGTTATTCTTATTAATTTTGCACTTCCGATTTTTTTTATGTTTGACTTGAAAGCTGAATTAGTAGTGCCCATGATTCAAGAACAGGGGCGTTAATTATGGTCTTCTTCACTGGTTCATCGGATAGGTCAAGACTCAGTTGTTTGGATCATGAACTGACATACATTTATTACAACTTCGAATCGTTGCAAAATTGAGAGAGGAGGAGAATTTAAAAAAATGGAATTTTCGTCATCCAGCGATAAGAATGTTCAAAATTCGAATGAATCAACTCTTATCGATTATTTCGTTGTCGCTGGATATGATCACAATTTAGGTCTTCAAGTAAGCCCCTTAAGTCTCTTTTAAATCTTCGTAAGTGCCCTTTGAATTGTAGCATAGATTATATTTCTGATACAATGCAATACAGTGACCCACTGGACGGCAAATGAGAATTATAGAAAAAGTAGATGATGATGAGGAGGTAATGAGACAGAGAATAAGAAAAGATGAGAAAAATGAAAAGGAAAGGGAACGAAATAACCTATTAAGAGGATATGAATCAGGAAAAAATGCTTAATTAGACATTCCACAGAGAAAGCGGAAGTAGCGAAAGTGTTTTTTAAATATTTTAATTCTTTCTTTGTTATTTTTTTGTGAATTTCTTGGAAACTACAAATCCTTTTTTAAAAATGTACGGTACAGATAATGTATAGAATATAGAATTCGAACTCATCGTATGTTAAAAAGGTACTCTTTCTTCAGAAAGACAGAAATATAATTAAGGCCTAGCTTCACTTTTTCCTGTAGGGATTGTTCTTATGATAACTTTTCCCTAATTATGTGTTTCCTATCACATCACATTTTTTTTACAAATGAGCTGAATATAAATCAGCTGGTTTTTCAAAATTTTTCTTCTGGATAATTTTGATTAATCAGCCTGTATTTTTAATTGTACAGTTGAATTTGACCTAATTTTTGAATACTTCTAACTATATCATATGTTTTAGGTGGATACAACAAATGATGGAGGAGTGGAAGATCTTTCACGACCACCACTTCACCGATCCTTTATCGCTTCGATAATTGCATATTATCCTCAGAGAAGAGCTGCTTTTCTATTCCCACAAGAAATTGTTTCGGTAATTTTATTTATTTATGGGTGAACCTAAAAATATAATAGATTCATTTTAGATAATTTTGTAGATAAGTCGAATTTTTGAAGTGAGATGAAGTAAATGAATTTCAAATGTGTGACCCATTTCAGCCTATGCTAGAAATCTGCATGCTAGAAATCAATTAATTTTGACAATTTTTTGAAATGTTTTTACTTGAAGTAATATGATACCAGTGATACCAGTGATATCATCTCAATGTGTAATTCACAAAGTTATTAATTATTATTTTCAAAATATTTTCTTAAATAAATTATTCATTCTTATTATTGCAGAAATCATTGAAAATTTTACTTTCATAACAATGATTTGATTAAATTCATTAAAAAAAAAGTTCTTTTTGAAGTATTTAGCTTTTGTTCTAAATAAATAATTGTTTACAATTATTTATGACATTTTTTCTTGTCGAAATGCGTAAAATATTTGGTAGATCTCATTTAGAATACAAAACTCTTTGTTATTTTCTTGGCTGTTCTATGATACTTTTATAAAAATTTCAGAAGCCAAAAACTAATTGAATATAAATACCGTTTTTTATATGTACTGTTTTACTATACTGTTTTATTATATATTGTTTTTATATTCTACTTTTTTTAAATTTTCTTATACTATTTATATATTCTTAGATGTACCAAGTGCAGGAACTTTAGGAAGAAGGAAATATGAGAAGTCAGAGAAATATCTGAAAAAAGAACAAAAGAAGATGCGGAAAATAGATCCCAGTGACAATTGTGATCCTTAAGTTATAAAAATGGCTTCATGCAAATTCCAGAAACATCAGAGATCTCTGTTCAGAAGAGCGCAATTCTAGGAACAACTAAAATTGCACAGATTAGATTACTTTCAATTTCTCAGGCCTTTTATAGGGGACCTGAGATTGAGGATGATCTTACTACCCATGGGTGATATTCTATATATATATATATATTATGAAAGAAGATATTCTATATATATATTGTATATTCTATGTATTTCTCAATATTTTCCACTCTCATTGACCATTTCTCGCAACTATATAGTCTTTCGTTTTGATGGTGATTTTACCATGGTTGCATAAAGGTTTCGCCAACTAGAAGAACGCATTTCTAGCTGCAGTTATCAGGGTTGTAATTTTATCTTCGTTTGGTTTGGCCATTTGTGATTAGAGTGGATCCAAGATATCTAAAGTCCCTCAACCGGCGATAAATTGATAAAAGTAGGTTTATCAGCTTCTGGTAACGAAATAACTTTCGTTTTTTTTTTTTTAAATTGTTCCTGAGCCCGATTCTGTTGCAGTTGTCTGTACATTATTTGCATCTTGTCATAACTAGTAGCAAAAAAGACCTACGTCATCAGCGTATTCGAGATACTATCCTCTGGATTTGTACATGCCGACAAGCTGAGTCCATTATTTAGTCTGTCACATTGTTTAATAATGTAAGGATGTAACCTTCACCGACACTAGTTCTTATTTCGAAAGAGTCTACCAGTTTCCCATATACAGACTTGTGCCGATATACGCTGATAAAATGCAAATAATGTACAGAAATAATATTTATGAATCAAATTCGACTCGATGAGCGGTTCAGCTATATTGGAGATAGTAGATGGCGCTTCGTGGTTAAATTTGGATTTGGCCTCAGACCTTCTTTTTGCCTTATGAGGGAATCCTTAATTGCCATAACAGGCACATCATTACTACTCTCTACCACTTCACTGATCGTTCCTTGAGTTTTAGTTGCTTTATGAAGAAAATGGAATAGCAGCCATTTCCATTGTCAAGGCCATATCGCTCTCACAGTGATTTCTATCCCGCCTCATTATATTTCTTCGAAATATCCAATTCTCTGATTCGTGCTTAGCAACATTCTTGGACTGCTGGACTTCCTTCTTCCTTTCTTCTGATGCCTAACTATCGCATTTCCTCTAGCACATCTTAGTGTGGAAGTGACAGGCGATATTCCTTTAATTAGAACCAGTATTCATTCGCCGTTCCAGAGATGTTACTGATTTCCATTTCACTTCAGTAATTCGCTTTGAAATGCACTTACCTACTGTCCTCCAATCTTTTAGTTTGAGATGGCTGAAAACGCTATTTCTTTGAGTTGTCAGTTTTAACGAATCTTGTCTCGAACCATAGCATGATTCTGAATGTTATCAATTTCAGCGCCGCAATGGGAACGATTGACTAGTACGGAATTCTTCCAACTGTGACTGACCAGGATGTAATCAGTCTAATTGGAATGTTCATTATCTGCGGAGTTTTCACATGACTAAATATCTCCTTCGATGTCGAAAACATATATTAATAACAAAAAGTTCATAGTCCTCGGAAAAACGAGGTGTTCTCCATTGGGTCATCCTGACTCGATGCCACATTTGCCAATTACAAAGTTCACCGCGGTGGTGTAGTAATATCTATGGACAGTTTCTCTTGGCAGGCTTCGAGCAATCACTCTGGCTCAAGCCTTGAGATCATTTTATTACACCCAAATTCATAATTTTAATTACTGCGTGTACCACGGAGCTAGAAGTATCATGCCCATCAAGACGAAATCCTTTCACCATAGTCACTTGGTGATAGACTCGCAGATGGGTCCTCAGTTGCTACTCGGATTTTTTCCTATCAAAGAGTGATAAAATTAGGGAAGAAAAATAAAATAGAAAGAGGAAAATAAATTTAAAAAAGCAAAACCTATCTTTAAAAAAATCAAATTAATTTTTAATTTCATTTTAATTTTATTGCTTCTGGTTTTGTTTAATTTTTCTACATACATATATATATTTTATTTTTATTTTTATTCTTTAAATTTATTTTTGTTCTTATTCTTTATTCTTTAAATTATTCTTTTATTTTTTTTATTCTTTAAATTCTTTAAATTTTAAATTTTGAAAAGGAGCTTGTTTATAGAAAATTCCGAAAGTGCGTAAAAAAACAACAGTTCAAAAATCGAAATTTTCTAACATTTTGATTACATTGGCTTTAATTTCGATTCTTTTTTGGCTTATTTTCATCATTTATTGCTTTTTTGATAGAGTTTCTATTGCACTACGTATTGTTACAAAGCAATCCCACGGACGAGAAAAAAATTTCGTTATAATGAGATTATTATTTGGATCTTTTAACTGATTTTGTTCTTTTATGGAACCAACCAAGAGCAACTTTGGAAATTTTTCGCTAACATTTTCTTTGTATTATCTTTATATTATAATTATTTCCTTCTAGATTTTATTTATCTATATTTTATTGTGCAAATATTCCCCTATTTAGTTTTTATGAACAAAAAATCTTTTAATGTTATGACATAATGTAATGTTCTAGTTATGTATGCCAAAAGGTTTGCAATTTTTTCTTCGGAATAATGTACCCAGTCCATCGGTACATACGTTCGCGAATATTCGAGAGGATGGCTCGCGACTCGATGGGTCGGCTCTTATTTATTACGAGGTTCGATTTATTAGGAGGTTTATATTTTACATCTGGAATTTTTTCGAGTAGTGGGTAATTATTACTGTCATTTTGGAGCATGGCGCTCCTCCTGTCGACTGAGAAGTAAACTTATCCTTTGAAAAACCAGATTGCTGTGGTGACCCGCCTGTACTCTCAGAAATTTATTAAGCTGACCAGCCAGAAATGGTGAGCAATGGCTCTTCGAAAAGGCGTTCTTTTCATTTTCTTCTCTTAGATTTATTTCACTTCATTTCATTGTTGCTTATTGTATGATTAATCTATCATTTAGGAAGTACGTGATGTCGCACTGCGTGAGAAGATGAGTCAGTTACACATGGAACATGTGCGTGCCTTAACGGAAAAGGGCACCGAGCGTGTGCACTTTCCTCCTGGTACTATTTCTGGTGGCACTCATACTCTTCCAAGAGGAAACAAAAAAGTCATTTAATCTTTCTTCCTTCAGAAGCTTTTTCTTAAGGTTATATAAGAGTATGTATATTTTATGCCTTCTAAAGAGCAGGATAGAATGACTCAGTGGGTTATTGCTGAATTCCTAGGGCCATGCTGAGGTTAGTTTCCCCGCTGGAGTAAACCTGTCTAAAAATCCGTATGATGCGGGCGACTCATCTGTATTTGTCCAATGCGGTAAGCCAGCGGAGCGAGTTTAACCAGTGATCGTGAGGGCTCTTAAAAAAAAGAGCAGTGATTAGATCAAAATAGTTAGGTTCGACATCGAATAATTAAAAAGTACGGAAATATTGGTAATATTTCATTGAATTTCCGAAAACTTATAAATCTTTTAGGAATATTGCTGAATCGTAGGAAAATGGCTAATATTTTTTACTTATTACATCGATTTTATGACAGTTATATAATAATTATATATTTATATAAATTATATAATATTATTTAATTATTGTATTTGCCAAAATCAAATAAACAAATTAACAATATAAATGGATTCCTGAATCTTCTACAGCAAATCTTCTTAATAGTCATTTCGTTACTATAATGAAGCAAATAGCTAATGATTTAAGTTCTTTTGAAATTTTTTTATTTTTTTATAGGATCGTGCTAAAAGAATTTCATATTATGATGCAGGTGGAAATTCTCAACTTTACATGTCGAAATGTATTTGTTTGGTGAATAGAATTCCTATAGTTTCTGCTGCTGAACATATTCTTATGGCGATTCATTCCATCTTTACATCAAATGTGCAACCTCCACCATTGCCTTTAGAAAGCTATATTTATTGGATATTAAATGAAGTTTGTTTTTTAAAACATTTTGTTTCGTTAAAAGAGTTCAATTTGTTGTACAATAAATTTTGTAGGTACCTTTACCTGCGAGAGGCAGTACACTGAAAGTTTGTCTTAATGAAGTAGATATTGTAATTCAGAGACCAGGTCCATTAGAATTACCATTTTTCGATCATTATTTGTCCAGCCTTTTCGATCTTCTCACTGTCGATAAGTTTCTTCGCCTTTTCACATGTTTTCTTCTTGAACATCAGATTCTTCTTTGTTCAAAAAGTACTTTTTCCAACTTTTTATTTTTATTTATTTTAATCTTATTTTAATATTTTATTTTAATTTAAATGTTTAAAAATATTACTTATTTTTCAATTAATGTATATTGATTACTATTTTTTTTTAAATGTTAAGCGGAGATATTCTTAAGTTGAGGTATAAAGATCATAATATTTTAGGAATTCTTCGTGTTGATTATTGCAGGTTTTTCACGGTTGATGTTGGTTGCAGAAAGTTTATGCGCATTAGCATTTCCATTTCGTTGGCAGCTTACCTATGTTCCAATATTGCCGTATTCTCAGCTGAAATTCATGGAAGCGCCTGTTCCTTTTATCATGGGTGTCTGTTATGAGGATATTATTTCTGACCAATTGTTCCAGGTTTTATTTATCTTTGTTCAAGCGTAACGAAATTTTTCCTGTTCATATGATGGTAGATTATGGCATAATATTCGTTTGTTATCGTGAAAAACTGCAATACGATCGTAGTTTGATTCATAATCTTAAACTTGAGAAAAACAATATTATAGAAAGGTTATACAAAATTAGAATAAAATGATAAATAAAGAATAAAAAATCGAAGATTATAAATTGCTGTTATCAGATTTGTCCGTATAACTTTTGAATAAGTCTTTCTTTCGTAGTGAGTGAAGATTTCAGTGACAACTTCTGAATTCATCTTTTTTCGTTGTCCTTTTGGCCATTTTTGAACAAATTGGGGTAATATTACTGTTAACTATTTTTATATTCATCGCTTAATTTTCATGAATCTTCAGTATTTCCGACTCTATTTCAGTTTAGGCCATTTAATTTTGTGATTAAACTTTTTTGTGAAATAAAATTGCGACGTAGAGGTTGCCTAAACTAATAAAAAGTTGAAATGAAATTGTTCGAGTTATCTCAAAGTCGGTAAGTGAAGCAAAAAATCTATGTCGGCATCAATTATGAGATGAATCGGCTATGATTAATGGCATACCTTTATCTGATGCCTTTTGTCGAAAATATTATTTGAAACATCTATTATGAGATTTCCACCATTAATGATCAAATGATCAAACAGCGTAATATATTTTCAAGCTGGTAGCATAGTTATCAAAGATTCTTTTATCATTTTATTCATACATAAATTATAAATTATATAGGCTTACAATATATACATGTATATTAGATATATATGATGTTTCCTATCGTATTCTTGAATTGTTATGAAAAGAAATTGATTTGCCACGGGTACTTGATCCAACAAATGAAAAAACCCAGAGAACTGGTAGCCGGAGTTCGCAAAATTTTCGACAGATACGAGTTCAGTCATATTCGATATTCAGTGATCTTTCATCTTACATCGATTTTAGTGCAATATGTGCGTTTTGGATATCGATACGGGCGATTTAAATATGCCTGAGGATGTGCCTTTATTGCCTGACAGGAGTGAGTTTGCTCGTGAGGTCGCGAATGTGCTTGTCCGGTTAGCTTATTTCAATATCTAATATAAAATTTATTAAAATTTTATCTTTGACCAATATTTTTATTTACGTGTAGGTAAGAATTTATTCATCATTCAAATTTCGTTTAGTTTTTAAAATGATTTAAAATTTTTTGAAGCTATCTTTTATCAATTTTGATACACTTTAATAAGATGGATTAGTTTATGGGAAAATTGAAATTTAGAATTGCCAGAATTTTCTTATTTTTTTAATTTTTTGTATAACGAAATTTGCGTTATGTTTTCCAGATTTGAAGAACGGATTTTTGAAGACGATGTAATTAAAAAAAGAACCACGAAAACTTGCTTAGTCAAAAAAAAAGATGATTGGACGAATAAACGGATGTCTCGATCTTTCGACGAAGAATTTTCGTCGGTGCTGTCTCAGATTGACAGTGCAACAGTGCCATTATCCAGAAATAATCTTAGCCCATTACCTCTTGATGATGTTCTCAAACAAAGCGAAGTTTTCGCGAGGTATTTTATTTCTTAAAATTTTAATGAGTTATATTTTGATAATTCAAATCAATGATTTGCATTTGCTTTTGAAGCTCTCGTTGTTATGGCGATGAAACTAATATATTTATCCTATTTCTTTACTTAGGGTAGCTGCTATTGCTCGACGTGCCGGAGTCAGTGTTCAAATGGACAGTATCGAGAAAGAACTTCTGTCTAGTGATAACTATTCAAATTCGCCAATCTGTAAAAAATATTTCAAGGTAAACCATTATAAGATCGAATTTCATCGGAGTGGTTTTCATTATTCTTAATTGCTTCATTTTGTATTCTAAGAAGTTTTTCTTTTTTGGTGGATTAGGATGATTTTAACTTAAAATTAAAATTATTATGATTTAAAATGATTTTAAATTTTCATGGCTAGTTAATTAATATTCTTCATAATTTGCAATTTATTGCTTACGCTTTGATAAATGAAAAATTTCAGGAAATGAAAATTAATAACGCAATAAGGGAAGTATTTTTAAATCGTTTCGCATGGCTTCTCTATTCATATGAACATTTTGTGATTAGTGGTGGCTACTCGAATTGCGAAGCTTATTATTCGAATCGTGATTCTGTTGCCAATTTTGATAAAGCAGCTTTTTTGTCTGATCAGCCTGATAGCAATTTGGCTTTTCTAGCTGCTTTTCTGGAAACCCAAGTGAGATTATTTTAAAATAATAAGATGTATTTATTATTCCTTGACTTTTTTATCATTTTTTTGACGTCTGCTCTGGAAACTATTTACCGGATGATGGATTCAATTCGTGGAAACTTTATTTTAAGGGCAGTAAGATTTATTTGTCTTTTAATGCTGATCATTCTTTTTTTTAAAAAGCTTTAAGAAAATAGATATTCAGATGTTCACTTCATTCATTGATCTAAAAATAATTTCTCAATGGGAGACACCAGATGAAAACCTACAAATGTTTGACGCGCGAATTCAAGCGTTACGCGAAAATCATGGTCTTCAAATGGTTCGCACTCCTACATACGAAAAAGCTTTACCTTTTATCATATCAGGTCACCTTATTTTCAGATTTTATCATTTTGTTTCATTTTCAATTTTTGTTTAGATTTACTCATAGAATATCGAATAAGTTTTTTTTTTTTCACGAAATACTTTGTATATTACAGAAATTATGGGACATTTAAATTGATAAAAATTGGATTTGTGGTTATTTGGTTCTGGCAACAAGCAAACACTTTTTTCTCTAGTGCTTATTTAACAAAATTAGATTAATACATTTAACTGCAAAAATCACGAAAAAATTAAAAATTATTGTCTATCATTATTATTATTATTATTATTATTATTATTATTAAAATTATTATTTATTGTTAAAATTTGAATATATTTGAAAAAAAAAAAGGAAAAAATGAGATTTAAATTTGATTGATGTTTCAAGATCTTAAAGTCAAATTCTTTTGACATTAGGTATTCTCATTTTAGGTAATAAACCTATATTTTTTGTAATGGTTTTGTTTTACAATATGAAAAACCCATCATATTTAGCGTGGTAAAAGAAAGTAATGCTTGAATTGCCCTAATTGACACATTATATCTTTACTTAAATTACTGTTAGAAAATTGTATAAATTGTGTAATTGTGTCTCTCATTCTAGTTATGAAATCACTAGTTAAATCGCTAATCAGTTTCATAAAAGTCACTAACTAAATCAATTTTCATATTCGGTTATAGCAATCTGGCTTAGTTTCTTTTTCTGTTGTCAGACTCTTCCCTCTCATCCCTTTCCTCTTCTTCCTCTCTTCATCACACTTCTCACCTTCAGCCTGAACAATAAAAGCAAAATTTTTGGTTTGCAGTGGCAGATTACAAATCGTTTACTGCAGTCCATTAATACCCTCAAAGATACAGTAAGTTTCCTCTAATCTTGCTAAATATTTGCTCATTTAAACATTACCATAAATTTCATTATATGATCGTAATCTCTTATTTAAGTACCATCTTGTTGACCAGTTTTTGTTACAATCCTTCACAACTTTCATTCAATTTTAAAACGCATTTTAATGCTGCTTTATTTTTTCTCTTCATCTGTTAAGAAATTGGTTCTCTTCCTTAAAGCCTTATTTTTCATTCTATTAACCTCATAGGTTAATTCTTTTATGGCACATTGAAACTTCATTCCATTGGTATTTCTTAAAAATCTGTCATGCTTTATTTCTTCTTAAGTTTTTTGATCGGCAGTATTGAAACACTTTCCATTTCCTAAAATCCCTTATTTGCTTTTTGAACAGTTCTCCAAATCCCTCCAAATGACCTTCCTTTACCATCACCTCCCATCTTGTATTCCACATTCCTTCGCTACAATTTGTAAATGGCATCATTTTAAAATTCTTTCTATGGGTTTTGACTCTCCCATATGTAGCTCCTTAGTAGCTCCATTTCTGATTTGTTTCCTTATCGCTTTGTCAGTCCTCTTAGTCTGCTTTTTCCTCTAGTTCATTACAATTGCATATAAAGTAACAAAATTTCGATGAATCGTTTGGGAAATATATTTGAGTAAATATTAAGTTTTCTATATTAATATTTATGTGAAAAAGCTCAAATTTCTTAAATTATTTTCCGAAAAAAATTTTGCTAGAATTCTTCCTAATATCCTTCAGATCACTAACCTTCTAGATCCACTCTTTAACCTTCAGGCCCAAATTTTAATTGTATTTTATCTTATATTTTAATTTATAAGTAATATTTTAGATCCCACGTCTTTCGAAGCCTTAATTTCCCCCTAACTCCCTCCGATCTTTTTTTGTACATCCCTTTGCAGTCGTCTGGAGCATTTAGACAACACCTCAGATGTGTAAATTCGTCACTAAACACAGTTAAGAAATCTCAATCGGAAACAGGAGCATGCAGAAAGGCCATATTTGATTTATTTGAAATGCACGAGAATGTTTCAATACATTAACGACTTAATAGATTCCATTGGCTGAAATTAGGTCACAATTAATCCGTAAATTTGTCGCTAAACACAGATACTGCTGAAACACTTCCCCAGGTGGATCCCTGGCAAGATGTATTAAGTGCCAGTGGAGCTTGCCTTGATCGGAAATGATAAACGATAACTAATTAATTTAAAATTCTTCGGTTTTAACTATCTATAGAATGGATCACTCTTCACTAATAATTTGCAATTTTCCAGATGATGCAATTTCGAAACGCGAAGAAGCCCTAGATTATATTGTTCCTTTGCCACATGTCTTACCTGGTGCTTCTGTTCAATTATATGATGGTACATTCCCAGAACTTAATGCATCTTTATTAGAAGGATTGGAAATGCAAAGTCCTCTTCCATCTCCATGGAAACAGCGTCATCGAAGACTTCGTCCAAAAAACTTAGACGTAAGTACTCTACAGATTCGAAAAGTGGATTTCATTAAGACAAGAAATTTTTTCAGAAGGTAAATAATTTAATACTCGATTCTCCTGCCGTTAATCGCTCGAGCACTTATATTACTGACACACCTCTCCAAATCGCTCAACAAAATTTGAAATTCGTTGAGCAATTGCTTAAAGAAACAAAAGGTTTGTTTCACTGTTTTCAAATTTTTTTAATATTACTTCAGTTACTTTAGTTTAATTCAGATTGTTTTAATGAATATTTTTAGCAGCAGTTTTTTATTATAGTTATTTTTTCCAGGAAAAACAAAACGTATGTTAGTGGGAAAAATGGGAAAAGAAGCGTTGCAGTTGGGCCATGGTGATGCTGTGGTAAATGGGCTTGAAGAAAATACATTGGTAGCTTCATTTTGCGACTTACTTGAACGAATCTGGGCTCATGGACTTATCAAAAAGCAGGTATGAAACAGCAAGGTAGCAGTAATAATAGTTTTGGCCTTTCATTTTTTTTATTTTTTTCTGTCCAGGGCAAATCTTCTTTATGGGCCCATATTTTACACCATCAAGAGCTGGAAAAATCAGGTGCTTTGACGCGGAATGCAGTTGCGCGTCATTCTACTTTTACTTCCGGTAATCTTTTATTTGATATCAGTTTAACATTCACCTTAGTTTATTTCTGCGCTATATTTTAAAATATTTTTTCATCGAATTTAATTAATATTTTTTCTTCCTCTATAAAATATTTTTTTATATTAATAGATTTTAAAGAATTTTTTTTATTCAGCATTGGCCTGGTTGATATTACGAAAGAAAATTGAGCGTAAGAACTGTAGTATTTTTTATGGAATGTTTATTAGCACTAAGCATAAGCTGGAAATTTTTTGTTTGAGGGTCGTTTTATTTTAATACGCAAAGCTTGTTATGGCTTATTTCTCTTTTTAGTAGTTTTTTTCATTGGCTAATTTTTTGGCTTTTTTCAAGGCTCTATATAACTTTATATTTTAGTAGCTTTTGTGGATTGAAAACTTGTATTTGTGCATTTTTTGTGGAACGGATTTGTGATTTTTATTTATTTACCGGGTTTGCATATCCTAAAATTTTAGAGGATTTTGCGAATTTATGATTTGTGAATTTTCTTCACAAATGATGAGACTGTCAACAATTTTCCAGTTGAAACTGCAATACATGATCTTATAAATTTTATTCTACTTTTCTATTAGCAATTCTAAGGGCTTTTAGCAGATGAATGGAGCAATAAGAAAGAGAATATTAATATGCGTCAAAATGAACAAAATATGCTATCGGAATTGGTGCGTAGTATGCAGAAAGAAATGGAAGATTCATCTGGTCCAGCTTGGTCTTTATCAATTCTTCGTGCAGCAAATTTTATTTATGATAAAATAAATGCTGTATCAACAATAGAATACCCAGTTAAAACTGTAGATACTTGTTCATCTGCCACTAATTCGTTTCTAAGTCGATCTTCATCCCTACGAAGGGATACGAAACCTGCAATGAAGAAGTCAAATTCTGTGAGCGGTGAGGATTATTTTATTGTGCATCTTATGTATTATTAAAATTAACACTGTTTATTTTTACTAAACCATTTTTATTTCTTCATTATGATTCTTTACTGGTAATTATGATTAAGTAACTGGACATCTCGTGTTCTTCTTTGATTGTTAAGGCATAATTTCTGGATTGATGGCTTTAATTGTAGAAAATTAACAGAAATTTCTTGTTTCTGGTTACAGTTCTTGTTGACGACTGAATATTTCTACATGTACTACTGGATAGGTTCTTATTATGGCTTAAAATTTTGTTTCTAATATATATAACAATTTAGAATGTATATAGTGTTTTGGTATCCTTTTTTCTTATATATTTTTTTAAAAATCAATACTTTTTAAAACTAGGGTAATTTTTATATCAGATCGGTGTAAACATTTTGCTGCATGCATAAGTTGCATATATCTTTGTCAAATATTTTGTTGTATTTTATTATATATTGAAATATTTTTATTATTTAAAACCAAAGTAGATTTTCTAAACAGAAAGCTAGTGCTTTACGATTCGCGGCGATAAAATTCACTTCCGCATGAATATTGTTGCTTCCACTGAAATTCTCTTAAAACAAGCTTATAATTACTGGGGATGGAAGAATTTTTCTCTACAAAAAATGATTTCTTATACTTGATGTAAAGAATGAAGTTTTAAGAGAATGGAAAATGCTAGTTTATTAACTTACAAAAATTTTTGATAACAATAAATAATATAGATTTCGCCCCATATTGGGTTGGAAGTGGATCAGGTGAAGTGATTGGTGAAGGGACGCCTCGTAAACGAAACTCATCGAGAACGCAGAGTCCAGATATTCGAAAAAATTTTCCTCCATTGCCAATGCATATAGCTTATGATTTAAGGTTAACTAATTAATTTGTTAATTTTTTTACTTCTTTAAAGTTTGGTTTTAAGATTGTTATCTTTTTTGATAGGAATGTTCTCCGAATGGCCGAAATAAAAACAGATATCGGTTATGCTCGGGCTTTCGTTCGTTTATCTCTTGAGCGCAAACTTCTTCATTCTCATTTGAAGACTATTTTAAGCAATACCGCTTTACTCCAGTTTGTTTTTTTTCTTTTATATTTATATTTGTCTCATATTTACCTGTAAATTTAAAGGATTTGATTGGTCCGTTAAATTTGATTTTTTTTTTATTAATACCGTGGAAAATTCGCCAAATATCGATATATCGATTGCTTCAGTAATTCAGTAATTTTTGTTACAGTTCGGAGTAACAAATATTTTATTTTGTTCTTTTCATTTATCTTTCTGTAATTTCAAAATATTTTACTACTATTTAGGCAGATTTATAAGAAATATGCTTTTTTGCGATCTGATGATGAGAAAGAGCAATTTCTTTATCATATATTATCATTAAATGCTGCCGAGTTTCGATGTTTCACCAATACATTTTGCAAAACCAGTTGGTTCTCTTTACTCTTTCCTCAGCTTCGTTTCTTATAAGCAATTTCTGATTAGAAATTCATTGAGTTTGTAAAAAATGATTAATATTAAGTAAAATGGTTTAAAAGACTGGCTATGGTATTGTGAAGGTCGGTAAAAAGTTGTCTTATGTGTTTATTTTTTATTGCATTAAGTATAAATTATTATCTCATTGACTGCTTTAAGCACAGCATGTAGTAATTTTAAAATTTGTTAAATTTCTAGTTTCTTCTTCTTTTAAAGTTCTCACCATTAGGCTGCTTTTGCTAGTTACAAGGGTTTCCTGGTTCCAAGATTTGTTACCATTGTAGTAATAAAAGCCATTGCTTTTTCCACCTTTTAAGTCCATATATCCTGGTCCTCTTCTACGTTCGAAATCTATTTTGACTTTATCAATCTAGATCATGATTGGTCCTCCTCGTTTTTGACACGATACATCACGAATTTAGCAAGTAATGATATATTTGCCAACTACTGTGGTAAGCGACTTGTCATATCCATCGAAGATCGTAATATTAATGCAGGTAAGGTGGCATGTGAAGTTTTGTTCGCTCGGCGAGCCCATAAAAGGCATTAAACATGAGTGGTCAAAGGCTGATAGCTTCTTATTATCCTTTACCCTCATTGTCCATGTCTCGCAGCCATACAGTAAAATTGGGCGAACTGTATAGACTCGGATTTTCGTTTTTCTCGTGATTTCCAATTGGGATTAAAGTAGATCCAAGATATTTAAAATCGGGCACTTCTTCAACCGGCACTGAATCGATATAAATAGGTATTTTATTAGCTTCTGGTATAGAAGATTTAAATAAATAAAACGAAAAGGCTTTCGTTTTATTTAAATTGATCCTGAGTCCTTTTTTTCATTTCATCATAATTATCAGCAAAAAGGGCTACATCATCATCAGCGTATTCAAGATCTGTGACTCTGTGCTCTGTACAGATTTATACACCTCTTGAGTGCCAGCAAGCGATATCCATTATCCAATCTATCCCATAATCGAATATTGTAAGGAAAAGAACGCAGCCATAATGGACACCAATTCTAATTTCGAGGAAGTCATTTTCATTTCCCCTCATACACAGATCTGTGCCGACGCTGATATATTATCAAATATTTTATCTTATATTTATATTTTATTCAAATATTTGATATACAATATTAATATTTATCAAATATTTTATGAGTCGAATGAATGTCGCATTCCACCCTTCTGTCTATTGAATCGAAGGTAGCTGCAAAATCGAGACGAAACGAGACGAAATGACGGACGGTGTGTTGCCGGTATTTGAAGCGATATTCCTATATCATCCTTAACGTAAAATGTCAGCACAATTGCTTCTGGTTTGAATTCAGCTTGATTAGTGTGCTTTTTCGTGCCATAAAATCTATTTAGTAGAAGGGTAGTGAAAATTTTCGCTGAGACGTGAAGCAGGCTAATTTCTTGGTAATTTTCCTGTCATTTTGCTCAATAATTCGGAACAGAATTGCTTTGGTCCAGTCATTTGGTATTGTTTCTTTCTTCCATACCAGAGCGCATATGTTATGAAGGACGACACTTAAAGAGTTCAGCAGGAGATCATATTCTTCGGGAGTTTTATTGGCCTTAAGCTTAAAGGTAACACAGATTATTTCCTGTTTTCTTGGCGGTTCGCACTTATAAACTTATGGCTTTATTAGCGAATTAGTTATGAGCAGGACAACAGATGGCGCATTGTGGTTAAATTTCTCGTCGAAAAATTCCTTCAACCTTATGAGGCGATTCTTAATAGCTTTAACAGGCACACCATTGCTATACCGTCCCATTTCACTGATTCGCCGAGTTATAAATGCTCTATTAAGAAAGCGAAATAGTTTTCTATTGTCGCCTAATCGTGCTGACGTTTCATACTCTTCAACAAAACAAAGACGTTCTCCGTTCTGGTGTATCGGATCCTTATACCATATTTGCCAACTACCGGATTTGAGTGGCATCTTCTTCTTCTTCTTCTAACAGCTCTCACCATTACTGGTTAGGCTGGCTCCAACGGCTATAAGGGTAAGACGCTTCCAAGCGGCGCGGTCTGATGCCATCATCGACAGTAATGGAAGCCATTCCTTTTTTCATCGTCTAAGTCCATATATTGCTGGTCCACCTATACGTTCAAAATCTTTTCTCACCGTATCAGTCCAGGTCTTGATTGGCCCACCTCGCTTTTGACGCCAACCGTTACACGGTTTAGCAAATAACGAAATATGCGTAAACTCGTGTGGTGGACGACGGAAAATGTGCCCTAACCAGCGAAGGCGGCGTTCAGTGATAACATTATTTATGCAAGTGGTATTTGAACGAAGGTGGATGCGATGTAGTGAGATTTTATCCACTCGGCGAACCCGTAATATGTACCTTAGACAAGAGTGGTCAAAGGCAGATAACTTCTTAATATCCTCCACTCTCATTGGCTATGTCTCAGAACCATATAATAAGATCGAACGGATCACGGCAATATAGATGCGGACTTTCGTTTTTATGGTGATTTCACGACGATTCCATAAAGGTTTCGTCAATCGGAAGAACGCATTTCTAACTGCCGTGATCCGAATTATAATATCATCTTTTGTCTGTCCATTTGGTATTAGAGTGGACCCAAGGTATATTTGAAATCAGGCACTTCCTCAACCGGCAATGAATTTACAAAAAGAGGTATTTGATCAGCTTCTTGCACATAAGACGAAAAGACTTTCGTTTTATTTACATTGATCCTGAGTCCGATTCTTGTTGCAGTTTCTGACACATTATTTAATATTACTTGCACTTTGTTATAACTGTCAGTAAAAAGGACTACATCATCAGCGTATTCAAGATCTATGATACGATGCATTGGACTAATTCGGACACCTCTTGAGTGCCGACAAGCAGTGTCCATTATCCAGTCTATCGCATAGTTGAATATTGTGGAGGAAAGGACGCAGCCCTGACGGACACCTGTTCTTATTTCGAAGGAATCTGTCAGCTCCCCATATACACAGACCTGTGCCGACGTGCGCTCATAAAATGCCTTTATGAGTCTAATGATTTTCTCTGGAACACCACGTTCCATCACCCTCCAAAGATTTGAGTGGCATCATGATCGCGTGAATTCCAGTTTTCACCGATTATGATCATTATCATATTTCGATAGAAGTGTTGTTAGCAATTGAAGTTCCGTATAGAACTTATCCTTATCACAGTTTGCAGATAAAGTTGGAATATACACATCTAATGACCAAGATATTGCAGAATTTTTTTTTCTTTTAAAGATAAGTATAGGTCATATGATCGTTTACCGGTTTCCACTCAATTAAAGCGGAATGGGCTTTTTCAAATATAACAGTCGCTATACCATCTCATCTCGAGTTATCTGAGACACCACAATAATAAAACAGATATCTCTGCTCAAAGCCGGATTTTAATTGCAGAAGATCGAGAGTGACGAAGTGGACCTCCGACAAGCAGGCGACATCCACACGATATTTAGAAATAACGTAGATAGTGATCGCTAGGCTTGTAACCTCCATACACAAAGGGCCATTTTTTTTTACAGGTTTCGACCAGTTGGCATGGCTTACGGATATTTTATTCACAAATCTTGAGATTATTTTACATCCAGATTGCATCAACCACCAGGCTTCAGGTATCATGCGCATTAGAGGACGCGTGCGCCAAGAGAGCCAGATCCTTTCACCATAGAATCACTTTGGGACAGAATTATAAGTGAATTCCCAGTAGCCACTCGGATTTTTTAGATAGGTCGGGTATTCCCCATTAGATAACATAACAGGTTTACTGCTGTCGAATACAAAGAGGAAATTCGTTAGATGAAAAAAATTAAAAAGAAAATCTCCATTTCATTCCATTCTTTTATCTATGATAGAATATGATATTCAAGCTTCTTCCTATATATATGAATCTCTTAGTGATAGAAGTACAGGTAACTTGCCAGCACTAACCGGATTTCTTTGAAATATTTAAAAGTTTAAAAATTTAGAAATGTTCTATCGTGTTTTGTTGGTGATGGGGAATACCCGATCTGTTATATCATGTCCTATATTTGTCGTAATCGCGGGTTCACTGTGTTCTACAACAGCGATCGAAATAAAGCAGAATATAATTGACTTTAAATTTGAGGTGAAGAATTTCTATCTATAATTTAAATCTAATTTAAGCATTAAATATATTATCAAGTTAAATAAATTAGTAGAAATGTAATAATTAGGATTTTTCCCATTCTATATTATATGTGATTATGTCGGGTTCGTCGATAGTGTAGTGAGAGGTGTATCGTCTGTTGTGTGCGAGACTCATGTTCAATTCCCGACCGAGGTGTACCAGAAATTTCGCATTATATTTAAATGGTGTATCAATACAGTGGCAAGATAATTGCTACTGAGGATCGAGACTTGGGTTCGGATCTGCCGACGCACCGCTCTTGGCTGGGCGATAGTGTTTGGCTAATAGGTTGCCTAATGGAGGAAGATTTGGTTAAATTAGAAGCTGAGGTTCTAATCCAAGCAGAAATAAACCAAAAATCCGGGTGTTGATGGCGATTCATCTATCATCAAGGGATTCCTGGCATGTTTCCTTTGTCCGACAAGTCAGCGGAACGGGTCCAACCAGTGATGGTGAGTTAAAAAATATGGCATTCAGTAGTAACATTCAAGTGATTTATTTTGATAGTAATAGTAAAAATATTCTTTTATGTTATATATTAGTAAGTATTATATAGTAAGTATCATATTCTTTTCTTTTCTGTTTAAATTTAAATTTAAATTTTTATTTAAATTTTTTTTAGCATAAAAATTTGGGCATTTTATCTACTCTTCGCGTCGGTCATAATGAAAAAGATATGCAAAGTGGTCAACCTAAGTGGTTTTTAGATTATGTAAGCTTCTTTGTTTTTGTCGTTGTTTCTGTTGAATCATGGATTCTCAAAGAATTTACTTGTTTTTCTTTGTTTATCGTATTTTTTAAAGATATTGGTTCGAAATGAAATAACAGGACAATGTTATCGTTTTAACTGTTGCCGATGGTTTGGCAAAGGTGTTGATGATGGTTCATTGGAGAGATTGCTTGTTGCAGAAAAATTGCCTCAAGTGCGAAATTTTATTGAAAACTTGTTGCTGATAATTTCTTTTTTTACTTTAACATTTATTCCTGATCATCTTTTAATTTTAGTTCTTTTTTCATTATGGAAAGGAAAAAAGTTTGATTATGTTTCTTTAATGGTAATGCTGTTTTTCATTTCTATTTGATATTGGAAAATAGATATCATATTGTTGAGCAATTGATATCGTTATTTTCACAATAAAACTACTCTTCTTGTTTAATTGAAAACTTAAGGTAGATCCAGATGCAGATATTTTGCCACAAAATGGTTATGTTGATCGGCATATCAAAGGATACTCTCGTAGCAGGACTCCTCCTCGCACGCGTTCGCCAAGTACTGGGAGATCCGATTCAGCAAATTTAAAATCCAGTTTGTTTTTAGCTTATGCTTCGAATTTAGGTGAAATTCTTACTGGAAATCATTCAGGAACACGATTGACCGAAATTCAGCAGTTACTAGGAGAGGCAGTTAACGCAATCGTCAAGCACTTTTATAATGGAGTTGAAGCTCGAAGCGAACTTACACAACTATTATGTGCTCCAGACAAAGGTCTCGTGAGTGTGATGGTTTCTGTCTTTTTGTATGGTCGTCAGGACTCTATATGGTCAACAAGATTTTTCCGCCAGCAGTTTCCGTGGGATTATGTTGGTTTGTTTTATATAATATTTTTTATCAAATTTTAACCATCGTATAAAGATTTTATTATGTGCTTTGAATTAGTGGCTTAGTTATTACTTTCATTGTGCGTCGATATTAAAATTCTGTTCCAGATAGGAGTAAATCCGTTTTTCGAAAACCCAGGTAAAGTTGGCGACTCATCTGTATTTCTGCGATTTGTCTTGTTCCACAAGAGCAAACACTAGAGCGAGCCAAACCAGAAATTGTGGCCGCTTTAAAAAAAATATAATTTAGATGTCGGTCAAGATATCTAGCATTAAGCATAATTTGTTGGTAAAACAAATTTGGTTTAATTTTTAATATCGTTTAACTAGCTAAATTCCAAACCTAATTTTGTTTTGAGGAATTTTTTTAGGTAACTTTTTTTGAAATAGTGGTTAGGTAAGGTTCTGTCTAATTTAAAATTTTCTTTACAAATTCTTTTTTTATTATTTCAGAAAAAGTTTTTATTTGGTTTTATGATTTATTGCGTATGGAAGACTCAAAACAACTAACTCAAGAACAACGAGCGCTCATAATACACGCCTGTCGCCTCGTTAGACGTATATCGAGTAATTCTTCACTCGGGAAAGATGGAAAATTCCAACTTTTTATAATTACTGCCATACGGTTAGGGCTCAAAATTTCAATAAATTCGTGTGTAGTTATTTTCCTGTCATGATATATATATATATATATATAATGTAAATATACTGGTATGTTCTAAGCCATGCTAAATGCCAAATTTATAAAAAAATCAAAATTTAGAAAGATAACTTTATATTTTATATTGTAATTTATCATTGTATTTATACATTAAGAAATTTTTTAATTTATAATTTACTTTTCAATGAAGTTTTTAATTTTTCTTCAGTTGCAGTGATCATGTACTTTCCGGCTTGCTTCCATTAATGGCTTGGACTCCAATTACAGCTCAGTTGTATGAAGAACTCTCTTTTTTGCGCACACCGCACTACCTGAATTATCTATCAAAATTATTAAACTCTCTCAATGAATATAACTTTGACCTCGAGAAATCATTGACTTATGGAATAGATTAGTGCTTGCCTTAAAATTCATACCTTAAGTATTTTCTGCTCACATATGTAAATATTTGTTCATGGATAGTAATATTTTGAGAATATTTTTTTTATTTTTGTTTCATATTTATGTATATTTTGGAAAAATTAAATGAATTAAAGCTTTTATTTGATCTTTTCAGAAAGTTGATTCTTTTTGTCTTTGTCTTTTTGTTTTATATGTCAAGTAATTAAATATAAGGAAGTATTTCCTTTGGTGTAGTATTTTATAAATTTTACGATGCTGGTGGCTCTCATTTAAATAATCATCAGATATAAGGAGATTTTGATGTAGATTTGTAAAAGCTGATAGGCTAAAGAATTTTTTGCACTTTTTGTTTGCTCATTTTTCAAATATTTTCTATTGTTCGATGCATCTTCTTTGGTTAGCGAATTTGGTGGATATATTAAATCGTGCAATAACAGGTATTAACATTTATATATATTTTTTGGTGATACTTTTGGTATGTTTTTATATATTATCTTTGTATATTTTTAATATTTTAAAGCTTTTAATCCAATACATATTTTGCTTCATCCTTCGAATGATGGATATTTTTCTATATTTTTTATTTCGAACTTGTCCTACAGTTTTCCGCAAGGTTTCTTTGATCTTTTCCCTCACTTAATCGCTTCATTTGAAGGCTTTTTTTCAGCATTATATATTTTATCATATTTTTATAATACAGTGAGAAATCATCGGATTGATTTTAATGGGTGTCGAGTGTTTAATTTGTTGGTTAAAGGTTTATTCCATTTTTGTGGAAACAAAAGATTGCCTTGACGGAACGAAAAACAAAAGCGAGTGATATTTTTCGTTTCGGATTATGATCATCTTTAGCACTTATCTACGTATATCTACGTATAAAAGTGGTATGGCACTACTTCGGCTGTAGAGATCTACGGTTTGTTGGAGCGATCTCTAATGTCGAATGTCGAATGTCCCGAACAGAGTGGGAATCTAATCTCTCCATAGGGAGGGAGACAAAATCGATAATTTTTTTTACAGGCTTATAAGCTTTTTCATTTTGGGAAGTGCTGGAAACGTATATATCGGAGCTGGCAGATTTGTTTTGGAATTCATGTAAGATAATAATCTGTCAATAGGGTAATTACCGCCGATTTGTTGCTGGGAGTAATTTTCAGATTTTTTTTTAAATTGAGGTGGCGGAGCGCATTTTTTGCGATATTTATGATCGTAATCATACGTGAATATTAACAAGCCAAGTTGCGAATGTAAAGCGATTTTTCTGGCTCCTTTTAATTTCAGTTTAATTTGTTCATATTTGATTTTCCCTTTCCGGAGAACTGTCGCTTAAAAGTTTTACTTTTTGCTCGCAAATTTCCTGCGATAGTTTCTACATGGAACAGCATCCGACTGCGTTGCGAATCGGCTCAGCACTGTCCTATGCTCTTTGCTCTATTTTCATTGTTTTCGTGAATAAAATATTGCTTACAAATTACAGGTTTGTTTTTTGAATCGCTTATTTTGCACTGCTATAGGGAATAAAAGTAGTTTATATGAGCATTTTTGCTTTTGTTATAAGTGAAGGTAATCATATGGGGAAAATAAATTTGCTTTTATCAGCTATAAATATATTTCAAAATTGCAGGAATGATGTGGAATATCAAACATCTTTGCAGCAGCTTTCCTAAATTCATCTATTTTTAGATTTCCGTCTTTTTTATGTGCAGCGATCGGGCAAATGCTTGCAACTGTTATAATTATTTTTTTCGCTTCATGTTTTCACATAATTACTCTGCCACCATTCACTTTAGTGGTAATTCGCAAGGTTAACTTTTAAAAATATATATTTTCGACAAAATTTAATATCATCGAATGTGATATAAGTACAATTTTTACAATTTAGTTTGTTTAATCTTGGAAAAAGTGACTCTTCGCTGACTTTATAATTTTTGTATTTTTATAATTATTTAAATTTTTCTTGAATTTCCGGTTATTGTTTTTTATAGGAAAAAATTCACTGAGCTCTTTTTGAGTTTAATCTTATAGTGTTTATAATTTTTCTTTGCAGATTTTTCCTTTGCCATTATTTTATGGAGGAAATTTAATATCAGGACTTGGAGGAACACAAAAGATAAAGCAAGTTTATTTCATCTTTTTGAACTTATAAATTCTCAGAAAAATTTTGTTCTGATAGTGCTTTGTGCGTTTTTTAGAGAAAGGTGAATAAAAACATTTTTATAGTTATTTTGTTGTTTCTCATTTTTTTCATTTTCAGTCTTCCTATGTTCACTGTTTTGCGGCGATTTTCGATACTTATGACGATGATTATGGAATATTTAATTCTCGGGTTTGCATTAATTAATCATTGCTTTTTCTAATTTTAACTTTAAATCTAAGAAAATTATATGTTTATATATATATATATATATTTTTGTATATTTATGATTATATTTATATTCATACTTCGTTCAGGACGAAGGCTTCGTTTGCTGTACGAGTATCTGTTGCTATGATGATGCTTGGATCAGTTGTCGCTGCATTGTATAAATTTTAATTTATAATTCTTAAATTATAATTAAATTTAAATTATATAATTCTTTAGTTTCGTAATCTGAATCTGAATAAAATTTTATTAATTGGTTTATTATTGTTTGGATACGTGGAAGAAGTGAATCGAAACATTACACTTTAAGTATTTATCTTGTAATGTTTTTTATATGCATTAAAAATTATTAAAAGGAGGTTGTTTTTAAGATATGATTTAACATTCGACGTTTATGGTTATTCTCTTATAATGTTCAATGATTTATGCACAGCTGCTAATGGTGTATATATGAAGCGAAAATTGGAAGCAAAAGTTTATCATTTATTTCAGTCTTTAGCCGTCATTTACTTTATGGGAAAGTCGCTATATTTCGCACATAAGATTATTGTTTAAAGGAATTTCAGAATTTTTAGAAAAACGAAGTCCATTAATTTTTGGGATATTTGTTGAGATCGATATGAAAATAGAAAATCAAATATCTTAGCCTTTTTTTATTTAAATTTAGATTTAAACTTAAATGAAATAATGTTGTAGGAACTTGGTAAATATGGTCTTTTATTCCATAATTCATTATTGATGATTGTGCCATCAATTTTGATTGCATTTTTTGCCGATGATTTTCAAAAGGTTTTAAATTAATTATATTTTATTGCCATAGTTTATCATTTCAGGTAGTATTATTTTATTCTATTTTCGTTTCTTGTTAGTTGCCTTTTATCTCTAATTTTGATTGATTTAACTTTATTTAATTTTGAAATGAGAAGTAGTGGTTGATTTAATATCTTTTGAATTTTTTACTTGCATATTTTTTCATTTTTATCTTTCATTATTCAGTAATTCAGGTGCGAGACTTTGTTGCTGCCGGTCATTTTACGTTTTCGGTTGCTATTTGCTTTATATTATCTTGTGTTTGTGGTTTCGCTCTAAATTATTCCACTGTTATTTGCACGCATTACAACAGTGCCCTCACTACTGCATGTGTTGGGCCAATCAAGGTTTGCGTATTATATTGGTTTTGTAAACCTTTGTTAGACCATTGAAAGTTTGCAAATTTGCAGTAGTGCTTTCACAGGACCAATTTATCGTTTTGAGTGAGAAAAATTTTTTAAATACTGTGGACACCTGAAGCCGAAAAACTGGAATATTTGCAGAATCTTTTTGTCACGTATGTTGGTATGTTTTCCTCTGGCGATTATATTTTTGCTTGGAACAATTTTCTTGGAATCAATATTAGTGTAGTCGGAAGCATTTTATATGCTTACGTTACGTTTCGTATAAAAACTATTTCAAAACAACGTTTTGTATCGGCATCAGCTCAAAGTTCCGATTTCGAACCATTAGTTTCGAAAGAAATTGATCAAGCTGAATTAAATACTAGCAATTAAAGATATAGGAAAATTCTTGCTCATTTTTTTTCTAATAGGTGTTATAATCGAAAATCTGTGGCTTCTATTTTTCTATGTTTTTAATTTTTAATTTTAATTTTTAATTTTTACTTTTTTCTTTTTTTTATTTCAATTTAATATTTAAACAATGCTGGTTTTAAATTTAATTTGCAATTTACATTGCTTATTTCCCCAAGTAGCAAGGTGATTTTTTTTGCCAATTAAGCTTTTCTCATCTTTACTGGTTACGATTTTGATATATTTTATGCATACAATTTTCGAATAAAATTGTCAGCATTGTCAAAAACATAATAAACTCTGTGTTCCTCAATTTTTCCCCAAATTTTAGAGTATGACACAAGCTGTTAAGTTAATTTATTTTAATTTAATTTATTTTACATTGCTTATTCATTTTTCAAAGACGTATATATATATATATATATATACCAGCGTATGTTTTGCTCATAAATCTTCCAAAGTTTTTCTTTTTCGATGTCTTATTTTATTTTTTCTTGTTTAATTAAGACATTTCATAAAGAATCAAGCATTTTAATTTTTTTGCTCCTATTTATTCACTCCCAATTACCGAATTACTACTAAATATTTAATATTTCTTTGGTTCGATTCATATTTTTGTCTCCATTTTGTTAGCTTTAATCTCTCAATTCATATTTCACTGTTGTCTTAATACAAAAAAAAGTGAAGATGAAAGATCGGCTTGTTAATGAAATATTTAGCATAACACCAACCTTTGAGTTAATTTGATTAGTAAAAAGTTTATTTCAGCGGATATAAATTAGCGGTTACTGTAAGTTATAATACAAAGATCGATGGATATATTTTGGCGAATAAATGATAAAAACTAAACGATATGAAAGAATGGTACCGAAAACTGGCAATAGGAATATGAGAAATATGAACTTGATGAATTCCGCCGGTTCAGCCATTGAAAAGCGCGACAACCATTGAAAGTTAAGTTATGTCTGAATGAGAGCTGGAAGAATGGGAATTAATCCTAGATGTCAGGAAACATTTAACTATGAAATTGCGCATCCTAGAAATAAATTAAAAGCAGTTGATAGAGAAGCACATCCATAATATACACATTCACAGAATGATGAATAAGCAAGAAGAATGAAGTGGTGTTCCATGATCGAGCAATGCCTTAGTGATTGCAAGCACTCGCTTTTTCTGATTTCTGCACGACTTCTAAATACGAATCAAGGGGGTTAGATCGCTTGAAATATAAAAATTTTGCAAGCGAGGTCGAAATATTTTAAAATCACTGCAAGGGGACCATTGCGTTGCTACCCATTTTAGAACGCATTTCACCTGCTAGCAAGGGATTTATCGCATAAAGCCAGTCGTACATCTATAAAATGAAAAATTAAAGAAAAATGAAATGAAAATTTCAAACGGAAATATTTGAATGTTCAAACTATAACTTTTTATAAGAAAAAATAAATTGAACTGTTTTAAAAGAAAGAAAAATGAAATGAAATAGATTCAACATAAATTCAACCAACCTGACCATCCGTGATTTGCATCAAGAAACCGCGATGGTTCGTGCATACTGAAAATGTGTTCGGAACTTTGAGCATTGCTTGTTGGTCTTCAGAATACTCAACCCGAGCATTTGCTAGATTGATGACACCTCGAATAACCTAAATTTAAGCCAGAAAGAATTAGCTAAAAACTTAAATGTGAATGTGAAGCAGGAATTTAGAAATTTGCGCTAAAACCTAATTTAATTTTCATTTCTTGCTTGGTTTAAATTTTTTTAGCATCTAGCTCGATAAATTATATAACACTATCGTAGTAGATTTATAAAAGTCGAACCAGATCACGGTCATCGCGGAAGAGAAGAATATAGGGCCTTCGAACTACTACCCATCGTTTCACCCATCCTTGTGTTTTTTCTTCCAGGAAGTTCATGTAACCTTTTTTTGAAACAACAAATCCTACTCGCTCCTCTGTTACCTGGATTTTAATTTGCATATAATTACATTAATTTTGTCTGCTCTAAGTACAACTTTTAAGTGAAGAAAAAATTTACTGAACCACATATATATAAAAGATTTATATTTTCTATTTTGTTTTAGAAATAAAAGTAAAAGTGTGAAACCTCCGGAATAAGCAAAGACATATTTGAAATTCGACTTCCACTCATCGAACGTTTAATTCCACTATCAGTATCACAGCAACCTTCTGGACTTAGAGTTAGGCTTGTGTTTGATCTAGATTTCATTTTTGCAAGGATTTCGAACGATGGCTTTGTCAAATCATTTCTAAAAGGTAATGGTATCAAAAGCGAATTTCAATGTGAATTTCAATATAAAATAAAATTCGCCAGACTCGACATGCTTTCAAAAACAAATTTTTTAAGTTTTTTAAATTTTTATTTTAAAAGAAGAATTTTATAAGTTTCACGATTTAACTGAAAAATTTTCTTTAAAAATCTCAAACTCTGAACTTTTCTGAACTTGGACTGGTCAAACTTTCGGTTAATGATGAGGAACTATGATCGCTTTGTTCCATTATCTAGAAAAAATTTTAAATAATTTTTCCCATTTCCATTCTAAATATCTTTCACTAAGTATTAATAGGAACACAATGATGCTGCTGCAGACCCAGTCCCACTTTCAGCTACGGAGGTGTCACACTAGCGGTCAAGACGTTGACCAAACTAAAAGTGAAGAAAAATAAGGATTATTAGAAATTTAAAAAATTCTGATTATACAGCACACTTCTTCCGATGCCACAGTTTAGGAAATTGTATGTTAAAATATAAATTAAAAAATTTGGTTAAAGAAAGATAAAATCCACAGAGAAGTTTTAGATTTGATAAATTTCAAATTTAGATAAAATTCTAAAATTGAAAAACGAGCAAACCTTTCCAGTTGGAGGATCTTTATTCATGGGCACTCTTTGTTTTATCAATTTTATCACTTTTCTTACAATGTTCATTTCTTTTTGTGTAAATTTCACCTCCGATGGAATAAGTCGTTTTGGCGTACAAGGCGAGACTGGTGTAGGTAAATCATTAGAGTCATTATTCTTCTTCTTTGCAAATTTAAGTTTTGCTCGAAGTCTTAGGAATAATCGTACTCTTTCAACCTGAATAACATTTTAGTACGTCTCTAAAACTATACTTAACATGCTTTTAGAGCTTTAAGTGGCTCCCAGGCAAAAATTTATCATCATATTCCAGTAGAGGAGAAAGTTGCATAATGATGTCGTTATGATTCGTTATGATCTCCGTCGAGCATCGTAGATTCGATTATCTGCTCTTTACAAGAGATACGTTAAAACTTGCCACGCTGAAAACTTCGGGTGTTGCTGGCGACTTAATCGTATTTCTATTGATGAATCCATGGCAAAAACTTTCATGTCAATATCAGCATTCAGAGGCTAACCGGTGATAGTTAACTACCTTTCTAAAGATACCAACCATAAAATATTAGATAATTAAAACCAACTTGTTGTATGCGACTTAGCTTGTCTAATTCAAACTGATGCTCGAATATTAATGAATCACCACGTGGACGCCACAGTCCTAAATTTTCTTCACCACGCACATAAGCTGAAGACGTATCCAACACTCGACGTTGACGACGAACAGCTCCTTTAAAATTATAAGTTTAATGCTTAAAATATATCAACGATACGAAAATTCGCGCAATCGAAATGCATATGAATGCATCAAAAAATATATTTTCTCTTTCCTTTTATAATTTTTCACCTTTACGTTTCCCTATAAATTGAGAATTATAATATAAAACGAAAAGTGAATTGGCGCGACCGCACCTGGACTACCTGTATCCAGAGCTTCCTTGAATGATAATTCATATACTCCGGGTACACGGTTCATTTCAGGACTTTTGCTTATACCTCCAATCAGTGATCGACAAAATCTAAAAATAGGATTTTAAACAGAATTTTTCAGCAATCCATAAATATGAAAGTTATATGGTAGTAAACGAAGGGCACCATTTAAGAATTTACCTGCTAGCAGCCGAAATTTTCGAATCCCTCGCATATATCATCATACTTAAATCCTTTGTTATAACAGCTGGTTGCGCACAATTCTCTAATTCCATATATGCTGATAATGTCATATAGACTACTTCTCCATAATTGGATACCTTATTTAGAAGAGGAGAATTGTGTAAAGAACTATCCCATGCAGCTTCAAATTGGAAAAATACCCTTAAAAGTTGTATATTATCAAAAAATTCATAAAATTTATAAAATACTGAAGACATCAGAATTAACATAAAAAATCAAAGTGCAAAAGCTTGAAATTTTGCCACTTTATGCCGTCTACTAACGATCATGCTATGATATTTTGTCCGAATAATAAAATGTTTATAAGAAAAAAAATCCAATTAATTAAACTTGGAAAAAACCACTAAAATTATTATTATCGACTAACCTGTCATCCATTGAAAATTCTAAAAAAGTGCCAGGGAATAATCCAAGAGACAGAACATCAATATCTTCACCATTCCATTCCGGATTCGTACGGATTCGACCAACAACTAGTTCCTGACAGTCTCGCCATTTAACATCGTCTCCTTTTTCATGACATATTGTCATTTTCAGCCGCCTTTGAATTCCTTGGTGCAATAAAAATATTCCATGCGTTGGTAAGCCTAAAAATATTGCATAACATCAGACGTATCATATTAAATCGATACCGATTCCATATATTACAAAAATTTTTATTTTTTTCTAAACAGTTAACTATTGCTGAATATATAAATATACGATTTTTTATGTTAGAATTCTCAATTCTTAAGTATTTGTGATAAGCTCTATGATATCCGATTAAAAACAATATGATCAATAACGATAACATAGAATCCACAAATATACTTATTTTTCTACTTTTTCTATAGCCTAATTTCTGGTTTTACTATTAAGAACAAAATCATATCAGTTATGCTTAGTGTAAAATGGTGAAAAAATGGTCTATAGAAATAATTACGAAGATGGTATACACATTTCAATAGAATTTTGAACTGAAATTTATATCCTCTGTAAATGCTACCTTGAGCATGATCAACAATAGCTGGTACATATTCACCATTACCAGCCAATTCACAAATTTCAAACCAAACAAGCAGGTCATACTTCGAATGTATCTGATTCAAACTGAAAATATTGGGAAACAACCATAAAAAATAATAAGACCTTGAGGAACGATTAAATTATCTATATATAATAAAATAAAGCGGGAAGGCGATCAGAATAGCAGAATGTTCATATTATCGGCTCGAACGTCCAGGTTTGGATTTGATTCCAGCAGAAGTAAACTGTCATTAAAAATAGGTTATGCTAGGTGTCCATCCACACTTTTATACCTAAATGACTCCCTGAAAAAATCCCTTGTCGTAGAAGAAACCAGGAAATACAGTAAAAAATATACTGAAATCTAAGTAGTTCATAAAAAATGCTTAATATTAGTAGTCTATGCCAAGAAAAAAGGGGCGTAGCCACGATCTGCTGATTCTTGTCACATGGAAATTCTTCGACATCATTTTAAAAACAACTGTAATCATCAAAAATTTCTAGAAATTCCATTAGACATCTCCTTAATTTCTAAGACCTTGTTACCTCTCTTCAATTGCCAAATCCTGCTATACTCTTTTCCATAATCCACTGGTACTGTCTGTTTTCCAACACCTTAACCCAGCTAGACTTATTTTTGGCTTTTTAACACAAATGTGAAAATTTCAGCTTTTTCATAAGAAATGTAGTAAATTAATAATGATGTGAATAGGAAGCACTGAGGAAGAAAGAAAGAAATGGAGATTATTAATGGAGAAAAATGCAGATCTGATGAGTTTGGAAGCAGTGCAATTTGATCTGAAGGAATTTTAAAGGAATATAATGAAATATAATAAAGGATATATTCTTAAAGGACAACGGAGTTTAAAGAAGTCATAACTGATGCAAATAAAATCTGAAAGGATGCGAAAAATTCTTGAAAAAACTTGTCGTAGAAACTTTAAATTTACTTATTAGGGATTATATTCGCTTTTTTACTTTTGACAGGCGTTGAAATAACTAAAGAAGGTTGTTGAAACGAAAGCTTCGTCGATAAGCGTCGCCTAAAATAAAAAAAACTTATTTTCCACTTTACTTATTTTTGACACGGAGAACTTTCTTTTTAAGAGTGCTCACCATTTCTGGTTAGGTTCGTTCCGCCAGCTTCTTAAATTAGACAAATTTTTCCAAGTAGTCATTCAAAAGTAAAGGTGCTTTATGACAACTGGATTTTTAAATAGCCTTATTCCTGCTGGAATAGAACCCAAGCATCGGCAGCACTCTGCAGCAAAGTCAAAAATCTTCTCAACTATACTATTTCTCAAGAATGTTATCTTCCAATTATCAAACGAGTTCATCCTGATGCACACGGAATTTGTAATAATCTATTTAAAAAATAACCAAATTACCCTAAGGCACTATTTTGTCTTTCGAAAATGAACTGTTGTGACGTTACTCGATAATGACCAAAAACTTCGAAAATAATCGGAAAATGGTTAACGTAATGCAAAAATGTGGGTGTCATAGCCACTCGAATATTCTGAAAGATAACAATAACAATTATTTCTTATTATTTCTTACTAATATAATATATAAAAATAATTATTGTTTCATTTCTAAAATTGAGAATTGAGAATAAATATTAAATTATAAAAAAACAATTTCTTGGTAAGAGCGGATAAAGGATAGATGACAAATAGATAAGAATAAATATGAATCTATTTGTCCTATAAAATTCATACCATATCATAAAATATGATATTATATATCTTTATCATTATATTAGTCTTATCTTCTAGCAATCCTAGCAAATGACAAAAATAAGCGGTAATATTTCACTATTTCTGGTTAAGCTCATTCTAATGGCTATCCACTCTAATGAGTGATTGGAAAAGTGTTTTTGTTAGCGATTCACTTGGTGATAGAAATGGAAATGGATCCGAAGCGCCACACGATTCTTTTACGGACGAATTTACTTCAGTTGGAGGGAGGTAAGGAACAGCCACTTGGCTATTTAGCGAGAAAGTAAAAAATCAGCAAAAAGATGAAAAGAGAGAATAACTCACCTGAATATGGTTAAAAACTAATGGACATTTAGAAGAATTCTTCATTGGTTCAGTTGAAAATGCTTCATCATGTCTATGCAAGAAGCTGAAAATTTTGATAAATTCCGTTTGAGCTTCACTAAGCAATGCAGATGAATTTCGTCAGATATAAACGATAAAAGACAAGACAAATATATCAAAATAATTTACTTAAATTGACAAAATATATCAGCATATTGGTCAGAAATATCAATGGCTTCGAGTACAGTAATCTTAAAGCAATATTCTGAGTTTTGCTTCATATGATCGGGATAATTGTTCCAAATATGATTTGTTTGTTCTGCAATTATTGGCTTTTCAAAATGAAAGTTTGCTCTTTGGAGATTTGTTCTTAAGTCATAAATACTTCATTTGAACGGTAACCATTAAAATTCGGAAGATCTAATGCTCCTTTTATTTTCTTTCCTCCAACAGCTCGTTCACTGTTTTGATTCACTTTACTTTGCTTAGCATATTTTATGAAATCTTCTTCACGAAAATCGCATTTGACGAATTTTTGTACGCCTTTTTCTTGTTGTTTTTGCATATCTTCTGAAGCTTCTATTTTAATTAAATAAAAAGAAACAATATTTGATTAAAGCCAAAAGGTTAACGACATCCTGGCCCAACATATATTCGAGTGATGGAAATAAATTAAGCGTTTTTTCCGTCACGCATATTTTTATTCGAAATCAGATAATAAAGAGATACCATGTAAAATAGGCTCAATAGCAACTCGAAGATGTCCTTTGACTTCAGCTCTTTCATTAACAATAACAACCTTATGTACCAGCGGAACATTATGAATCAAATTACTCAAGTAAACGAATGCCCTGAAAAAATCAAAACTATTTTTGTATTCTTTAGTGAACAACTTTTAAATTAGTTCTCTTTGGTATTTTACTAATAACTGAGATTTCAGCTTAAATAATTAATTTGGAATCTATTTTTATGCCAAATGTTGCATTAAAAATATTGTCCAGTCAATATATTAAAAAATGTACCTTCCAATCATGCGAAACCATGGAAATCGGTCGTAGAATGGATCAGTCCCTAGAAGTGCGTCCATCATTGGATCTTCTGGACTTCCTGGGCTTAATTCACCCTCGGTTTGATACATTTCTCGCATTATTTCCAGCCTTTGTCTAGAATAAAATTTTGCCCAACAAAAGATGACAAGAACACTGATTTTTTTTATCTTCAATACTATTATTGTTTATACTTAAGGTAGAAGTGATCAAAATTTCGAAATTTTCGCTACCTTCATGCAAATCGAAGGAATCTTGTTCTAATCGCTTTTTATTTGCTTAACTTGGACCTTGATATTGTTAAAAAATATAAATCTGGAGGCATAATGGTCGGATAACAATGATTACTCATTAAGTGCCGTGGGTAGGAATCGCTTTTTGATGGAAATAAATTTTCTAGCATCAACTGCGGGTGAATTTCCTTACAGAAAATTCTCTAGCATTCAGTGTGGAGTCAGCTAAATTAGAAATCAAAAATGATGAGTGCTATCAGAATAAGGAAAAAAAAATTATTGAAGCATGCAAACTTATGAAGTGAATATTTAAAAAATGAGAGCACAGTAGGAGGATAATGATGAATGCGACCTGTCCGGAATAAGAAATGCTGGATTGAACTGCATAGCGTTTAACCAACTTTGCTGCATACATGATGAAGGACTTTCAGGAGTAAATGCCTCGCTGAAGTCTGAATTGTAGTAGCGACGCATATCCTCGAGCCTCATTCTGTAACTACTTCCATGTGTTAGCGAAGCTAACTGATTTCTTAACGGATTTCTTTTCTAATAATTTTGCCATATTTTTACAAGGTTGTTTATTTTCACTAGTCTATTTGCCAATATTTACTATCTATTCTTGCGCCATCTTTTCTGGAATGCTATAATATTTCATTCATTTAGGTCTAATTTTACCAGTTCTTGTTGAAAATATTCAGTTACCGGTTTTTATTTTGAAAATTTCTTTAATAACAGCCAACTACTGTACTCTCGTAAGTGCAGAATGATAAAATAAACTACAATAAATAAATGAACTAATAGTAGCTTATAGTGATCAATAGAAATCAGTTCAGAACAAACTTGAGTTTTTCAATACTCCAGTAATGTGTGGCGCCATTTTTGAGATCTTGGACTTGTACTGCGACAACAGTTTTTGGATATGGACGCAGAGCAAGGTCTTCGCCAGGAAGGAGTAGATCTGGAGGCATCGGACTGTACATAGTATCCGTAACAAGAGTAAATTGGAATTGCACCTAGAATTACAGCGTACAGAATAGCGTGTCTTGAATAAAATCAAAAGAATATCAAAATTTTAAAAATTTCTGGATTTGTCATTTTACGTTGGAAGTATTACTTAACTAAAAAGCTTGATAATTTGTGGACATTCCAGTGACAGTTTTTATAATTTGGTAAATCAGTGTTTAACAACGCCATCTCTGGTTTGGCTTACTCCAGTCACTACTGGTGTGACGGCCCTTCGCCAGAGAAGTTCATGAAGGAGAACCGTAGGCTGTTCTCCCTCCTACAGCAACAGAGAATGTATTATTAGAACTCCATTTTTCAAGAATTACCTTTTTCTTAAGTTCAATAGAGATGGCATTGGCTTCTTTCAAAAAAATAGCATTTCCCCACAAATCGTCGCGTACTGAAGTAAACTGGTGATATCGCCATTTCATTACTGTTCTTCTTGCAATGCGTTCTTCATCTGCTGTCCATTTACATTCAGGTTCTGAATTAAATCGTCGTTTATCATTGTATTAAGATACAAGCCTTTAGAAAATATTTTCTTTACCGAAACATAAAAGACTGCTTGAAAGTAAGCGTTCTCCATCCCAAGTAGAACACGTTGATGAAATCATGCTTTGGGCCAGGTCCACTTGCCTTTGAAGTGTTTCAATACGCATTTCATATTCCTTAAGCAAAACGCATCATCATGTGAATTATATATATATATATATATATATATACGCAATAAAGCAGAAAATCGTCTAATGAAGTTATACTGAATTAAGCTGCTCAAAAATTTTCCTATTTTTCCTATGCTAATTACTTGAATTCTCGACACCATCGTATCTCAACCAAGGATCTCTTAATAAAACTCACCATTTTTAGCAACTTAACTGGCTATAACGATTTGCCAGAGAGTCATTTGAGGATAGAAACACAGATGGATCTCCAGCACAATCGAAATAAATCTAATACGTAATCACCTTATTTACTTAATCTTGATTTTAGGATGTGCACCTTGGTTTGTCGTATCATCTTGAGCTCGAGCTCCTCTCGTTCTTTCCGATACTGCGATTCCATTTCAATCATTTTTTTCTCCATTTCAGCTTTCAAATCAATTCCTTGCTTTTCAAGTAATTCTTGCTGTGCATATTTCCAATCTAATGGTTCACCTATAAATCGTTTAGCGCCAGAAAGACACTGATTAATATTATTAACCAACTTGAATTAGAATATTCACTTGTTAATGTCGATAAATTCTGTCGACTTTGGCGAGCTTCCTGTGGATCATTGTAACGGAAAACATGGTATTTGCCAAGGATAACCCTTGAACCAGTGTGAAGAATAGTCGCTTGCTTAACTGGTTTACCATTTACAAAACATTGAGCGTTATTTTCTGGTTCCAAATATACAATTCCTTCATCATTAAGGAAGCGACAGTGCTCATCGAGAATCAGTTGGCCACTTAATAAAATATCTGGGCGGTTTTTCGCTTCTGGTCGGCCGACCCTGCAGATCATTCGTAAAATTTCAAAAAGTTAAGTTAGAAAAGCATTAAATTAATTAAAACTTAAATTAAATTAATTAATTAACTAAACTTTCTAAAAAATAACGATTCTCTTCAGTTTACCTAGTAACACCTTCTTTTAAGTAGTACAGAAGACATTCTGACATAAGTGGATCTTCATTCAGATTGACCAGATGTGGAAGCTGAATTAATTAAATTAATTAATGGGTTAATCGCATGAAATACATCAAAGAAACCTGAATTAGCACTTAACGATCAGCCAAACTTGTAGACAAAGGTGCAGATATTTCATGAAAATATAAATTAACCGCCAAGTATAGATTCACTATTGAATTTCACTATTGCTCAAACGGAATTAAAAGAAAACTGACCTTTTTGGGTGAAAATACTCCAAGAGTGCTGCCATCCTCACCAGTGGCGAGACCCATTTCTCGTAGCTCATCTTCACGTTGGCGACGAATTTCTTCTGTTTTGCGTAGCTTTTCTTCCCATGTTTGATTAAGCTCAGCTATTAATTTTTCGGAAGCTTTTAGTTGTTCAATAGTATCGTGATCTCGAGCCGAATACAATGCTTTTGTTGTCATTGGATCTTCACTATCGATTCCCTTAGTTTCTAAGAGTGCTCTTAATTTATTCACTTCTTCCTTCAGTTCTCGAATTAATTTGGCGTTTGGATCTTCATTAACTTTGGCCTGACAAACAATTTGCTTAGCTCGATCTGCATATCTGAAAATTAATATTTTTATATCAAAAAAAAATTCTTGTAGGAACGTAATAAATTAACTCATATTAGGCAGCAATTTTTATCATATCAAACATTCTGCTTCATTTCCTGCTTTGCATATATAAAGCTGTCATAAAAGATGTGGGTGATGCTGGTGACCTATCTGCACTTCTTTGTCCAAATTACCCTATCATTTTATTAACAACCAACTAGTCTAATCAGAAATCACTTACTTATTTACTTACCTCAGTGTACTAAGAGTTTCATCAAAATTAATATCCGCAGGTGATAAAGCAGCTATCATTGCAGTTTTTGAGTTCCCACCAAGATTTTCTCGTAACAGCCATGTAAGAACTGAATCTCGGTACGGTATTACAGATTTCCCTTTTCCTTTTCGTTTATTAGCCTAAAATTCTCTTAACTGGAACTTGTTGTGACTGTTGTGTTTTTTCGTAGAAATCATAGGAAAAATTCGGACTCACATCTTCAGCTAGCTTAGAAATAACCAGTCCTAGAGTAGTTAAACTTTTATTGATATTAGCACCCTCTTTCAACCTTTGACCTTCAGCACCTGTTGATGTTGCTCGCTCACTTCCAGCTAAATCGACCAGCGAAATTTTACTGACCTGAAATCCATTAAAACATATTTTCAATTTTAATTAATCCACAGTAAAATTTTTATGTTTTTTCCTTTGCTAACATTAGCCGAGTCAATTTTCCCATATGTGATTCAATTACCAAATAGACTCATGGCTGGGATATTGATTTGCTAGTTTCTGTGCCACAAAACTAGGAAAAACACAACTAAATGACATAGAATAGAGGAAGAAAACGATGATTACGAACGAAAACGTCATTTGGTTTATTCTTATTTGTTTATAGATTTTTTTGTTATCAATGGCAATTCCTCTCCGTTCCCAGTGGATTATCCTCAACTTCGGATTCTCTATCAGAGGCCTGAGAGGAGCTTGAGGATTTTGTACCTATTTCTAGCAGCTTGCTCTTCTGGACATTCTGGAGGTCCCTCAGATTTTCCTGGAGTCTGTTGAAACTTTCTTTAATTTAGTGTGGTGTTCATAGCCCTTGATGCTACCATCACTGCAACTACTATGACTTTTCATTTCTCTAATTCCTTTTTCTTGTATATATTTATAAAGATCGGTCTTGATCATAGAATTTTTTTTTGAATATTTTTAATGTATTCAAATATATTTAAGAGTAATTCCCATTTTCGGTCGCTTGATTTAGTCCGCATTAATTTCCATTTTCCTTGATCCTTCCCTTTTCCCCGAATTACTATTCTCGAAGCTTTTGAAAATCTTTTGCATTCTAAATCTTCTCATGCTTTTTTTGCCAGTCTCCATATTAAAATCCTTCAAAATTTGACGCTTATTGCCTATCAATTCTTAATCGTATGAAGTCCTCAATTTTCTTATCCTTTATCTTCTTTTAAGAGATTCATTCTGCATTACTAATGAGTTCAGTCAATTTTATCTATACATATAAAAGGGATTTTATATTTATAAGGGATGACATTTATACAACCTATTTAAGAATCCAGTCAGAAATTTGGTGAAGTAGACGCAACGTTGGTTATTAGTTGCTAAAACCCGAAGTGATTTTTAGATATAAGATCGGCTCATATTCAAACCCTTCAAACCCTCCAAGTAAGGTTATCAACCATGTTAATCATTTGTATATTGTTCCTTAGATTAATAAAAATATAAATATAAAATATAAAAAAATATAAATATAAAATATAAATATAAATTAAAAATATAAATTCGTCATAATTCATCGTTCAGCTGAAAAAATAGATAAAAATCTCTTTAGTGCTTTTAATGAGCACAGTTGCATATCAACTTCACCAACAGAGTTATGGCAAAAATAATCGCATCTCTATGATCAATTTAAATGCGAGGTGATATGCGAGATTAAAGGATGATTCTGGCCACGAAAAAGATTATAGAGAAATGGTGATGGCAGTGGTATTAATAATTAGTTATTATTGGGTGTGACATATATTACTATCGCATTCAGTGAAAGTGAAATTAATGTTGAAAGCCAGATTTAAAATCTGCATCCAGGAAAAATAAAAAAACTTTTTCGCATGTGAGATTCGTAGAGACATCGTGTCGATTTTGGGTAAGGACAATTGTAAATACAGCATGGGATCTGCTTGAAGTTGAATTCATATTGGTTGCTGCTACTGTCCTTAAGATTAAAATTAAGAAACATACTTGTCTACAAAATTTTAAAAAGAATTTCCACAATTTCTTTTACAGTTATAGACTTAAGGTATTATCAGATGGCTCAAATTTCTATCTTTCCACACCTTATTATATATTTATTTATGAAATAAAATTTTATAGATATTTTGGCATCCTGCAGAAAGCTAAAAGCTACATTAAATAAATTTTTTAAAGAATGATTAAAAGTGATAAGCAGAAACCCTGTAAATCACTTAACAGTCTTCCATTTTTTTGTTATAATTATTATTGTTAATATTTTCTAATATAAATTTTCAGGTCCTTAAATTTATTGCAATTTTACTAATTTGTTCCTAATATTTCAGCTGCACCAATTAATAATTTACTATTAATGTAAATCTTTTCGTCGGAAGTCACTTGAGGGCAGAAATGTAATCAATCTCCGGCAGCATCCAAACCTCAGAATTTATAAGCGATCCAATTACAATTTGATCATTAAAAGCATTTTAATCACCTGGCTTTGTTTCCTTCATCCATCAGATCATAAATGTCTTGATATGAACAGACGGCGAGCTTTGTTAAATCGTCTACATAAGGTCCAAGAAGTGGATGTTCGCGAACTCGAAGGTTGCCTCCATTTGACGGATTCAAAAGATCACGAACTCGCTCACAATATATCTCCATATACGATACCTAATTCAAAAAGCTGCTCAAAATGGGAGAAAATTTTAAACAAATTTTAGAAATTTGAGATGAGGAAAATATTGAATTCATGAATAAAAATTAGCAAAAATTTTTGCCAATCGATTCGATTCTGATGAACGAACTTCAACAGAATATTGCAAATTAGGATCCTCGTTATCATGAATTCTTTGAAAAAGATGATTGCACAGTCGAGGTATAATTCCCATTTCTTTCTCGTCGTTTGGTTTTCCCATCATTGTGTAACTTTTCCCGCTGCCAGTTTGACCGTATGCAAATATACATACATTGTATCTATAAAATTATAGTATTTTTTCATTAAGCTTATGATATAAAATTGTGTTAAAAATGAGGTCATTTGCTTATTTTTATCAGAAAAAATGAAATTTGTCTCCATAATATTGTATTTGAAATCTTATAAATTTCGTAAAAATTTTCTTTTAACTTTTAACGAGATTATTGTCACCTGTTATCGTTTCCTTCATTAAAATTTAAAATAAATTTATGGTTAAATTTATTGGCTCTGATTTTTCTCAATTGACTTACAGTATTTGGGCTATTCATTATTCTTATTTACTACTTTAATACGAATTATGGACTATGTCTATAGTCTACAACCATACCCTTCAAAGGAATGATCAAGCATTTCTACACCAAGATCATCGTAAACTTTTTGTTGACTTGCATAATGTGTATCATCTTTATTGAACGACCAATATGAATAATCAAAATTGAAACTGTGGCTTCTTTCTGCGCCTATTCCGCCGATTATCGCTGAAATTTTCGTAATAATTGAAGATTAATCACAAAAACTTTTGACTTAAGAGAATTTTTGTTTGTGAGATCAGCTTTACTGACGCAAAAGGATGAAAGCAATTCCTGCCTACTTAACAAACAAGCGCAAAAAAGCAAACTTGTAGTGTTGTCGGTCATAGCAATAACCATTTTCGAGTCATTTGACAATTCTCTTGCATTGAAGGGCCGCACCCGTACTGCAACTTTCACTGATGACATTTTCTTCTCTTTATCAACAAGTAACGGGCTGAAAATTTGAGCCAGTTAGCAAAAAAACTAGTTGCAACTGGTCATAACGAAATACGAAGAAATATCAAAATATATTCATAGACTCCCTTGCAGAAAAGGAAGGAAAGAGGGAGGCATTGTTCGATTTATGGGAATTATTCATATGGGAATTGAAACCGAAATATGTGAAGATTAATTATTAGTTCTGTTGCTACTTTACTTAAAAATTAATTTCGCAACTAAAAAAACATATTAATCACATCTAAAAAAAACAAATAAAAAGTTGGTAATGATAAGATAATGACGAATAATAACAATGATAAGATAATAATTTTGCAATTGTTGGTGCTTTTTCAGTTATTTAGTACTTTAATAAAGGTATTTTTCAGCAACATATTTTTCTTGAACGTTTCATTTGCACGCCTTATCAAACCATTAACCTTACCGATATTTCTTTATATTATAATCCATTTTAAGAATTTAACAAATTTCAACAAATATGTTCATCGTTCTACTAATACTTCATGGAAAATTTTCTATTATCAAACTCTCTAAAATGATATTTCAAAGAAATTTTTTTTGATTTTTAAATGAATTTTCAAATATTTTAAATAAATTTGTTGAAATGGGTTAAATAGATCAATGGTTTGATAAGGTTCGTAAGCAAATTCGGTATGTGCCATAAAGTTGGCGAACTTAAGGTTACTAACTATAAAAAGACAAAACTAGAAATATATCATCAGTTCTATTTAGACTCCTTTCTTGGACTCCAAAACACCTTTTTTTGCACATCCTTCATCAGAATATAGCTCGCTAGACGAAAAGATGAAAATTAAGATTTCTTCAATTGACTACAGACCGTTAGTGAACGATAACCTTAAAAAATAGAAGCCCCGAGGATGAGAATGCTGCGATAAAATTGTCGCAATTTTTTCTTTCCATTTCACAATTTTGTTTATTATTCATTTTTTGTTTCATTTTCTATTCTATATTTTATTTTTTATTTTTAACTATTTCATCAAATATTTTAAATTTCAATTATCTTTTGCCATATCCAAGCAAATAATAAAAAAAAATGTATGGACATCGTCAATTATTGTGACTGTCAATTATTTCTTGTGCAAATGATCGATGAATTTCTTCTCACTGTGTTTAGCTGGTTCCATTAACTAGGATGAGATCCTTTTGCTGAAGAATGACAAGTGCAAGTAATGAGTATTTGCATCATGCACGGAATTCAAAATGTTTGAATTCAGGAACAAAGCAACATACCGCTTCACTCATTTGTTTCCATATTTTTCAGCTTTCCACACATAGAAATTTCGGGAAAAATAAGCTCAGTTTGAAATGTTCATTTACTAGAGATTTTGCCTGAAGAAGCAAACTTTACTTGCAAAAAAGAAATATTGACGTCTTTGATGACATTTTTTTAGAAGAATATAAACAATCATCTCATCTCATCTTTTCGAGAAGGCTTTACTATACTATGTTACTTTGAGGCTACACTGAGGACGCTAAATCTTCCAGTCATTTCACTGACTTTTTTATTTTATATTTTAATTTATTTTAATCAGAGTACTTTTGAAATAGTAAACATTTACAATAATATCAATATTAATAAAGTATATAAAATGCTAATTGATAAAATAAAATGAAGCAAAAGAATAAAGTTGAATTCAGAATCATTTCAAGAAGAAATTTCGTTTTATTTTTCTCAGTGATTTTGAATAAAACAAAGGAATGCTACTTCAAGAAAATCCACCGATTTATTTAACATATAAGATAAATGGATAAATAAAACTTTTAACCAAATTTTTCAGTTTTATTAAACATTCAAAAAATCCCAATTTTGAAGTCGATAAATACAAATGAAAATAAGTAAAAACAAATGGAAATTTGATTCAATGTAATGAACTGTTTTACTCAATTTTATTTTGGCTAATGATCAGAATGTTTAAGGGATTTGAGAATAAATGAATCAAGGCTGCAAACTGCACTATATAAATTGACGATGATATAAATTGATGATAATAACTCGCAGTTTAAGCCAATATAGCACGAAGATTAGATCCTCAGAGATGGCAAAAATGTTTGGTGAAAATAAGATAAAGTGAAATATCACAGTCTGAGAAAAAGCTAACAGATTAATAAATGCCGAGATATTTCCACGTTTTTGGAGAATCGATTTCGTAAATAAATGAATAGAAAATTTCCTCAGTTATTATGACGAAGTGATAAGACATGAGCAAAATCTTTGCTCGGCTAGCTTGATAAAAATCGAACATAATCCTATATTATCATAATATTATTGATGAAAGCGAGTTGTTAAATCTAAATCTAAGTTTATAGACGAATTAAGTGTGGGCGAAGTTTATGAATTAAGTGTCTGAAACGAGCTAAAATGATTTTATGGACAAATTTACAATCAAGCTTGGAGATCATAATATTTAGCACTGAAATAATCTATGATCTAAAGTTCAAGCTAAGGTTTTAGGCTTTTTCGCAGATAGAAATTCAAAAAGGATAAGCAAATGAATGAGAATGTGCAAAAAATACCACCGCATAAGCATAAATATTTTTAGTTGGCCAAGTTTCGGTAATTTTTGTGGATCAAATTAACTTTCTGCTTCATTATCAATTCCTAATTAAATTTTTTTGATGAAAGAAAAACATTTCGTCATTTTTGTAGACAAATTAACACATTATCCTGGAGCATTATTTCAGGAACCAATATTAAAATTGAGAAAAAATGACAAAAAATGAAAGTTGAGGCGAAATCGGCTAAAATAATACCAAATATAAATCACAAATGAGGGTAAATCAGTTGAAAAATGTCGTTGAGGGACGAATAAGTTTTGTTTTAAAGAGGCAGTGTTATCAGCGAAACATTGCCAAAACTCTTCTTATTTTCTGAATATATTTAGCTGAAGAAAAAAATAAATTAAAAGAAAACGCCAAAAATGTTGGAACAAAATTTTTTTTTCAGATGACAGACTTAAATGGACTACGGTTTCAAACATCAACCTAATAGAATAGCTAATCGAGACACAAATGATAGAATTGTTAAAAAATGAAGAGGAATACGAAAATAGGGATGCACGAATTTATAAACAAATAACTTATTATAATTATTGTAATAAATAATAGCAGCAATTAACAATAATAATAATAATACACCAATTTTAACCCAATTAAACTAAAAGCAAATATATTTTTAGGTGTTGTTCAACTAAAGTGATCATAGAATTAATTTCAGATTTTATTCGATAAAAAAGAAAAGAGATGATTTTTGATAAAGAAAAATAGCAGAACATATGATATGCTTAGCTTCTGGCTTACTTTCTTTTTACCAAATTCATGGGGTAAGCCAGCGATATCCAAGAACTGACTTCATAAATTTTCTTGTTAAATTCTTCTTTTCGAAGTCAAGAGAACATTTTTTTATTTGAATCAATCTAAGTAGTTCTTATAAATTATTAATTGATTAAAACTGAATAACTTCATGCGAAGTCGAAAAAAAACGATGGTCCGCGTCTGTACATCTGCTATTCTCTCGATCTTGCTATATGGCTACGAGACATGGTCGTTGAGAATGAAGAATATTAAGAAGTTATCTGCCTTTGACCACTTATGCCTAAGGTATAACTTTTGGGCCAGGATCGGACAAAATTTCACATGATTGTATCCACTTCGCTCAAATACCACCTGCATTAATATTACGATCACAATCACAGAGCACGTTATTCGTCGCACATCACAGGGGTCGCACATATATCGGTATTGCTACGGAGCAAAAACGAAGAGGACCAATTAAAGTCTGAATTGATAGTCAAGAAAGATTTTGAAGTATAGATGGACCAGCGATATGTGACTTAGACGATGGATGATGGAAAGAATGGGTTCTATTATTGTCGACGATAGAGTCGGATCGAATAGAAGACGTCTTAATGTTCTAGCCAGTGGAACCAGTCTAACCAGTAATAGTGAGAGCTTTTAGAAGAAGAACTTCATACGAAATATTTTTAAAATGCAAAGTGATTATAAAACTAATTATTACATTACATTTACATTTATTACATTTTTGAAAAATCAAAGCATTTTTGATCATTTTGGAATCAATTAGTGATGAAGATAATATAGCGGGGTGAGGTGACGTACTGCTTCGACAAAACAAAACAAATTATCATAGGTTCGACTTCTGTTCATTGGCGATAATAAATCTATTAAAATTACTAAAGGTGAAATCAGGGTGATGCTGTTGACCCACTATTAATTCTATCTCGAAGCAACCTTTAATGAAAGAATATAATATTAATAAGCGATGGAACCAGCCAAGCGGGAAATGGTGTATGTCGTTAAAAAAAAGAAAATTAAGGATATTTCCAAAATTATGATGATTTTTTAATTTAACTGTTCCATCTATGCGGGAAATACCGTGACAGACCTCGTTTGCCACTATACATGTTGCTGAATATCAGTGAATGCAATCATTTGTAATACTTACTACAGTTCATAAAAATTTCTAAATTACTTGTGCTAAAACGATAAAACTAAGAGATGAAATTTGCAAGAAATAATTTGTTTGATCCTTAAGCTACAAATTGTTCAACAAATTGTCGAAAAACATTCCAGTGTGTACAATGCGCAAACTTCTTGATATCTTTTATGATCAATAATCCAATAAAATGTTTACTATTAAATGGAAACCGAACGTATAGATGGAGCAGCAATACATGGACTTAGATGGAAAAAGAAATGGCTTCTATTACTGTCGACGATGGCATCAGATCGCGCCGTTTCGAAGCGTCTTACCGTTGTAGTCGTTGAAGCAAGCCTAATGGTGAGAGCTGTTAGAAGAAGAAGAAGGAAGCTGAACTATTCAATAGGAATAGTTTTTTCTCGAATTATTCCATTAATGAGCTAAGTTAACCTGAAAAGCTTGAAAATATTCGATAACAGTCAGTGAAAGAAATAACAGTCAGTGAAAGAAAGAAAGACTCCAAAATTTATGTAAGCAACTAGAAAAATCAGCTGATAACTATAGAGAACAACAAGTATGAGATGGAAAATCATAAAATGATATGACCTTGGAAGTTCGAAATTCATGGCCATTAAGTAGTAGTAAAGTAGCAGTGGAAACGACCGAAAAATTTCATTTTTGAGTAATTTTTAAAAGTAAAAATTTCGACAAAAAAGTAGGAAAAAAGAACAAAACGATAAGCGCAGAGAGGAGACTAAATAAGCGGATAACTGAAATATTGCTTGAGGAACAAAATTGACAAATAATTTCGAAACAGAAAACAGCGATGAAACGCGACGATATCGATTTTGAAAAATGAGTCTTCCGAAGGTTTCCACATCCTTTTCTTTTTTTCCTTCCCTCAGGCATAGCTCTAGCCTTTTAGTCTCAGCCGTCCTCTTCTGGGTATATCCAAATAAATTAGTGAAAAAATCATCAGAACATTTGTTTATGAGGGAGGAAGAGGGAACTAGCAAATGAATTTTTCACCGTTTTCCATTAATCCGTTCGGTTTTAAAGAAATGCGTCATTCGCTGCTAAAAAAAAAACAAATATTTATTCCAATATGATTTTAAACATTTCAGGAAAAAAGGCAAATAAATGATTTAAGCAGTGCAAGAAAAATTTTTATAAATTATAAGTTGTATAAAATAATCTCCTTCCTTCTTTGACGCATTGCTGACTCGGCTGCCTTCAACGGTATTAGGATGGGTAAATGATTTCCCCTTTAACTTCACTCTATTGCACCGCTCTACCCTAAATAACTTCCCTGTTAATAGCTTCACCCTATTACTTCACTTTATCCTACATGATTTGTCTAAATAACCATTGGCGAATCTTTCTAATCGTTTTTAATAGAAAACTTTTTCAATTTCATGAAAACACTATTTGCAAACACTACATAATTTAATTCAATATTATCCTGAAAAAAAAGGAATTTTGGAGGATAAATGAAGAAAAAGGAAATTGGCGTTCTACATAAGCATTCGGTTCAGCAAGCGAGACTGACGAGCACGGAATTCGATAATTTCCAGCATCAATAAATTTTTCCAAACAATACTTTTTATGCTTTCATGATATTTAAATTAAAGAGTATATAGGATGAGAATTCCAGGCTGTAGTGGCCTAACTCTTTCCTCCGCCTCAGCCTCACAAGTGGTTCTTTGCCAGAAGGTTTTATCCTAATAGTTAACCAAATCAGAAAAAATGTTATTAGAGGAAAAAAGAAGACGAACAGAAGATATTATTTGAATTAAATAGTCATTATTTATAAAAATAAATTTTTATAAGTTTTAGATATTCAATCTATTTTTTTTACACTTCTTTCTGGAAATTTCTAGAATGATTAAAAAATGGAGCGTATCAATGTCTTTTTCAGGCGGAATAGTGGATTAGTACTTTTTTCTATATTATTTATCTTCCAAGCAAAGCTTCAATTAAAACGTTAGCGTTTAAATTATTAAATTATTATAAAATGCTTTCTTAATAATTTACCTCGCTACTCCATTAAAGCCAAATAAAAAATATTAATTAAATACATTAAAAAAGTAAAGCAAATGGCTTTCGCCATTTCTGGTTAATTTTACGATCTGTTAGTACTGCTAAGATTAAGGTTGCTTTATGATTATAAATCGTCAGCATAACCCGCATTTCTTAATGACAAGTGGTTTACTCTTGCTGTAAGCAGAAGCGGAACCTTCTCAGTTATTATCCACTCGGTTAATCTAATAATAAACAATATATAATAATAATAAATAGCAAAGATAATGAAAACTGCCAGAAAAGAGAATTATAAAGTGGATAAGTGGATAAAACACGAGTACAACACGAGACTAATAACTAATCTAAATGTCGCCATTTCTTCTTATAAATAAGGAAAAAAATTTCTAAGCAGTTCAAAGCGGCTACCAGAAACTGAGGTTAAATTCGACATTGCTTAACCAGTCTAAACAATTTACAACTGAACCACTTTTGTTTGAGAAAGATAGATTCGCCGAAATTCAGTTAAATGGAAAACCAGTAACATTCGAGCTTGCACTGGTTTAGATATTTAACTCCCATCCAGAAAATATTGGAAAGCCAGTAGATTCCCAGATTTGAGGAAATCAATTGCAACATTAAGAAATATTAGTGGGTATTCACTTAAAACGGGTGGTGAATTTAATTTATATTTCTATTTTCTCGAAAAAGACATAACATTTACTTGCCATGTTATGAACAAATCCTTGCCAGAAATTAGAAAGCCTTCTGCTATATTAATGGTGTCACTAATATTATTCTGAATTCACATATTTCTTTATATGCAGATGATTATAAAATTTATTCGCCGCCTAAAAGATCAGAGAATTTAAATACCCTTCAAAAAGATTTAAATAATATAGTTTCCTAGCTTCAGGGAAGATAAATCGAATTATTGATAAGGTAGGTGTAAAAATTTACGTATCAATGCCAAAAATTCCAATTTCCTTGTCATCTCCATTGATAATTTTGTATTGACGAGAGCAAATAAAATAATTTTTCGGCTCTTAGTCTATGGTCTACTCACGAAAAATATCTTATATAACAGGTATATTAATCTCTAAAATTTTGAATCTGATATTTGAAACTTTTACAGATAAGTCAAAAGTTTTCCTAATTAAAAAAAACATTCATATGTCCACATTCATGGTATAACAGTATATTTAAAAAAACTATTAGGTTGATCGGGGAGGGGGGGGGCCTATATAAATATTCCTTACGGTGTTTTAATCCTGATAACGGGTGGGAAAGGGGCGAAAAAATTATTAAAATTACAAAAGAATTACCAAAAGATATGCAAATTTTCTTGTTATATTACAGGAGCATACCAAATGCCGCTGTACATGATATGATTGCTGCATGACGCCATCAGAAGAGTTGATAAAAATGGATGAAAAATTTGGGCTCCCCTAAATCTTTTGCACCCAACTTTAAAAAACCCGTTGTGACATAGTGAATCAGTGCAAAACATTGCTCTTTCAAAAAAAAATTTCTTTAAGCTCGGTTCTTCCAGAATCAACGAGAAATATGAATTCCTGATGAGATTATCAAAAAAATAGGTTTACAAAGTAAAAACTGGAAAAACAGTCCAAAAATGGCACGCAAATCAGTTAAGAAATCGCGATTTAAATCAAATAGATGGAACAAAAACATGGAGAATCATTTCGAAGTGTTTTATTGTGAACTATTATAGATGATCAAGCCGAAAACAAGCAGTTCGTAGACTTGACCTGTCTCGTATCCGAGCAGACACAGCTGTCAGTTAATGTTATCCAGTGGCCTTTTTTCGAAAAGGTGAAGAGAATATTTTCGATCCAATTCGTAAATTATTTGTAAATTAATAGTAGGGGTTCGAATGGATGTTTGCTTTGGTTCTGTATCGTTAGTATCGTTAGTTCGGTTCCTCGCTCCTTAAAGCAGCTGGCGGTTATAGAAAGCGAAATCCAAATCGTGCTGAGGACGCCACTTGCATTTCCCCATGAGACTCTCTGGCAGATGATGGCAGAACAAATCCAATCAGTAAAGAAAAGTTATTTCTGATAAAGGAGATTCTTGATATTGTGATTAAACCATTAATCCATTAATTATATTTGTGCCTAAATATAATTACTGTTATTGCATGTCGCTCTTTCATTTTGCCTTGCTAAGTTCTTTTTTAGTTTATAAAACCGCAGGACCAAAACATCTCCTAAGGGGCTGAGATCTTCTGTCTTCCGCCATCACAATCTCAATTATCTCATTGTCCATCCGATCAATATTATATTTGCAACTATACAAATTTGTTGCATCACATTTACGACTATTGTCCAAATAAAATATTCTCTCCCATGGCCAGTATGACCAAATGGCAATTCGCAGATGGAGCATAGGCCTTTGCCTTGAATTTTATTGCCACTTCAAAAAGAATAATCAGTTGCATTATATTCAATAAATCTTGAAGCGATTACATGTAAGCGGTACTTTTTAATTTTTACTTTACGGTTGACTTCCAAAATTCATTAATTTCAGGATTCTATGTTTAAAGTGGTTTCGTCATTAGTGAGGTACTCGTATTGTTGGTCTTTCATTTATTTAAGTGGAAGTCATTTATTGGAATTTAAATAAGAAATATTTGATTTCCTTAAAATATTTCATAGGTCCAAATCAGTGGAAAAGACATTGCAAATATAAACTCTTTAGCTTTTTTAAGAGTTTATGATGCTGCTAATAAATAAATGTATATATAACAAATAAGTGAGAGTAAAGCAATGGTTGAAAAGAAGGAGCTTGTCGGTTATGAGGAAACAGCGTGGCGATACGAGAATAATGCCGACTCATGCGGCACATCAACTGGTAATCGATAAGTGCCGAAAAGAGTTATAGGCAACCTTTTTTGTTCTAATTCTCAGAATAAATTTACTGGCACATTGTGGAACATCATTTGAAGAACGTCAACTTGATTTTAGGTGGAACAAGGTTCAGCGCGCCGTTCAACAAATTCATACAACTACAGTAGTTCCACAGATTCCACAGATTCCAGAAGGTTTGCGAGAATTCTTTGATAATGAACAGAATTTTGGTGTAAATGAACTTCGACCAAGCAAGAGGCCAGGTCGATCATGGTCAGTTGATGAACTTCGACTCAAATCCAACAGTGATCTTCATCGTTTGTGGTATGGTATGATATATTTTTGTTCTTTATATAGCTGATAGAATAACACCTGAAAGTATTAAGAATATTAAAAGGAGTGGATATGAGGGAAACTATCGATATCATGGTTGACAATGGATGAAATTACTTGTATTAAATCTGGTTTGATTTACAGTCTGGTGTGTAAATATATAAAAATATTTTTTTTCCTTTCCTCCTGCAGAATAAACTTGCGAAAAGCAGGATTTGCCCAAACTAAGCTGGGTTTAGACTGGGATGCGGTTTTGCTGACCAGATATTTACGCTAAGAACGATGTTGGAATATCGTTCAGATAACCCACCGTCACATGTTTCATCGATTTTGAAGCTGCTGCCTTCGATTCAATTAATAGAACGGCGCTTTGGATGATAATGGAACGCGGCGGTTTTCCAGAGAAGATCATTCGACTCATAAAGGCATTTTATCAGCCTACTTCGGCATAGATCTGGGTATATTGGGAACCAGGGAATAGAATGGCTCAGTGGGGTTGTTGCCCAATTAGGAGCACTGATGCTGAGGTCCAATTTCTAGGAGCAAACCTGTACAAAAATCCGAGTGATGTGTGCAACTCACCTGTATTTCTATCGCCAAGGGACTCCCTGGCATATAGCCCAATTACGACAAGCCGGAACGAGTTTAACCAATAATGGTGAGGGCTCCTAAAAAAAAATATGTGGGAGTGATAAATAAAACTGATTTCCTTCGAAATAAAACTGGTGTCCATCAAGGCTGCGTCCTTTCTTCTACAGTATTCAACTATGCGATAGACTGGATAATGGATACCGCTTCAAAAGCTGTTCAGATCAATCTAGAACATCGTATCACAAATGCATATGCTAATTATGTGGTCCTTTTTGCTGACAATTATGATGGAATGCAAATAACATTAAAATGTATCTATAAATGCAGCTAGAATTAAGGATCAGTTTAAATAAAACGAAAGTCTTTTTTATACCAGAAGCTAATATAACATTTTTTATCAATTCATTGCCTATTTTTATCAATTTATCGCGGATTGAGGAAGTATTATATTATAGATATCTTAAATCCACTCTAATACCAAACGGCTAAGCGAAATAAAATTATAATCCAGATAATGAAAGTAAGAAATATGTTGGAAATATGTTCTTCGGTCGGCGAAACCCTTATGGAGTCTTTGCGAAATCAAAAAATGAAAGGCCGCGTTCATTTCACTCAATCTTGCTATATAGCTTTGAGACAATGAGAGTGGAGAATATTAAGAAGCTATTTGCGTTCACATTTGAGCTACAATTTACGCTGAGTAGGGCACGTCGTGCACCATAGGAATGGTGCATATATTGTTACTTGCTAAATCTTGTGGCGTGTGGTGTAAAAAACGAAGAGAATCAATCAAGACCTGGTTTGATAAAATTAGGAAATATTTCGCACGTATAAGAGAATTAGCGATATATTAATTTAGATAGTGAAAAAAGGAATGACTTCTATTGTTATCAAAGATGGGATAGCTTGGAAAGTTTTACTCTCGTAGCTAGCGGAGCGTAACCAGTAATCAACATAACCAGTAATTGCCAGAGCTATTAGAAGAAGAAGGTAATTACTCAAACAAGAAAAGTTCAGAATATATATGGTAGTGGCCAAGGTTTTTTTATTCAGGAGTTTTGTTCTTTAAACTTTGTTAATAGTTTTTGTTATTACATTTATTTATTTAAATCTAAATAAATTAAATAATAAAAAGTGAGAACTGAAAATAATGGTAATACCGAAGTATTCTTTTTCAAATCAAGTATAATACAATAACACAAATTTTATTATTTTTGTTTTTGTCGCATAAGAAATAGATTAAATTATTGTGAATTTTGTTCAAATATAAAACTTTTATATCATAAAATCAGAAAACTTTCATCAATTTTTTTCTTTCTTTAAACAAGAGGAATGGTGTAAATTATTAATATTTTTTTATTCATAAATAATATTTTTATGCATTATAATACTTTTTCTTTTCTTTTAGCAGCTCTTCTCACCATTACTATTTAGAATGACTTCGCTAGCTATAAGAGTAAAACGTTTCGATCCGATACCATCTATGGCATTATTCCTTTTTCTATCGTCTTTTCCATATATTGCTGGTCCTTTAGAATCTTTTATTTAGAATATTTAGAATCTTTCCTGGTTGATGCTGCCCATCATAAGGTTTAGCAAATAACGAAATATATATCAACTCCTGTGGTGTACTGCGAAGAATGCCGCTGACCAGCGAAGACGCTCTGTGGTGGTATTGTTAATGCAAGTGGTATTTGAGCTAAGGTGAACATACAGTGTGAGATTTTATCCGATCGGCGGACCCGTAAATTGTATACATGAGTGGTCGAAAGCAGACACCTTAATATTCTCTGCTCTCATCGGCTATATTTCGCATCCATATAGTAAGGTCGAGCGAATTGCAGTTATATAGACGCGAACGTTCGTTTTTATAAACTGTAATATTAATATCTTTACATTTTACAATTATATTTTTTAAAAATTTTTAATATTTTTTAATAATTTTTAGTAACCATATTTTTTACGAACCCATTATTTATAATTATTTTTAGTAATTATTATTATTAAATTGTTATTTTATTATATTTACAATAACAAATATTTAAGGTATGTACTTTTAAAGGAGCGCAATATGCTTTTAACAATGATGGAAGCATATTCACTTGCTGCTCATCATTTCCCGAATCCAGAAAGATTGGACAGAATTAATGAAGTATGATATTTCTTTTATCTTAACTAGATAATGCTATTGGTCTCGGTGTTCCTCACCATTACTCGTTAAACTCGTTCCGCTGGCTTGTCACATTGGACAAATATGTCAGGAAGTCCCCTGGCGATAAAATACAGATAAGTCATCAACATCACCCGGATTTTTGAGCAAGATTATTCCTACGGGAAGTCGAACCTCAACATCGGCTCTTTGAACTTAACAACAGCCCACTGAGCCATTCTATCTCCATTTTTGATTAATTAATTTGTAAAAATTTGTAAAATTCTTTTTTCCACTTCTTTTCTTTATTTTAGGTGTTATTCATTTGCAAATAATTTTTTTTGGACATTATTTTCGATTGGTTTAAAAATTTTTTTATTTATTGTTCTAGAGTATGAAGAATGTGGAAGAAATTGTGCATGAACGTAATGATGCATTTTTTTTACTTGAAACTGGTCAAGGTGCTGATCCGCCAATACGTTCTATCACTTCATTTGCTGGATTTACCTATAAGTAAAGCTACAAGTCGGATTAATTTTTATTGGGCTATCGAAGGGTTTCTGTGTTTTTATATTGTCTATTTGTTTTGAAAGATCATAACTTTCGGAAGCCGTTAGTGTAGGTTATATTGGTTACATTGAACTATCTTTGACCAATATTACATAATATTATATACTTCATTTACATAAAAGTCCGAGCTCCTGGAACCAGTTAATTGCTTTTCGATGTCCTTATGTTTTTAAATGTGTTTCTTCCTGAAGGAGTTGTCGAAGGAAATCTGACGAGGCACCTGGGAAATTTGTGGATAAGAAAGGATTTTGACATTCTATTGAGCTAATTTTTATGAAAAGATCCTTTGCGATATGTGGTCTAACGTTGTCATGCAGAATGATGGAAATTTTTTTATTGATCAGTACCGTTCTTATCTTGTTATTCCTGGTAGGGTGTTTCCAATTCTTTTCTGAGCCATTTTTTTGTAATTATTGTACTAGGTTTTCATTCGTGCATGGATTGAAGGAAATCATCCTTGAATGGCCATTTCGCCCATCCTTTTCTTTTGTCGTACTAATTCATTTTTTATCGTGAATTCCAGAGATTAATCATTTCGTATTAACATCTCGCCAAACTTCATTTGATGTTTAGTCATGTTTATTCGCCCTTTTTCTTCTCTTTTGCAAAGATAAGAGACAAGTGGCTTCACATGGCATGTGATGAAACTCCAAGTTTTTGCTCTAAATCTGCACGATCTTTTCTGGGATTAACCGTCATTTTCTTCAGGGAAGAGGATTTGTCTTCGGAATAGAACTTGAAGGCCATTCACAATATGGGATTTCGAGATTCATATCATCGAAATTAAGTAAATTACCAATTAAATTAAATTACCAATCTTTGTTTAGCTGGATCGTCACCAATTTGAATGGTACTGTTTGCAATTTGCTTCTGTTGTTTAATGTCCCAGTTCATACCTATTAAAATGCCAGAAATTGGAAATCACGTTCTTCCATGTTGAATCTGATGGAATAAAACAAAAAAAAAAAAATTATTGGTCTTAGATGAAAAAAGATCACAACAATATACGATACGGTAATGTAACATTATGAAGAACGGAAACAGAAACCGAGAACTTCTCTGATGACCATTTTACTGGTTATAAATTTTTAAGAGTCATTTTATGTTTTCTGGTTAAAATTTTATTTCAATTATTTTAGAAAGTTTGCTACTGAACATTATTTGCCAGCTGAAATCACAGGTGAAAAAGAATATGAAAAACCATATTTGGATGATGACGCTTATATGATGCAAAAATTATGGGCAGAAAAAGAACATGCGAAAAAAAGAATTGCACTGAGTGAGACTAAACGAAGGAGAAATCTTGCTGAAAATATGGTTAGCTTTAAAATATGAGTGTAAATATATAAGAAATATAGGGAATACTTTTTTATAAAAGAAGCGTGCTTATGATTCATTTATCATTTTGCTAAGTTTATAGCTCATTAGCATTCAGTAAAAATGGTAAATTTGGCTTTCATTGGTTTATCTTTTTGCAGAATTATTAGTTTTATAGGTGCCATTACCATTGTTTATAATAGTTTATTCTTATAATATTCGCCACTTATTTTTATTAATATTTTCTTTATTTCGAAATTTTTATCTTTTTCTATTATTCTTATTGTTCAATATCAAAATTATCATTTTTTAAAGAATGACTTGCATAGAATTATTGAGATATCAAGAATATGAAGAATATGAAGAACCGGATTAAATTTCAGAGGACAAAATATTAATAGATTTTCAACTGATATTAATAATAGGACTTATTTTTTTGTCAAAATTATTTTTATATTTCAGATACGCTTTAACCGTTCTGCACGAAGGCTAGTGAATAGAGTTGAACATCTGCATTAATTACTTGATTTTTTGTTGATTTGCTGCACTTTTTGTGCATAAATGTTTTATCTTTACATCATTTCATTTTTCACACCATTTAGAAATTATAGAACTATTTGAACAAAATCTGGCAATCGCTGCCTTTATAATTTTTTAATTATCCAGCGTGCTTATGATTCATTTATCATTTTGCTGAAGTTTATAGCTCATTAGCATTCAGTAAAAATGATAAATTTGGCTTTCATTGGTTTATCTTTTTGCAGAATTATTAGTTATTATTAGTTTTATAGGTGCCATTACCATTGTTTATAATAGTTTATTCTTATAATATTCGCCACTTATCCATTGGCTTTGAAAATGAAGAATTCAGGTGCTACCATCCAATATCGCACCAATTTCGTTTATTTGGTAAATTTTGATTGTTTGGATTCATTTATAATTATTTTTAAATTATTTTTAAATTTGGTGGCAAGAAAGAAAGTCCTATCCTATAATATCTATAAATAATTAATCCATCAACGAAATCTGAAGTAGTAGATTGATAATATTTGATGAAACCGAATTTATTGAAGTTTCAATGAAATGAACAAATCTTTTCTTCAGTGGTATTTATTATAGCTAGTTTTTTAAAGCTTTTAAATCCAGAAAATATGAAAAAATAACACGAAATTAGGAAAATTTTGATTGTTACTATCACTTCAGAAACATTTTTAAATTAATTTATTTCATTTATTACTGTTTTTCCAATAGAGAATAAATAAGCCGCAATTTTTACAATAGTTTCGATGCCAAGAAAAGATGAAAAGGAGTCGATGAAAAAGAAAAAGTGAATGGAAGACCCCATTCGAAATCCCTATGTAATCTCTATGGTAGCAAGGGCCATATACAGCAGTTTAAAATTTATACTAAAAAATGGGCATCCTCAATACTATGCAATATTCTCTTATTAGCTTCCTGGCGATGTCGCAGATACTGGCTTTCCTCTGAAGCGAGAATTTTTTGGTTTGAAACGTCGTAAAAAACGAAATTAGTAAATTTGTTTGGTGATGATGAGAGAAAAGCAAAGTTTATCGACAGTCAACTTTCTAAGAAAGCTCCATTTATTTATTTACATTTCGCTCAAATTTATTTTTAAAATAATTTTAGGAAGTGTCAACGAAAAAATTTAAAAAAATTTAAAAATTTATTCGGATTGCAGAAATTTCTCCTTTATGCCGAGTTTATTAACTGATTATTTACTTTTCTTTTTCAATTCATTTTCGAAAAAAATTACCTGAAAATCGAAAACTAAATATTTTTAAAACAATAGAGTTGCATCAAATGAATTCAAAAACTTAAAATTTTTTGAATTTTAATTTTTGAAATGAGTTTATAGGTTTCTGCTAGGTGCTGCGGCCGGTGTCATGATGCATGAAATGATAATCTAGGAAATACAATTTGTTAATCCAAAATTGAAATCGCTTTTTTAAATTGCTCACCGATTTTATTTTTAAATTTGCTTTTCTGTGGAAATTTGTAGATCCAATAAATATATTCATTTATCTCGAATTATTTCACCTTTCAAATTTGTTTTATTAGAGGCTAATTTCATTCTCCTTGTAACTCACTTTTCTATTTTTTATTTTTCCCAAAACATAGAAACAAAAAGTACATTTCTGAATTTAACATCTAACACTTTTTGTTTAAAAGGGCAGATTAGCAGAATAGGTAGTGGTTCAGACTGCGTCAGGAGACAAGAATTCTGCCTCCTTCGATGGAAGTAAACCATTGAAAAATCCGAATGAGGCTAACGGTCAGCTTGTATCTCTATCGCCATGTGATGCTCTGGTAAAGACAACTGTACTAAGGGGAGATAACTGTACTTAGGGAGGAGTGATCTTTGAGCACCCGCTCTCTCTTTTCATATCTTTTTAGCGTATGAACTTGTTTGCAAATGCAGAGTTCTTCAATCGAAAATTGCACATTTACCATCAAATAATCGAGAAAAAGCCGTTAATAATGTGCAATATTAAACAAACTAAAGAGATAATAAAAAAGCATAAACATAAGAACATAATAAAACACAAATATAAGCATAGACGGAAAATAAATTGTGCAACAAATTGTTGTGTTTTTTAGGTTTTATAGGGACAAACTTGTATGCTAGAGCTTTGATTTAGCTGGAGTAATCCTATGGGGTGTGCTGCTAATCCGCCTACTATGGCAAGTGAAAATACCAGTGAAGAGAATACATCTTTACTTTTGTCGCTATATACTTCTCTCGTGGGAAAATTCTCTTATTCTCGTAGTCAGTGAAGCTAGAAATAATGCTGAAGAAAAAGGAAGAGATTTGTGAATATTATACAAGTTGAGGAGCGATGCATCGATAAGCGATGGTTGGCTATTTTATAATTATTTTGGAAGCTATTGCTTTTTAATTTCGCAGTCTGTTACTGATTTCAGCCTTCATTGTTTTTATCTGAATCGGCAAAAGTGAATATTAACCATGCTTCTTTCCTTTTCGTGCTTAGTAAAATCATCGTTCTATGAATGCATTTAGCAGCCGATTTAGCAGCTGACATACTGCATGACAGTACTTTCCTTATAAGCCGCCAAAACCAGGAGGAATTTCAGTAAAGATTTGGCTAATGAAATAAGCGAAACTCGCAAAAATAAAGTGGAGAAATCAATGAAAAAAGAATGATGGGAATATTTAACGTTCAATTTGCAATTTCTTTAATTTTATGCGTTGCAAGAAATAATAAATATTTAAAAAAGTAAAAAAGTAATAAACATTGTAATAAATAAAATTAAGATTATGCTGGAGGTATATCTACATCTGCATCCTCGACACCAAATGGTCCTCTAGTAAAGGGACTTTAGCCTAGTAATTAGTAAAGCCAAACAACAGCTAAAAAATTTATCAAATTGAACAAATTTCTTCGAAGGTACATAGACATTAATGAGAAGAAATAAATTTTACAGATTTCCTTTATTACTAGAATTACTAGAATTTTATCGTACAGTTACGGTGATGTGGAAATATTTGAACAAAAGTATTTTTACGAAATTTCCTTCTTCTTTAGAAATTTCGGATAAAAAGAGAATAAAGACCCCCTCTTATGCATGTCTCTCTAGTTTCAAAAATTTCAAATCAGCAAATCTTTGATAAATTTTATTTTATTTTTATTTTGATTTTGATTTTTATTTTAATTTTTTCAATTTTAACAATTATAAATCTTTAATTTGCTATCAGGCAGTACATATAGGAAGGAATATGAGAAGTTAGAGAAATGCCAGAGGGATGAAAGAGGAACTGGAGAAGGTGTGGAAAGAGCCACCGATAAGGGATGAAAAGGGAATTTTTTTATATAGGAACATTAGGAAGTAATTGTCGGAATACCGTGGTGATTGAGGAGAGCGATTAATATAGAATGTAACACAACGAATTGCAACCAATCATCCTTAGAGAGAATCATTGGGCGACGTCCTCTTAGCCTTAGCTCTTACCTCAATCTCCTAGACTTCTGGCAGAGGACTTGAGGTTGAGGATGACCCACTCACAGAGGGTGAAAAAGAATTTTTTTGTATAAGAACATCGGGAAGAAGAAATATGAGAAAATAATTAGAGAAATACCAGAGACTGAAAGAGGGACTAGAAAAGGTGTGGAAAATGGATGCCAAAGTAATCCCTGTGGTGGAGCACCAGGGGCTATGATTCTTGAACTAGAAAACTTGTTTGAACAGGTTCCACGGACGACATCAGAGCTCTCTATCCAGAAAAGCATTGCTAGCAACTGTTTACAGAATCCTCAAACTTTTGGACTTCCGATAAAGGTTGAGGATGACCCAGAACACCCACAGCAAGTGATTTTTTTTTATCTGAATGAAATTAATATTTATTTATTTATTATCATCTTATCATTGATTATTATATTATTATTATCGTTTTTATTAATATTATATGAAGAAATAAAAAGAAAGCTGGACAAGAAGCCAATAGAGCAACAAGAAGTTAACGAAAAGCTGATGACTCAACTAAGGAGAAAAGGTGCCACGGACGGTACTAACGGTAAAACAGTGGAAGCAGGCTGGCTCCAAAAATAGCATCCGCGTTTGGTAACAGTTATTATTATTTATTATTATCATTATCATTAATATTATTATTTACTATTATTATTGTTATTATTATTAATTGCCCACTAATTATTTGATAGAATAATAGAATATTTCATCCGACTTGTGATTTTTTGATTTTCGTTATTCACATCTTATTTGATGATAATTGCATAATTTAATCTGTACAGTCAAACATTTCATTTCTGACATTATTTCTGACAAATATTTCTGACTAAATGCTTCGATACTTGACATTATGAGCAAAAAAAAGATTTAAGCAAAGAATAAATTTAATTCAAATTAGCTCATTAAGCCAATTCTGCTCCCAATTCTCAAGAAAGATGATAGAACATACTGCAACAATTATCGAAGAATCAGCCTACTAGACGTCTCAAAGAAAATTTTTGCTTCCCTTTTACTCAACAGACTTATGGAAGTACGAGACAGCAGGATGCGCCCTAATCAAGCTGGTTTCAGACCAGGGCGCGGTTGTGCTGACCAGATATTCACATTAAGAAAAGTGTTAGAACATCGCTTCAGATATTTGCAACCCACTGTCACGTATTTTATCGACTTTGAGTTTGCCATTGATTTAATTTATAGAACGGCGCTTTGGAGGATGGAACATGACGGTGTTTCAAGAGAAAATCATTAGACTCATAAAAGCATTTGATGAGCGCACGTCGGCGCAGGTCTGTGTATATGGGGAGCTGACAGATTCCTTCGAAATAAGAACAGGTGTCCGTCAGGGCTGCGTCCTTTCCCCCACAATATTCAACTATGCGATAGACTGGATAATGGACACTGCTTGTCGGCACTCAAGAGGTGTCCAAATCAGTCCAGAGAATCGTATCACAGAACACAATCGTATCACGTAACTTGAATACGCGGATGATATAGTCTTTTTGTTGACAGTTATGACGAAATGAAAGTAATGCTAAATAACGTGTCAGAAACTGCAGCAAAAATCGGACTCAGGAATCAACGTAAATAAAACGAAAATCTTTTCGTCTTATGTGCAAGAAGCTAAAATGCCTCTTTTTGTAAATTCATTGCCGGTTGAGGAAGTGCTTGATTTCAAATACCTTGGGTTCACTCTAATGCCAAATAGCCAGGCAAAAGGTATTATAGTCCGGATCACGGCAGCTTCTTCTGGTTAACGAAACACTTATGGAGCAGTTGTGAAATTACCATAAAAACGAAAGTCCGCAAGTAGGTGTGATTCGTTCGATCTTACTATATGGCTCATGGCCAGTGCGAGTGGAGGATATTAAGAAACTATCTACCTTTGACTCTTGTCTAAGACACATTCTACGAGTCCGTCGAGCGAATAAAATACCACTTGATAGCATCCATCTTCGTTCAAATACCACTTGTATAAATAATGTTATCACAGAGTGCCGTCTTTACTGGTTAGGGCACGTTCTCCTTTGTGTATCAAAGAAGTGACGCATATTTCGTTACTTGTTGAATCCTGATGGTGTCAAAAGCGATGAGGGCCAATCAAAACCTGAACTGATACTCTCAGGAAAGATTTTGAACGTATAGGTGGACCAGCAATATATAGACTTAGAAGATGGAAAAGGAAAGGAAAGAAAAGAATAACGATGGCATCGGACCTAGCAGCTTGGAGACTTCTTACTCTTATAATCAGCGAGCTAACCTAACCAGTAATGGTGAGAACTGTTGAAGAAGAATTTAATGGAATGCTATTCGCGCCTTCGGTGACAAAATTTAGCAAATTAATCAAAACAAGGTCAGCTTATTGTTAATAAAAAATAAATATTTTGCTAAGCAACGGCAGAAAGCTGAACAATAGGACCCATCAAAAATTTAAGCGAACCATGAACATTTAAATTTGAAATTTCCCTTTTTTTGCGTTCCCATTTATTTTACTATTTATTATTTATTATTTTCAGTGGATTTCATGATAAATTCTCAAATTTTGGCCGAACAAAAATGCCAAATATGTCATCGTCAAAATAAATTTGAATTTAAATTTGTGAGAAATTTATCATACGATCGAATACTTTTTATTTATCGACCTCGTCTCAATAGTCAGTTAAATTTACCAATTAAAAGCAAAAAGTTGCTATTGCTGTCGAAAAAAATTTTTATTTTAATTTTTATTTTAATTTTTATTCTTTTTTATTTTTATAAAATTTTTATTCTTTTTTTCTTTTAAAAATAAAACAAACTTTTTATTATTGAATACCGTTTATTAAAATTGAAAACTGAATACTATTTCACTTTTCTTTTTCCACTTTATTCGTTCAATTAAGCGAAATAAGAAATGAAATCTTAGTGGTTCTACAATTTTTGCCATGGGAAATAATTGTTATTTTTTGTTGGAAGCTGGCGAGCTCATCAATCAAATTTTGTTAAAGACTTACAGCTACGCGTTAATTATTTTTACGACAAATTAATTGCTGCATTTTTTGCGAAAGCTCGAGAAAAGAAAATAATAATCTTAATGTTTGTGGAATTAGATTTTTTGATTTTTTTTTTTCCTTACTTTTCCAAATTATTGAGAAAAGGTCAATTACAGAGGCCAAAGTTGAGAAGTATTTTATCCGAGCAGAACTCGGGAAAGATTAAATTGAGAAATTAGTGCGCATAGGTTTGAACTTTCAGTGGAACGATTCATTTGAACGCCATCCCTCTTTGGTTCGCTTGTTTTACCTATAATGTTCTAAGTGCTTATGGTAGTGCTTATGGTACTGAAATGAGTTTTTTGACGAGCAATTACCAGTATGCATTCGTTATTCCGAAATTAATATGACTGACGTATGTCTTCATTTTTCAAAAACATTTTAGAATTCTTTTGGATTCTAATTTCCAGCTTTTTCCTGATTGTCATGAATTTTTTATAACAAACAAATTAAACGACTCTAATGAACTAAATTCTCATGAGCTGCGCTCCTTGTTTTTATTTTGCTCAATTTTTCCTTTTTGATGAATCGGGTGAATAACTTGTCTAAGACTATTTCATCCCAAATGGTGCCAAAGGCACACCTGTAATTCTGATCTAAAATAACTCTCTGGTGAAGGGGTCTCATCTGACTCAACCAAACCAAAAAATAATGAGTGCAGTTATGAAAAGATGGCGAAAATTTTTTCATCTTACAATATTAGCAATATTTGTGCTAAAAAACATCGGCTTTCCTTCAGCTCGCCAATTGCAATCCATTTTATTCAAATTTTTTTGCAAAAATATTGTAGAATATGGAAAATGTGGCAAAGAGCAGTTGGTCAAATGATTTTGATGATTTTACCCAAAGCCATTTGGAAGAGATACGTGATGCCTTCAATATATTCGACCGTGACGGCGATGGTCGAATTACTACCGACGAACTTAGTACTGTTATGGCTTCACTTGGTCAACGGCCGACTAAAAGCGAACTAAAAAATATGATCAGCGAATTTGATGAAGACGGTTTCCTTTTTTATTTATTTCTTCCCTTAGCATACCTTTGCATTCAATTCAGCTATTCATTTTTTTTATTCTTTATTGCTTTTATTTTCCATTGTTCCTTTCGGTGTCACGCCTTCCTATATGTATGCATCGCATGATTTCTTCTCTTGGCAATAATAATTGGTCTAATTTGCATAAAGGTTACATTATAGAATAGAATACTAAATCTTGAAATACTGAAACTGCGCTACATCAAAAGCTTAAAGCAGTTTTCGTTCATCCCTATTTATCCCGATCCTATTAATCCAATTATTTTGATGTCGGATCACACCATATGCTAAATTGTGCTAAGAATACGTTAGAGGCAGAAAAAACTTGGCTACACTTATTTTTCTCATTGTTATGTATTTCACTGTAGGATGCATCCAGACTTCCGCGGAGATTCTTACAGAAATAAAAATAATAATAATATTAGAATAATAAACAATTAAATAAAGAATTCAGAGTTGGTTCAGAACATCTTTTTATCCATGAAAAGGAAGGAAACCGGTTTATAATTACATAATTGTTAAAGTTCAATTTCGTATATTACGTAATTTCGTATATACCGAGCTTTTAATATCGTTGATTTGCTTGACTCATTTTTTTAATGATAAATAATAATATTTGCGCATATTTAGCATAGAAAAATGAGTGAAAAGCTACTTTGTGCTTCGATATATTGGAAATAATTAGTCCCATCAATCCACTTTTTTTCCTCTAATTATTTTCACTTTTTGCCGTTTCATTTCTTCGAGAAAAAATATTCCATCATAGTTCTTTAAAATATGCGTATAAGTTACGATAGAAAAAAGTACTGTAAGAGCATTCATCATTGCTGGTGTGGTTGGCTCCAGTGAAGATGAGGCAGAGAATCGACTGGGAGTAGAAATAGAACAAGGTGCGCAGCACCAGCCCGATTTCACTTTAAATGGTTCATCCTCGCCAAAGGATGCGAATTGAATCCATGATGCTTGCACTTGGTCTAAGTAAGTTACCATTCGACCATCGATTATTCCATAGCATTTTTATTCCTAAATGAAAAAATTTCAATAATTTTTTTCCTAAGATTTTTTCTTTTTCTTAGGATTTACTTGATCGATGCAATATCGATTTAAACAAAAAATTTCTGACAATATTTTAAAAATACATAAACCAAAATGTGGATTGATGATAATAATACAGATAAATAATCAGTGAATCAAAAGTCTCATTAATTCACTTTTCTTTACATTTGAATTTACAAAACGAGCTAATTTGCTAAGTCGTTTCCATCACCAAAGGTTAAAAGGATATGCAAACCTTTCCCAGTAAACTCTAAAATTTTAAATTTAAAATTCGTAAAAGTTTTAGACAAGCAAAAAATTTTTATCAGTTTTGCCAGGAAAAAAGTAAATATTCGTATTAAAGGCAATGGTACTATTGAACTGGATGAATTCATTCGATTAATGTCGCAAAAGACATTCTTTGATAACAGCGAAGAACGCGAACTTCGCCTAGTTTTTAATGTAATGTTTTTGGTAAATTTATACTTCTGAAAATTTTTGAGAGTTTTTTCCTTTTTTCCGTAAACATTTTCAGATTTATTTTTCTTTCAAATGACATGGTTAATTAATAATTGCATGAATTCTTTCAATGTTATAAATTCATTTTCTTCATTATTCATAAAATCTATTAATTAAACGCCAAAGGATAGAAGACTTTTCAAAAAAATTTATAGAATTATTCTTAAATTTCAGCAACCGTTTAAATATATTGGTATGGTCCTTTTAAAGTGTTAAGTAGCTAGCACTCACCATTTTTGGTCAGACTCATTCCAAGGATAAGAAATTTTCGCCACGGAGAGGCTACTTGGTTCTTTTGATGATAGGTTTGATAGGTTTGAGCTCCGTCAAACTGACTCTGATGCTTCAGGATAATAGTCTGAGAAGCAGCCATTTGATAATCTTTTAAAACCACTCAATATTTAAAAGCTGAAAATTGTTTTAAAATATAACTAAAATTGCTAGGGAAGGAAGGAAGGACTAAAAAGAAAGGCTAAAAATTATTAAATATTTTAAATAATAAATATAAGCTTTTCTGTGGAATTTGAACAAATTAAATTTAATATATCTTTCAATGAAATTCTTTCCTTGGATCTGATGAAAAATTTAATGATTTTAGCAAAAAATCATTGATTCTCTTGATCAGTGTCAATTAATTTGCATTCAATAAGTCAAACAGAAATGTCATTTTTCCCGATTTTTACTATAAATTAAGAAATAAACTGAATGACCCAATTCAAGAAGCAACTGTTTAAAAGTAAACTTTAGCAAAAATCAAATTTCCAATAATTTTTTTTGGAACAGAAGCCTAATAACTTATTCCGTCAATAAAATTGCGACAAATTCAGTTTATAAGGCATTTAAAGAATAGCCCAAAGTGAATTAAATTGTGGGGTAGACAAGGTGCTTTAAACGCTTTGAGAAATATTTCGTTATATCAGAAGCCCACGGCGCATATTCCGAACATCCAACACTTATTATTTTGCATACGGAAGTATTTAAATTAAAATCCAAATTCTCTCCGGATAAGTCCCTTAGCAACAAAGTTTATAGAATCATTTTTCCAACAAATATATATCAACAATATTTTTCGATTCGAAAATAATCTTTTCGAATCGACTAAAAGTATTTTCATTTTTATTACAAAATTATTAAAAAATTATTTCCCGCTAATCAGCACATCAGAACGAGAATAACTAAGAAGACGACTTATTTTAAATCAACGCATAAACTTTTACAGCAGTCCATCAACTTCGTACCCCATTTGAGATCATCGTCTTCTAATAACATCAGCATTTTGCATAAGACACTTCTTCCTCAGTCAGCCATTTGTGAATTTGTCAGATGAACTGTGATAATTGGCTCAATTTCCAGCAGCACCTCAAATATAGCTTTACTCCAATAACTATCATCATTTATTCATTTATTCATACATCTATAATGTTTAGGAATTCGACAAGGATGGTGATGGTTTCATTTCCGCAGAAGATTTAAAATTAACGATGAATCGACATGGCAGAACAATATCTACCCAAGATGTGATAAAAATGTTGGAATTGGCAGATGTGGATAATGACGGCCGAGTCAATTTCAAAGGTAAATTACCACTTGCCAAACAAATTGAACATATTTCAACCAGTGATGCGAATCAGTCGAAGTATAAGCTTACGGCGATAACTATTATCACGTCATATTGGCGCATTAAGGGTTGACCACTTGATTTAGCAATCTGACTATTCATAATTGAATTATCAAAAAAATCAAACTTCTAGTTTCAATATATTCTTAATCTCTTCTTTCCTTTCAAGAATCGATGTCAACGAATGATGATGAATTCCCCTTATTTTGCTTTGCTAAAAAATGCAAATGCCGACATCCGATTGATCCAAAATTCCAAAGGCATATACTTGACATCTTTGTTAAAAATAGCCATAATGCTCAGATTTTCAGATTTTAAAACCATCATCACGGTCAGAAAAACAAACTATTGGTCTTAACAAGATCGTCGAAATAATTTTTTTTTCTTTTTTGTTGGATTCTTCCTTTGATAATGAAATAATGAAATTTGCGTCTGCGATATTAAAAAAGATATAAAAGATAAAAAAATGAAATAAAAGAGATTTTGTTACTCGGGTTCGATTGCTTAAAATCATACCCACGTAAAAATGAAAATGAAAAAATGAGTGATAAATGATAAGCTAATAATACTAATATTTTCATATAAAATATAAATATATATATATATAAAATTGATATATAATCTTTCACTAGAAGTAGTTTTAATACTATTAATTTTTGTCATCCATAAGATTTATTCATCGAACGTTATCGAATTAACTCGAAATCACAAACCACCAAATGAAAAAAATAAATATAAAAAGGGTAAAACAAATTTAAAGATAAAAATGGTAATGCAAATTATCTTAGATTTCCACCAAAAAACCAGAAAAAAAAATTTAAAAAATTGAAAAAAGTGGAAAAAATAACTGAAAACTGAAAAGGTTGAATCACGGATGTAATTTCAATAAATTGAAAAAAAAATTTTCAATGAAACTGAAAACCAAAAAATAGCTCCCAAAATAAAGAATTTTCAATTTCAAAAAAAATCAAAAGATATAAAGACATAAACATGCATAAACTAAGAGGGAAAAATGGCAGAGTTTGCTTCATGAAAAATTTTAAAAAATCTGAAAGAAATAATAATTAGTAATAACCATTTAGCAAATTCTATCAACAATGAAAATATGAAAGAAACTATAAGCAATAAACATTAAACACTTAAAACTTAAAACATTTAAGAATTGAACAAAGAATTCTCTGTGGAAATCTCTGGTGATTTATGTGGTAATTTAATACCACAAAGTTTCACATTTATTGAAGTATAATCAGATTTCAAATAAAATCCGTTTGATAAAATGTTAAAATTACGCATATTACAGCCCAAATCTCGAATGCTTGCTTGATGATAATGGCGAAGATGGACAGCAAAATGTGCTCGACTTTTAAATTTTTTATTACAATTATTGCAGGCCACAATAGGTTGATCTGTAATAAATATTTATGAAAATAATGAAGAAATTTCATCCCATAAATTTTAGATGAAAATATTAAGTTGAAAGCCTGAAAAAAATAATCAAATAGTCACTGAGCATAAATTTTCGATTTTTACTACGCGAAAATTCAATAATTTCTGGAAAATATAATTGATGCTTGCATTTCTATCCAAATATTTAATATGCATTTAATATCATAACAATAACACGTATGCCTCCAATTCCATCTTGCAAAAAAAAAATAACCCACCTATATGACTTAAGATGTGATCATGTAATTTGGCTTGTGAAGAAAACTGCCGATTACATTCGGCTATTTCACATAACAACTCTTTCTGAACAGTACATCTTTTGTACATTTGTAAATGAATTCGCTTGTAGTGCCTTATAAGAGACAGCATACGAGTGAATTGTTTGTTACAAATATTGCATAAATGATTTTCGAGGTCTATAATAAAGAGTCTAGCTAGTGGAAATAGCTAGTGAAAACTTAAATTTTTAAGGCCCGACAGGCATAAAATCCATCTCGATAAACATGAAATTAAATTAAGTTGGGTTGAATCAAATTCCCTATCTTTCTTATTACAATTACCATCTGTTGCTCGGAAATTTTTACCAGCAATACTGTCGAGTCCATTTGGTGCAAAATATGATTTGTGGGACTGATTTTCAGAATTGACATTCGCTGCAATAAAAACTTCGATTGCAAAAATTAAATTAAATTAGACAATTTAATTAGACGAAAGATATATCATATTTACAATATTTCTTTTTTTAAATTCTGGTTGAAAACTGAAACTGAAATTATTGTAAAATTACTACAGTATAAATATTAATTAAGAAACAAATAAAGCAAACAATTTATGGCGTTATTCAAATTTAAAATTGGCGAATTAGGCAAATATTCGTTATTCGGCTCATCATGCAACATGACCTCTTTGTCAAGATCTGCAGAAAAAAGATATTGCTTAGGACTATTAATTTGGCTGGCTGCAGATAATTTTTCTGATTTGAACGAATTCTTACGAATTAGGCTGTTGTTAATTTTGGTATTACGATTGCCCATAGAATGAACCTTTTCGATATGCCTTTTCAATCTGAAATTTTTAAATTGGAATTTTATGAAAAAAAATAAAGTTGAGGACATAAACAAGATTTTTTAAAAAAAATCACCTAAAATATGATATGGTAGTTGAACAACCGGCAACTGTGCAACGTACACCCTTTTCATGATTTATAATAATGTGTTTTTTGAGTTCAGCTTTTACATTTGATGAATACGCACAAATGTGACATTGATGTTTTACGCGATGAGTAAATGCAATGTGAGTACGTAACTGATTGAAACGATCAAATTTTGCACCGCAATGCACACATTCGTTAGCAACTAAAAAATTTAAATTGAACATTAATTAAATAAATCCACAAGCCACAAGAAATTTAAAGAACATAACGTGAATGAGACGAACTGATATGGTTGCGAAGTTTGTTGGGAAATGCAAAAACTGCTGAGCATTTCGAACATTTATGCCTTTTTTCTATTTTTTTTTCATTCTTTTTTGTTTTGCGGCTTTTGGATACATCTTTCTCGACCATTTACACCAACCGGCAAATCGATATGTATATATATATCAAAAAAAATTCGTGGAAAGAATTAAAATGTATAAGGAATCAACAACCTATTGACGCAACAGATCTATTGTCGATAGTTTTTTCAAATTTATTGTAGTAAAATCTTAAACCAAAAAACAAAAAACTGAAAATATAAATAGGTGAAATAGTTCTTTTAACAAATTCAGCATCATACTTCCAGTCATTATTTTCAATAAATCGTGAAGATAAAAATGAGATGTGGAAAAAATGATAAACCCAATAGAGTATATGAAACTTCAATATAAAGAAAATTTTATCACCTAATTTAACATCTAAAAAATCTCAACAATAAAATTGCAAAAACGAAAAATTAGTGAAAATCCAATTAAATATCAATTTGAAAAAAGGTGTAAAAATATATTTCTTCTGAAACATGAAAAATTATATAATCAAAAACAGAAAAAGTCCAAATACCATTAAGAATAAAAACATATAACAAAGATATACCATGATTGGCCAATAATTCGATTCATAACGCTGTTCTCATAAAAGCTTGATAACAAACTTAGAAGTGCGAAAATTCGCAAAAGACAGGGTATGACGTTATGAAAAGGTAAAATTTAACATGAGGATTAAAGAATTACGAGGATTTTTAGGAGAGAATTTTGTGATAAAATTTAACATCAACCATCATCATTTAGCGATTTAATCAAGGCAAAACAAGTTTCTTCACAATCACTTTCCTGAAAAATCCTAATATATAATAATTCATTTTTGGAATAAATTAACCAATTTCATCCTCCAACCTAATCATAAATTCGTGAAAACATTTTAGAAAGACTTAATGAAATGCAAACCGAAATGGAATCAGAATCAGGATATTCCAAGTTATTTTCTTGAGCAATTCTGGATTGATCCTTTACCAATAATAACCGATTTTCAAAGAGAGGAATTGCGGAAGCACTAAGCTTATCCGAATATTTCTAAAAAATGGAATTTATTTAAAATATAAGTATGAGATAAAAAAGGTTTGCATATACGTAATGCACTATGGTATTTTGTCTTAGTTGTAACCATTGTGCAAGTTTGAACTGATTTTTGCTTCCTTTAATGAAAAATTTAATTGATAATATAAACGAACTCGTCTAAAATTCTTATTTTTATATGTTGATAACTGTAAAATCTGAAAATCGAGGAATCTGAACTTCAGGTGACTTGAATAATTTATATGGATTGGTCACATGGCTTTAGAAAAAAAATACCTATCTGATTGAAGGCATAATCCTACATCATGTGCTAAATCCTCTACTTTCATTACATAATCACCACTCTAACTAATATAAACAGATTCGATTAAAATTTTAGCTTTGCTCTACATAATATAAATGTTGTCAAAAAATTCTCTAAAAATTTAAACCACACTCAAATCTAAATGTTTAAAATCTTCACAAATGAATCATCTTAACTTCTTATCAAGATTCAAGCACCCACATTTAACACAGCTTTCTTATCGCCTAAGCAGGAAGCTAATAGCTATAGAGAAAGCTTTTTAAGCGGCCTAAATCTTAACCACTCAACATTCACAATAAATAATGCCGTATTTTTATCAAAAATTAAAAAAAATATCACGATTAAAACATCATATATAGAATATTAAAATATCACGAAAACGACATATTTATTACACATTAACGTCACAACCTATTTTTTAACCATTCATCTAATGTTTATTTTGCAGCAGGAGCGCAGAAAATCTTTATCAACTTTTACAGGCCTACTATATCTTTGAATGTCCTGTAAAATGACGTTACCACTTCTAAATTTCAAAATTTGCTTTGATATTTTGATATCCACTCCTTTCCGATACAGTTAGTTTCATATTACTTGTATTACTTGTTGCTTTATCGGATAAAATTGGTAAAAAGTGCAATGTCTCAAATGTTCCTAGATGGTAAATACTTCATAGACTACCCATTCTCATAACTAAACAATCGGACAAATTTTCACAATATAGATGAGGCTACTGTATAACTGGAGAGACGTTTTAGAGAAAACGTCATTTCCACCTCAAAAATATATTTCTGAGAAAACTTATTGGTTTATATGTATATTATACATTAATATGAATTTATTATAAGCTCGATTTATTTCCAATCAAAAACAGTTTTTTAAAAAAAGATCTGATTTTTTATAATTGATTTTTACAGAATTTTATTTGGTTTTATTTTATTTTAAACTAAATTATACCTATGCTTAAATGTAAATCCAGTAAGAGACTGAAATTACGTAAAATAATTTAGAAAATTGACGTTTTATCCCGCAACTCAGAAATGTTAATAGAACAAGCTACTTAGCTTTAAAAAAAGAAGTTTGATAGCATTATGAAATTTTTTAAAGTTGTAATAATTCTCTAATTGAACAAATTCCGCAATTAAAATTATCTTTCTTCTTTCTTAATATATAATTATTGCATTTCTTTTCATATTTGTTAAGCTGTTTCACTTTTTTGTTAGTCTCCAATATAATACAATATTGTTATCTAAATAAAACATTTGGTGAGACCTGGAAAAATTCCAAAAATTCATTAAATTTCATTAAATCTTAATTGAAGGCAATATAATTCGGATTGTACAAACCTTATCATTGTATTTTACCACTTGCTTTCGTAACCAAAATGGATTGTTCTGATGATATTCCGTCACTTTTTTAACAGCATGCAAAAATTTTTGCATTTCATTATTTCCAATTTTTTCAACTTCAATTTGTTCTTCATTAGATAATAAAGCAAGAAGTTCATAAATCTGTAAAAAAAAACCTAAACAAGGCTTTTACAAAAATTTTTCCAACTTTTTGCAAAAAAAATATAAAAAAATTAACAATCAAATAAATTTATAATTTAAATATAAAAATTATACAACAAAATATATAAATATAAACTAATAAATATAATAAAAAAATATTGTGAAAATACTTTTAATGGTAATTCGAGAATTCTCGCAGATACAGCATGCACCCAATCAGGTATAACTGTTGATGATGAATAAGACATGCGAAGGAATATAAATTTCGCCATATAGCTGGAATCGATTTCTCCTACATTTGTAAATTTGGAAAATTTCTGCAAAAAAGTAGTTAAATCTTTATGTCCAAGATATAAATATAAATCTTTTTCAAAAAAAACTCATTTCTAAAAATTTCACGGCTAACCTAACGTGTAACTAAAACACCACAAGAAAAACTAACAAGCATAATATAATTAATAGTCGCAACGAAAAGATGAGAAAAAGGACTATTTAAAGATTCTCCTTGCAAAACTATTCGTGTGCCTTCTGAAAATATCACAAGAACGAATTGTACTCGTTCTAATGTTTCCATTAACCAGCAGTGGGGAGGAATAGCTGAAAGTTATTTCGAAATTGACGAAATTGAAAAAAATAGAAATTAGATTTGAAAAAATGTTAAACATAAAATTTGAGAAAACCGACAGCTGAGAATTATTAACGAACATTGTGAAAGGCTGAAAATGATAATAATAAATGAAAAACAAATTTACTTGTTAAATTCAGATCGAAACGATCAAAGAATATTTCCACATTTGCAGACTGCTCTAATAAGCGTGCAAAAGCCACAATGCAGTTTGAATGAGCAACGTGATCATCGGTGCAAACAATAAGTACAGCAGGACGAACAATAAGTATAGCAGAATCATTAATATTTCTATTATTATGCCTCGTTGATTTCTTTTGCAAAAATTTTTTGAAATTAGTATAAAAGGAAATGATGGAAAGCACGATGGAAACGACGATGAAAACTGCAATTTATCAATCTTAAAATCTTAAAATTTGAAATAAAAAATTTTCTCCTTATTTAGTTTTTATAATTATATATGAACACAAAAGTATTCAAAAACCTCTATAAGAACATATATACATACATACTACTACTACTACTTTACATACTACTTTCGTAAAAACATAAGATTTAACTCATGGAGCATACATGATAATGATAATTTTGTAGTAAGAATGACTGTCGATTGATAAATGCGTTGTGCTGGGCTTAGTTTATCAGAAATTAATGTGAATTTCAGGACCGTATTTGGACAAATGTTACAATCTGCCTTAACCACACTCCGATCATCTTTCCTCCAATTTGCTATATTATCCAGACTTCTTTCCTGACATACAAAATGACAGTTAGAACGATTAATGTAAGATAAGACTAGATAATCCCCTGATCGCACATTCTTCCATTCGAAACCACTTTTCTCGATGGAAATTGATTTAGAAAAAATAAATTCAAGCGATTCTTTTCTTTTTCGATATATAGCATAAACGATTTTATCAATATTTGCAACAAGTTTTTTTTCATGTCGAAGCCAAACTCTCTGAAATTATTATTGCTAGATATGGAATTAAAATGAATAATTTCCCACCATAAAAAAGAATTACTAATTTTGAAAGAAGTAATTCCAATCTACTTAAAAAAAAATCTAACATCATTAAGTGTGGTTTCAACATATACGAGAGGTGACCAATCAGACGATATAACCTTATCCGTATAAGATTCCTGAGGTACTGTTACGATGAACGATGACCTACAAGACAAAAGATTAATAAAATTGATGGAATTCTTAGCAGAAATGTTATCAGAAATTTTAACTGGAAAAAGAATTAAGAACTTTTGTTTACTGTTTTATTTCGACATTATTTTGGCTAAAAACGATCAAGATATAAAAGAAAATAAAAAATAAATCAAAAAAAGTGAAGAGGATCACATGCAATTTTGGGGAATAACTGAAATATTGATGCGATAATGCGAATATGCAAACATTCGGAAACACTGATAATCAATTCGAAAAGGAAGCATAAAAAAATTCTGGTGCGGAAAAGAAAATGATCGACATGGCCAAACTAAACGATTCCATTTACGATACTGTTCCTATAATATTATACAGCATGACACAATAAAATATGCCAATAAGTGAAATATTCCAACATCAAAATTATTTTATATCAAATTAAGATTTAACATAAAAAAATTCAGATCTAAAAAATTTTTTTAAAAAAACCTTTGCACTCAATTTTTCATTTTTTTCTTTTAGCATAGCTGAAAAAAATGAGAAATCAAAAATATAAAATTATTTTTACTCGGTCAATTAATTAAATAAAACAAAAAATTCAAAGATTTAAAAATTTTTTAAAAAAAATTTTTCATTTAATTTTTCATTTTCTCCCTTTAGCATAGCTGAAAAAAATAAGGGATCAAAAATATAAAAATATTTTTACTAGGTCAATTAATTAAACAAAATTAATTAAACAAACAAAACAAAAAATTTGATCTTATATTATTCCATAAACATCCACAATTTCAAAAAAATGGAAATATAAAGGCCCACCCGATGATCATGACAGTATTGGTCTTCAAGATTTGGAGCTTCCAGACATTCCAACTGAATGAATATTTTGGTTGAAGGAACATATATAATGACGGAAATATTCAATATTACATAGGATATGCTAAAAACTTTATAAATTAACGAGCAAAAAACGATATAAAATTCGAACCATATTTACTTTTTTCTTTGTCAAATTTTTTATTTATTTTTTATTTCTTTTAATCTTGAAAATTTGGTTTTTTAAATTTTTTAAATTATTTAAAATATTTAAATAAGTTACAAGTTTTACAAGTTACAAGTTATAAGTTTTTGAAGTTTTTGAAGTTTTGAAGTTTTGAAGTTTGAAGTTTTGAAGTTTTTCTTTACAAGTTTTTTTTTTGAATCTAACTTACACAGATGAATTATCAAATAACGCAGGCAAAGTAGAGATAAATACTTTAACAATAGATTCATTGCACGAAGAAAAACCATTTGATTGATGGATTTTTGAGATAACGGAAAGAGAATTTTCACACAGTTGAGAATTCTCTTCAATATTATAAATAATTCGACTCACCTCAACCATGGATGAGTTATAAAGTTTATTGATTACGACATCATAAGGACATCTAGCAAAAATTTCAACGATGAAGGAGGATAAGAATACTGCGAAAAAATTAAAAACCATTTAGCTGACCAATAACCATAAAGCAATCTCCAATTTAAGAAGAAATACAACTGTATATTCTTATTTTTCAAGCTGGTAAATTCGTCTTTGAAGGAGTTTTTATTTAGCAGATTTAAGATTGCGCTTCAAGAGCTGCTTTGCGATAAGCTTGAGAGCGAATATAAGTTTTTGGATGTATAGGTAGCAATCCAGAAAGTCCTACAAGTTTTCCTGTCAAATATTCGATTGGATATCAGAAAAAATAATTAAAATTTGTCGATATTACCGATATAAAAATAGATTCAATCATTACCTAATAATTCAAGTACTGAAACGGATATGTTCGCGTTACGAACACCAATCCAATATTTCAATCTTCCAATATCCAAAGCAACTAATTTTTCGTTACGAAAATTTGGCAACGGATCAAAACACCCAACCTGTAATTTTAATTTTTTTTTAAATTTAATAAAATACTTTCCAAAATACATATAACTGAATAATTTCCTACAACATAACTTTAAGCTTGTGAATTCCCCTGGTGTTTTTAAAAGTTGTAAGGCTTTTTTTATGATTGCCAAAAATTAAATAAACGCCACTAATCACTAAAAGGAAGAAAAAAACTATTGGATATTTATCAAAGACTATCAGATGTAGATTCTACAAATTACGCAGTGCCAAGCGACTCGACCTCTTGGCAAAAATACCTCACGAATTGAATTAATAGCCGGTGCGGCCACCCAAACCGGAAATGGTTTTTTTTTCATACAAACTTATTAGTCGAAAATATTAAGAGAAGGACTGCGAATAAAAGACCTGAAATAAGATTCAAGAAATACGACCATGGTATATAAATATGAAAAAGAAATAAATAAAATCCATTTAGATATTTTGATTTTAAAAAATGAAGTATAATGCAAAAAATCGTTAAAAAAAATTAAAAAAAATAAAATCAAAAGATTCAAAATAATCAGAATAATCAAAAGAAAAAAAAGCGAATTCAAATTAAAATAAACCTGTTCGATGGCACTTCCTCGATAATGTCGACCAAGTGTTCGATCAGGTAAAACACAAATTAGATAAAATGGTCGATTCCTGCAACCAGCTAAGACAAAACCAATTGATGGACGACCAATGGACTTGGCAAAACGCATTCTAAATGTAATAGAACAACTCGCATATATGAGACTGAAATTTAATCTAAATGAATTCTAAAATATTAAAACCTATAATCTCGTAAATGCCATTTCTTGACATCTCTGATTTTCTAAATTCCAGGTCGATTAGTACCAATACCTTTTATTCCAGAGAAAGCATATATTCGGACGTTTGACCTGAAATGGAAAATAGCGAATACCAATCCACCCGAACTCACACTAACTCACCAAAAGCAAGAAACTACTCTGAATGAAAAGTAAAACAATAAGCATAGCAAATAATCTCAAATACTACTGTAGTCAGAATATCGCTTTTAGACCAGTTTCTTCGTTGTTTTCATTACGCTGAAGGCTTGTGAATTCCCCCTTTAGATGTTTTTAAAAGTTGTAAGGCTCTTTTTACGATTGCTAAAAACTATGAATTTAAAGTTTAAGGCAAATTTCTTTTCACAAAAATCTCTGTAAAGGAATGAAAAAGGGATTTTGCATGCAAATTAAATGTAAGATCATTATTTCGATGAAATTAAATGAATTTTATAGTTTATTGGCAAAACTAATTCGAAACAACTATTGGTACCATAGTCATAATGGCGAATACCAATCCACCTGAACCCACGTTAACTCACCAAAAGCAAGAAACTACCCTAAATGAAAAGTAGAACAACAAGCATACAATTACAATTGTAATTGTTCTTTGTAGAAGAAAATATGAATAAAACGAAGTAACTTTTGCTTAGCAATTATATTAATTAAAACTCCAAATTCTATTGCATTAAAGAAAGATATAATTAAGGTTGAATAATGGGAATTTAGCAGGACTGGAATAATAAGTGCTTGGGGGGGGGGGGGGGGGGGGGGGGGGAAAAAAAGGGGGGGGGGGGGGGGGGGGGGAGAGGGGGAGGCAGAGCGAGCTTGAAGGCTTGGAAATATGGGTGTTGAGAGGTAGGAAACAGTGTCAAAAAAATTATTCTCAAAATTAAAAATTAAATTAAAAATTAAAAAAAATTATTAGTCCGGAGATATTTTTGCTCGCACATATAACGCATCTTTTCGCTATTATTATTAAGTAAATTCTTTATTTATACAATATTTTTAAGCGAAAAATTTCAATAATCCATATCAGTTTCGTCCATTTGTTATTAATAAAGCAAATGAGCAAAGGGAAATAAAGAATTTTTTAAAAAATTGCGAATTCTAAAAAATATTGGAAAGAAGTTAAAATGGTATAAAGAAGGTGCGAATTAATGCTTCAGCAGTAACCACAAGTTTTACGACATTGTTGCGCCATTAGAGTTCTGTAGTTAGAATTTTGGCATAGATTCCTATTTGCTGGACAATCCGATGGGCGTCCAGGCTGAGAAAGGTCAACACATTGGCTCGTTCCTACATTTTCTGAAATAAATTATTTGGACGAAATTAGTGGAGAAAATCTAACATAACGGACTTTCTATCAATAAGGATCTGTTTTATGCATGGAAATTGATAACCCATAATTCTTTCTTACATTTAACCTCTCTCAAAGCTCGTTTCAACAATTAATTTATTTACTTATTATTAATTACTAACAATATCTCCTTAGACCATTTCTGAAGACTACCTGAGGACGCAATAAGCGGACAGTGAACCAATTTATATGCAAACCGCTATTATTCTTTATAAATACAATTTGATAAACAATAAAATACTTTATTCTACTCTGTTAAAAATAAAGTTAAAAACTAAAAAACTGAAATTTAATTGCAAGCCTCGAATTATTTATTTTTGCCTTTGTGCATTTAATGGGAATTGAAAAAGAATTTCTGGAAGCAATAGCAGACCTCCAGTACATCTACCGCATGTTGCAGCACACTGTTGTGTCATTAAATTTGCATAAATCGTATTATTGCAAAGATATGATAACTGCACGCAATTTCTGGCAATATTAGTGCATGTGCCTGAAAACAAATGATTTTATCTTACATTTTCGTTTATCGATTTAAAGATCCATAAACTTGGGTGTAAAAAAATTCGTTTTTCAATGAAAATTCATTCATTTCTACTTATTAGGAGTGGCCGCCAATAAAAATCATAGATATACGCTTAAATAAAATCATAGATATACTCTTAAAATCATAGATATACTCTTAATAAATGAGCTGCTGTAAGAAGATAGAGCATGAATTTTGCCACTTTTCAATATCAGTCTCAGTATCGCTCGCCTCTGATCAGTTACATAGCAAAATCGATACCGCTTAATATTCAAACGAAAATAAGGTCGCTGAATTTAATAATTTGGCTATATATTCGATATGGACCTGGAAGTGGCTCTGTTGCAGTGGCTTTCAAATAAGGTTGAGTAGCTTGGAAAACTAGCCAATGGAACCAGCTTGAGCGAAGTAATAATTAGAAGGAAGATAATTTTTATGAATGTCAGAATATTCGACTTTTAGACTAATTCAATATTTGGATAATTCTAAAAAAATGCAAATTTTAGTAGATCGGAATTTATAAAAAACTAACGATTCGGCGCCATTGCAGATCCAGTGTTTAAATCGATGCATTCTCTTGTTCCATCATCAAGAGTCACACAGGTAAAACCGGCCCCACAAGGACAAACTGTAATTAGCTATGTGGCGACTAAATAACAATCAGGCCAATTAAATTAATTAACTGAGCTATAGTTCGTTGATCTTTTTCCATATAGTCACCATCTGATTTAAATTTTCAGTTAGAAAACAGTTGAAACGTATTAGAATTCCTTACCTCCTCCTGTTCTGTAACATTTGTTTTGATAGCAAGAGTGTCCTGTTGGACACTGTCCACCAAAACAAGCTAAAAATAATTCAGTGTTAGATCCAGTTAACCTAGCTAGCATAGCTACCGCATGACATTTGAACCGAATACGAGGCTAGCAACTACCATCTGCATTTCATTCCCTAGCCGAACTAGAAATGCGCATTATTAGAAGAGGAATATTCCATCCAAATTCTTCTTTCGCAAAGGAAAAGGAGCGAATGACTCGTAAATTCGCTAATCGCAAATTCGTGGAACGAGTTTAGCGAGAAAACCTACATCGGCCATTTACCTTTTTTTCTCGAGAGATGGGGGCACTGTAAGAGGTACTGTTAAATTGTTAGATTTCTAAATTTAAAATCATCTTAAAATTTTCAAAAAATCTTTGGAAAAGAAGAAACGTACGTCCGAGTCCTTGAGAGAATACATGATAAGCTAAGGAAAAAACAAGCATAATAAAAGTTGAAAAGGACATAGTTTCGGAGAAAATTTTATTCGTCAACTGAACTATTTCTCTTTATGATTGTGATTGCTTGATTTTATAGAAATCCCTTCAAGCTGTATTCCTTTCAATTAATAAAAACAGGCTGTTGTTACAGCTGTTACAGCTGTTTCTGTTTTTAGCATACTTTATCTCTCAAATTTCTTTTAAGCCTCATTTTTTCGTCCCCCTTTGGGAATTAATTATTCGCAAGCTGTGCTGGTGATTTATTTCTCCTTTGGTAATATAGCATCCTCAAGTGGCTGACTCTGTCTAGCGAAATGAATCTTTTTGAAGATTTCTTAAGAGAGCTAAAATACAGTAGAGAATTTATATGGTTCCCGACCTAGAAATTTGCATTTCATTCATTCTTTCCTCTCAAATGAATTCTTAAAAACCAAATCGTTTTCGCTAGATTCGTTAATTCCCACTAAAGCGAATTAAAAAATTACTTTATGAGAGGGTATTTACGCAATTTTCCTATACTCTCGAACATTACATCCGACACCCATAGGCTTTCCACGATTCATTGATTCAGCCTGAGCAAACACGAAATACTACTAATATGGTAAAAAATCTGTGCCTTTCAATCAACACATCACTATCCCACATATTTGTACTTTCACCCTAATAATAAGCAAAAAGAAAATTTTTTCCAGCAATTATTTTCGATATGCGAGGTACCAATCCACACAATCGTCAAAGTTCGTCAGATAGCAATAAATTCAAATTTCTATCTGTAAAACTAATTCGATTCGATAGAAAAGCGATTCTTCAGCTTCTTCCACATTCATTTTGTTCTACTGAGGATGAAAGCTTTTTAAGCTTTTTACGAGAGGGATAGTTTGGGATGATGGAAGAATTCGCGGAACTCAAAAACAGCCTAACCAATGACAATTTAGGACGTAAAAGTTTAGAAATTTCGTACATTAAAGAAGAAAATACGTCATAGCTCATTTCAAAAATACAATTTCTGTCTATTCATCCACTACCACTCACATTGCCCACTCACATATTTCGTACATAATTAATAATAATTATCCAGTAACCCAGGCTCAGGTTCGAATACATTCAATACATTCCTCTTCGTCGAGCAAAAGTGTCGCTTGATACAGTCAAAATATTTCCGGATGGTTCAGCGGCACAGTGGAAAGAAGACTGGATTCTATTGTTTTCAAGTATGGCACCGAATCGAGCGAGGTGGAAGAAGGCATTTCTAGCCGCTGGCTGCTTTTATCTGAGTTGTAATTTCGTCTTTTGCCTGGCCATTCACGAAATATGCTGCAGTCGTAGAGCATTTCTAACGCGCAAGAGCACAGAAAGCGCGCTAACTGATCGGGGAAAAACATTTTGTTTTAACTTCAGTTCTGCATTTGAATATCCAAAATTTCAAATCAAATAATTTTAAAAGGTTCCGTAAATTAGCTTAACGAGTTGTTGCTAAATTCTGAGCGCCATTGCGGAGGTTCTAACCACCGCAGCAGTGAACCTGTCCAAAAACCTGGGTGATGCTGGCGACTCATCTGTACTCCTATCGCCAAGCGTATCTCTCCCTGGCATATCTGTCCAGTGGGCAAGCCAGCGGAGAGAGTCTGACCGATAATGGTGAAGGCTTTTTAAAAAAAGGGACTCGTAAATAGTATTAGGAAATACCAGAAAATACTGGCACTGGCTTATGTACTCAATTTTCGGCCAACTATTTTTACTTGGTTAGAAATGCATACAATTACCAATGTAAAGAGAAAATATTCAATTCGCGGTTATCCACCTCAAGGACGATTTAAAACAAGAGCCGAGTATGCATTTTAGATATCGAACAAATAGCTAAAAATCAGTGCGGCTCTAAATTTGATGAAATTTTTCACTGAATAAACTTTAATTTTTCTTATTTTTTTGTTGGGGTGGGAATATAGTTTTTGATAGTGAAATAAGAAAATGAATGCATCAATTGATAGCTTTTTTATAGAGTTTTTATACGGCTGATTTCTTCCAATAGCACTTGCCATGTGTGGTTTGGTTGGCGGTTTAGTTGACCACTGGCACTTCGCTAGAGCGATGCACGTACGGTTCTTCGCCAGCATCGTATCGCATTTTAATTTATCCTTGTCAAGAAGAGGAGTCGAGCATTTACTGCTTGCTGAGCGTTATATCCGCCTTGCTGCGTGTCCTGTGGCCCTCTTGTCTGAAGTTAATGAAAGAATGTTGAATCAGTGAAGGAATCGGTAAAATGAAGTAATGATTAAAGCCAGGTTCCTCAAAACTGTATTTGATGGTGCAGAGGTAAAATTTTTTCAATTAAGGATAACATAGAATTGTTATGAGATATTGAAATGTTTGTGGCTGAAAAGTGGCGCATTCCTGAATCTTTACTTTTGCTCCAGAATTTTGAATCAGAAAGCGCATGGTAAGTCTTTTGGTTGTTTTTCATTTGCCCTGTTGGTAAGCTGTGATGTTTTTAGCCGACAAAATATATAAAGTAGATGTGTTCTATTCATTTTCACTAAATAATCATTGTAGTGGCCAACGCAGTTTTCTTTTGTTTTTGGTTCATTTACTTCGTTTTTCTGTAATTTTTAATTTGTTTTTTTTTTGAATTTACTTGGCTATGCTATTATTTTGGTAATTTGTGGGTTTCATGAAAATTTAAACATAAAAAAAAATTAGTTATAATTTAACAACGAAAATTATTATTCGTATATACAATAATTAAAGAAAATATATAACTAAAAACACGTTTAAACTGGTTAATTTAATTTTTCAAAAACACAATTGCTTAATTTAATAAGAAGAACTAAAAATAGCCGTTCATTTTGAGATTTTATGAATAAAAAATTAAAATACAATACCAAAAACTAGAAATTTCAGGTTTTCTCGAGCTGCGAGCAAATTATCTGAAAGATTTGGTAACGAGAGGCCCAATAATTTTTTCAATGATAAAGTTATTTTTTTTAAATTTTCAAAACCCTTTCGATAAGTTTCTAAAAATTTCAGTTTTTTATCTTTTGTTTTTGTTCAATTTCAATTTTAATTTTAATTACGTTGATTTATGTCTAAATATTTCTATAAAACTTTATTATGAGCCAGTCATTTTCATTTTTTTGGCCTTGTTTTATATGATAAAATTTTTGCAGTCTTGTAAGGAGGAGTTTGATAGAATTCTTTCTAGCAGCCATCCTGAACATTTCTTAAGGAAAAAGGGCGAAAAATATTCACAAAAGGAATTGGTAAAAGCTTGGATTGATTTTATGCAGAAACAAGTAAGTTTTAATCGCTATGCGAAATAATGGTAGGGAAAGTTTTGTCTTTATTTTAAATAACTGATTATTTATTTTGAAGCATGGAAAAAATTTCGAAATTTTCTATATATTACATAGAAAATTTTGTTGTATTATATTGTATTATGTAGAAGGTATTTTTATTCGTTTTATATTTCATAATATAAATGATAAATAATAAATAATATATATATATATATATATATATATATAATAATAAATTCGGTATCAAGTTTTAAATATTTCTTGATTTAGCTGCGAGAAGATTTGGTACGAGAAGGAGAGTTATTGCTGATCAAATTACGTGAAAAAGCGAATCTTTTCAATCGATTGTTTGCTGATGATTGCAGTATGACCGAGGAGGAAATTAAACGTTTATTGGATCAGGCAAGAGAGGAAGATAGTAAGGTTGGCTATTCTATTTCTTTTTGTTATTTCATTTAGTTTCTTTAATTAGAGGGGAGGGAATTAAAAATATATGTTTTTCCTTTTAGCGTGATCAAGAAATTGTTAGACATGAGGTTGAAATTGGTACTAAACGAATTCAAGAAATTCAACAGCTTCACAAGGATGACGTGGGTTTTACTTTTATTTGTCATATCATTTTCTTCATTTTCTTCTTTATTTCTTTTAATTGTTTCTTTAAATTTAAATTTATTGACGATATTTGGATTTTATCATTTTTTCTTGAATTTTTTTTTCAAAAACTGAATTATGCCTAATTTTAGAATTGCTACTATTTGACAGTAAATATTTGGAATTCAAATAAAGCATAAAATTGAAATATATTGAATTATTTTATGTATTATGTCATCTTGTTCTTCGCCATATTCCTTGTGATAAATAGCAATATTCTTTATTTAATATTTCATGTTAAATAATAATATCTATATTTAAAGTGAATTATTCCATAAATGTAAAATTTTATAAGTTGAAAATTCATAATAGTTTGATTTTAGCCTAAAAAACATCCTCCGCCAAGAATTCATATTCCTCCATCACGTCCTATTGAGAATGAAACTGGCAATCCACTTTCACCCATTAAATCTCTTTTTGAGGGATTAAATTCTTCATTGCGATCATCAGCGCAATCAGCGCAATCATCAGCTTCTGTAATTCTTAGATCAAATTCGCATTCGCCGCAAAAAATATCTCCATTGAAATCCCAAAAATCACTGTCTCAAAAGATATTTAAGCCAATTTCATCGGATGATTTGGGCATAATTGATAAAGAGCCGAGAGGAAGGCGTCGTAATTCACGCGCTGTTAATGGTAATTTTTTAAATTTTCAATCACTTTTAAATATGTTTTAAGTTCCTTTATTTAATTGTGCTCATTGTCAGTAATTAATAATTCAAAAGCCTGAAGGATCTGGTGCTGATATTGTGGCGAATTTGCAACCAGATACGTCAGCCCATTCTTCTCGAATTTCTGATGAGGTATTAATTTTTGATATTCTTCTTTTGGAATTTTGACAGAGAGCCAGTAGTGAAAAAAAAAAGAAAAAATTAAATTAAATTAATTAAATCGCTGCATATCTTCCATCTTTTTTTGAGACTTCTTTTGAGAAGTCTTCTTCTTTTTTTCTGACAATTTTTTTGCAGTGCCATGCATGCATTTAATTTTTTTATTTTATTTATTTCAGTTTTAATTTTATATATGATTTTGAGAAACGAGAAGTAGATGGAAAAAATGTTTTTAAAAAATGAAAACAAAAACAACAAATTAGTTGCATTAAAATATAATTTAAATTTTTTCCAGGCTTCTTTGTCCATTCTTCAGTGTGATCAGCAATCAGCAAGTTTGCTTTTTATTTTTTTGTATTTAGTGATTCTATAACTTGCTGACTATCTGGGCCATTCTGAAGTGGGATGTATTCCAAGAATAATAACTGTTCTTGCTTATGTTTCCAGAATTGGATCAGGTTGATGAATTTCCATCTGTTTCTGTCAACGATAGTAGTGAAAATGATGTTATGCTTTCGCCCTTTGTTAAAAATGAAATTAAAGAAGAACCATTTAATATGTTTAAGAGGTATTGCTTTTTTTAAAAATATCAAAATATAATGTAAGCAAAAAAAGGAGTTGGAAAATTTTTACAACTTTTCACAGAATACAACTCTCAGTGAAAATTATGCATGCAAAAAATCTCTGAATGCAACTTCTTTGGTTTAAACTTCTGCTTTAGTCGAATTTCGCCCTCACAGATTAGATTTATATTTTGATTTTTTTTAAACATTAATTATGAAATAAAAATCTTATTTCATCTTTTCATTTTGAAGTCAGTCGATAGAGATGATGGATTCGTCTCAAGTTGGTGAAATTCAGCCTTTTATAACTAAGGGTAGAAAAAGAAAAACTGCAGATATAAACGAATCACGTCGAAAAGGTGAAATTCGTCCGAAAGGAAGACCTGCAAAAAGGAGGTGAAGTTTATTTTTTTTTGCTCAATTTTGGTCTTATTTATATCTTCTAAAATGTACAGCTTACTTTATATTCTTATTTTCAGAAGATCAAATCAAAGGCATGGTGAAAGTGATATGTCGCTTGTCAATAGTGAAGATATTTTGGAAAGCAATATAGAAGTTCAATCAAGTCCTAATTCGGATTCTACAAATAGTTTCAAGGTTTAGATTTGTTATTTTTTTGTCAGTGATATTAGAAGTAGTTACTGGCTGCTTAACAATAAAAGATCTTTTAATTTTTCATTTTCGGTCCATTGATTGATTAAAGTCCCTTATTAAATCATATATTAAGGTAATTTTAATTAAAGCATGAATTAAGATTTCTGAAACAAAAACTCGTCGCGAAACCTTGCGAAGTTCAGGGAATCAGGAGAAAGGAAAGGTAAAATACCCAATCCATCTTTAAATTTTAATATAATCATTTCCTTATTTCGTAGCTTAATTGTTTTTTTATAATTTCATCATATAATATAATAATTTCATCATATAAATTTGTAAACCAAATTAGTTTCTTTTTTTACTTTTTTTTTATTTTTTAATTTCATTTTATTAGGAAGTTTATTCCAAAAATAAAGAAACGATTTATTTCTACTTACGTTATTTTCATTTATTTTTAAAATTTTTTCTCATAATTTAAAGAATATGCGACAAGTTGGTCAAATATTATGTTTCTTCGACTGTATCAAGTCATAGATTTAGTTCCTGTATTAAAAGTGAAATCCGAGTGATGCTCAGGACCATTCTATACTTCTGTCTCGAAATAATTTATATGTGGACTTACCAGTAGAGCTAGCCAAATCATGGTGAGTACAGTAAGATGAAAAGGAAGATTTTAATGAATATTTGCTTAGGTACGAACGCTTCGTGGCAAAGATGACAAAGAATCATCAACAAAATCTCAGGATAAGCGTAGGATCTCGGATAGAAGTAAATATAAAACAATTAAAGAAATTGAAGATGTATTTTCATTTACAATTTTTTTCCTTGGATTTTTCATATTTTCATATCTAATTTGCCACTTTTGAGGTAATGCTAGTAAATCATCCAGCAAAAGTGATGCGCGAAATACGCAGACGCATAACCGCAAATATTCTAAAAAGGTTATTGAATCTATTTTCTTGGTTCCGTAATTCTTTGAAATTTAATTTTGATTTAATTTAATTTAAAAATACTTGGATTCATAATATGATGAAAATCCCGGTGAAATTATGAAATTATGATTTTTAGAGCGAAGCTGACGAAATTGCTTTGGAGCAAAAGGCTTTAATGATTACAGCTTGGCGTATGATATCAAGCCATCGTCACGCAGCAATTTTTGCTCATCCTGTATCTGATCGAGACGCTCGTGGTTATTCTATCGCAGTTAAAAGGTCAGTTTCAGATAATTTATGTATGACTAAATAAAAATAGGATTAATATTAATTGGACAGAAATATTTTATAACTTTATAAGGCTTAAATATTGGCAAGTAATTTTAGTTAATTTATTAAAGTAACTTTTAAGCCGGATGGATTTGGGTACCTTAAAAAAACAATTAGATACTGGTGATGTACACGATATGCTCGAATTTAAACGTAGAATTCTATTAATGTTTGCCAATGCTGTCATGTTCAACAGTACTGGTCATGATGTTAATATTTACTCCAAGGAAATGGCAAATGATTCCATTAAATCACTGAAAGTAACATTTCTTAATTTCTGTTAATCAAAAAGTTTATCAATTCAGTTAATTCTGGTGCAGAATGAAAAATGCAAATATATTATGAGAAAAATACTATTTGCATATTTGCATGAAAAATTTGGCAAAACAAAATATAATGGGAATTTATAAAACTGAAAATTGGTAAACCAAAGCTATTTGTATTTTGTTTTTAGAGACTAGCTAAAGATGTCTTGTATGTAAAAGGTGGTGCTCATATAACGCGTCGAAGTGCAGCATTTGCCGCGGAAGAGGTTGCTTGGCTTTTATATTTTTCGTTATACGATTAGCTTGAAAATGAATAAATTTTATTCATATTTCAGATGCAAATTTTTTAGCCGTATAAGATGTTTTTTTACATTTTTAAAAACTAAGAAAATAAATTTGAACTCATTTTTTTTCATCTTCGCTTTTAATTTGCATTTCCGATCAATTTGCTTTATTAATTTTGATTCTTTAATGTATTGTAGATAATTTTATTTCTTTATTTTGTTATCTTTAATTTATGATAATATAATTTTGATAGGCTTTATTGGAACGGCGAAAATTTGTTGGTCCGCGGACCTCAAACGTTGGAAGTGTTGATGATGACTACATTCGTGATAAAGAAGCGGATGATAGTATTCGCAGCGATGATTCAAATATATTAAAAACATCAGCTGCAAAATCGATGAAAAAATTAAATGACGTTTGAATATTTTGGGCTTCACATGATTTTCTAAAATGTTTAAACTTGTTTTCGTTTGTTTTGAATTTCTTGTGAAATATAATAGCTCTTTTCGCTTTGCGAGAATTTTGTAGCTTTTTCACTCTAAGCTTTGTTTTAATGCTTCTTTAATATCTTGAGGTGTTTCTCGATTTGTTTTCAATCTCAGCTGTTTCATAAAAAATCAAGAAAATCAATCAAATCAAGATCAAGATTGCCCTTTTTTTTAACAACATTTCTTATTAAGCTGGCTGAGATCTTTTTGCTAGAATCTATGGATAGAAGAGGGTACTCATTTAATTTTTAATAACAAGTGAAGAAGATAACTCTCACTCTCACTCTCAACCCACAATCGATGCGATTTTGCTGAAGTTGTCCCCACTTCTTCTTTATCACTCTTGTTTATGCAGCTGGGTGCCGTCCGCAACTGATATCTTATTTTTGATTCAGATTTCCGTTTTCCGTAGGGTTTATAATGATTTTTTTTCAATTTTGCAATTTTCCAGTGACATTCAACACATTGTTTATATTAGCCATATGTTTTTTATTGGAATTTCCAATTTTAAAATTTTTATTTTTTGAAGCGTAAAATTAATTTCGGTCTGAATAATTTTGAAGATTCTGTTTCTGCGATGATTCTGTTTTTTTTCAAAATTCATATTTAGGGCTAGTAATTTTAAGAAAGCTTTCATTCATTTAAAGTGAATCTAATGTGATCTATGATGCCTTATAGCGTCTATGGTATGTTATATGGTATGGTAAATTTGTCGTGTTTATCTACTGACTCAATCAGGGCTATGAGTAAAGATGAATAAGGATGAATAATCACATTCAGTTCATGAAAATACAACTATCGAAATATGGAAATCTAAAGTATATAATGTAAAATTTTGAGGCTGGGGAGTGAAGAGTAAGTGGGTGCTGTCTGCTATTTCTGATAGCTTGGCTGAGATTGCCAGGGAAACGTGGGGTAAGGTATTGAGAACCAAGTAGGTGGGTATATAGGTGGGTATATTATATAGTAGGTATCCCGTGAAAGTTTTCCGATTTTTCACCATTTTTTACCTTATAGGATCAGAATCATAGTTTTTGAAACAATAATCTTATAAACCATCACTCTCTGCCGGTCCTATGCTGGTAATAAAAATGAAGGAGATTCTGTCAGTTTATGATTTGAGATTTGGGTTGATGTAAAATAAGTGACGGGTGGAATTGTTATGCAAAAATATGATTATTTTTTTGATGATTTCTTAGCTCTGCTTGATCAATTGAAAAAGAAGCGATGTGCCTTCAGGCGAGCGGTTGGCTTTAAGTGAAGGTGATAAGCGCTTTTATCTTAATTAGTGGCTGAACTATTTAACTTCGTTTATTCAGTTTATTCAGTTTATTTATTTTTATTTATTTAGATTTATTTCGGTGCATATGATTTATTACTTGTTTATTTTAATTTTATCTTCAAATGCAAGCAATGTTAGGCTGCAAGCAGTAATGAAATGTGGCGATCGAAGAGCGTTCAACGTTCGAACGCGTGTCTATTATCGAAGTTTCTTTTTGCTTTCCCTCCTTGCACTCAACGTTATCAGCTTAAGCAAAGGGATTTAGCAAAGTAGTGTGTGTGGCGATGTTGGATGCTCGGACTGGATCAGAGCTCATGTGCGGATTGCGCACATATGCTTTTTTATTGCCTTCATGATTTTTGATAAAAAAATATTTAGTTAGCAAGTGAATTACATTATTACTTCGAATCTTATTATAATATAATTCCCATAAAGAAAAAATAAAATTTTTCTTATTCATACGGCTCTCACAAAAATTCCGAAAATTTGGCTTCACTTGATTAATAAGAAAAATAGTGGTTATAATTTTTTCTAGGGTACCGTTTTCTGTGCCATCTTCTTTCGAAATTTTTAAGTTCCAAACAATGGCTTTTTAATTTTTCTCACATATAACCACTATTACGAAGACTGATGACAAACTACTGGTAACTAATTTAATGGAAATACCAAGCAAACTATAAAAGCAGTAAAGCATAACTAATGAGATCCGCAGGAGCAACATTTGTCAGATCTGACAAGCTGACAACGGCTTTGAAGGTTGATGGCAAATATTAGATTAATCAAATAGCAAATTCTTTCACTAGAAACATTATTTAGCAAGATGGCTTTAATTTTTTTTGGAGAAGTTCGGCGTAATGAAATGATTTATTTTGATGGATTATTTCTTTATATTCATAGAACGAGGAAAATAATAAAACAACAATAAAGTAATATAATAAAATAATAAAAATAAAATAATAAAATAATAAAAATAAATAATAAAATAATAAATAATTAAGAAGAAATATTGGATGCTGGTGACTTCGCAAACTACGAGGACGAGCTGTTATTTTCGATTAAAGATGTGCCAATAGGCAAGATGAATGAGATGGTCGTTCGCATGGAGCACTTTTGCGACGGTGGCCATTTTCGCAAGGTTATCTTTAAATCTTTCATAAAAAGCACGCACCTTTTGGTGGTTTAATGACCGAGCGAAATCGAAAATGGCGAAAAAATAAGCAATTTAATGTAATTTTTTTGTAGGAGTGCCATCGTGTCGATGAAATTCATTTTCATGGCCATTTTCGTCGCAAAGAATATTTTACCATTCATTTCGGCGTGCTATCATTAAACGACTTAAGCAAGATGGACCATCGAATGCAATTGTTCACTTGGCGAGGAATTAGTAGTGATGGTTGTTTTTGCCACATTGACGGCCGTTTTAAGCCGCATTTAAAAGATTGTCGTTCTTTATTAAAGATGAATTATAAAAATATTTCTTGAAAGAAAGAAAAAATATTGTAATCGAGCAGAACGCACGATAAATAGAGCGTATGAGCGTTGGAAGAGCGTATTGGATAACTGAGAAGTGGCGTTGCTTTAACCAATGCTAAACAGGTTTGGTTTCTGCTCCTTGACGAGAGTAATCGTTTTCAAAGTAAAGTTTTCCTAGCATTCGTCTGCAGTTCTCAAGTGGCTTCCTGAGGTACCCTTGTTCCAGTACAACCAATTAAACAGAAATGTTGTGTGCTACAGAGGAAGGTGCATGTATTTAGATTTAATAGGCAGCGAAGGAAAAAAGAAGAGTAAAATTAAACATGTCTAAGCAAACTATATGAACCATAAAAAACTGGTAATTTTATTCACCGAAATATAGAATGTTAATAAATATAGAATGTTCATTATTCAATGATAAGATGTATGAAAAAAGAAACACAAAAAAACAAAGGAAAAGGAATAACCAAGAAACTTCGAGCCAACTCAAGAGATTCAAAATCCTAATAAATCAGATTCCTGCTGCATGCTGCGGAAATCCAGAAAGTAAAATACCTGCCGTTTTGGGCATTTCATAAATAAAGTCAGCCTACGTGAGAGTTGTGAAAGAAGAGAAAATAACGTTTGGAATGAGTCAAAAGGAAAAAGAACGGCGAATTTATAGCAATGAAGAAGTGGTATAAAAAATCTTCCCAATTTCATTACACTCTCAAAGTCTTTCTTCTCTCATTTGTACTTTTATTTTATCATATTCCTTTAAAATTCACTATTCCTTCCCTTCATAACATCTTCGTGTTTTTCTTAGTGGGAAGTCATATTGTCCTCTAAAACCACCACGCAAAGCGTCTCCATAGTGCTTAATCCATAGTGCCAATCGAATAAAGAATGATAAGTAGTGTTAAAAGAAAAAAATTTTGTTTGCACTGTAGCAATTTCTCTTTTATCTATTCACAGGATAAGGAAATAAATGAAAAAAGATCGGTGAAGGTAATGAAGGCTTATGATAGACATTCCAAAATAATAAGCCAGCTTAATCGGAATTTTGTGAGTTTAAAAGCAGTATGAGCAGTGCAGTATAAGAAAATTCTAATTTAACGGCCTTTAAGGGAGTGTGGTAATAAATCACTCGACTTATGATGCAATTGCACGGTGCTAATTTTGTTCCATGTCAAATTTTTGGTGACTTTTTGCGTCTATTAAAATTTTTTATGTGTATATATGTATTGGGACTGCCGTTTCCCATATACAGTTAATGCATTTCCGAGTAGCATACCCTATTGTGAATTTGGCAGATTTTATGTTTTTGCCGTATTTAGAATTTTACAGAATATAAATAAATTCGAAAGGATTAGATCTTAATCTTTTTGTTAATTTTTGTAAACATAATCAGACGAGTCTCACACATTTTTCTGATCTTGGAATAATCATGGATGAAAATCCTGATTTCGAACTTCACTGCAAAATCATAATAAAGAAATCCTTAAAGATACTAAATTTTATTTTTCGTTCATTTAAGAACAAGACTGAAGGCTTTCTTATCAAAATGTACAAAGCGTTCGTTCGGTTTCTTCTTGACTACAATGCTACCTCCCCGAGATATCGCAAATCAAGTGAAACAATTGAAGTAATCCAAAAATATTTTATACGACGCCTCTCCCCTAATAGCAATTTCAATTATAAAAGAAAACAATGCAATTTAGATTCTCTCTCAGTTCGTCGAATTAATTAAGATTTAATTTATACTTATAAAATTCTATATGGTTATGTCAAATTAAACTGTTCAAAATATAATTTTAGGCTAAATCTGAATCCAACAAGATCTAATGGGCTAAAATTACTAACACCTATGTGCAAAACTAAATTGAGAACTCTTGACTTCTTTATTCGTACTATTAATTAATGGAATAAATTACCGAACGATGTAGTTTGTGTGTCATCCTTAGTTATTTTTAAAAAATGATTATATAATATCATTTATGATATTTAAAAAGTTCACATTATATAGGAAGTTTGAAATGTTTATTTTTACCACTTGATTATGTATAATTTTATATATTCGCTTTGGACTGTGCTGTTTTGTAACTTCTTTTTATTTTCTTTTTACATTGTTGGTTTTTTTTCATATTTCTTTATTTTTTTTAATCACTAATTTTCATTATTTGTTATTTTATCTGTTGTTATTAATACAGACACATGGTGTTCTGTTTGGTTATTTTTCAATAAATAAAGAAATAAAATAATTCCCAAGTGTGAAAAGCAGAAATCTTGCTGCCTTCGGACAAGACAAAGAGTGGCACGCCGAGAAATATTTAAATATGAAGCAGTCAAACGTGAGCCCAACATATAAAAATAAAAGATTGAGCTCCTTGTTAGATGATATAACATATCTAAATTGTCCAAAAAAGTATTGTAATCAGACGAAGCAGGTGATTATTAATTAGAAACAACGTTATCGTTTATGAAAATACTAGAAAAATAAAATATTATTGGAAGCATTTGCAACACCAATATCATCAGAGATTACAATATAAAAACAAAATCTCTTAACATTTACCGTATATTCTATTCATCTATTCTTCATGGAATCAGAAATCACGAGCTGGGCCTTTACCCTTTAAAAGAAATAGGCTTTGTCTTAGAGCGAAATCAGAGTGGTGCTGTGAAGCCTTCATGTACTATCTTAGATCAAGTGACTGAATAATTCATAGTATTAGTGAATGAAATCAAACAAATAATTATTGTTACACGAAAAAGAATGGGATATCAGTAGGATAGATATTTTCTTCTTCTAATAGCTTTCATTACTGGTTAGATTGGCTTCGCTGGCTACAGGGTTATCGTAAGGTACGTTTCAAAGCTGTTCGTTCTGATGCCATTGCTAGTAATAGAAACTATTCCCTTTTCCACCGTCTGTATATCGCTCTTCCTATACGTTCAAAATCTTTACCAACTGTATCAACCCGGGTCTTGATTGGCCCATCCATCACAGAGTTTAGCAAATAATGAAATATATGTCAACTCCTGTGGTGGCTGATGAATAAGGTGCTCAGCAGCGAAAGGGATGCTTTTTAATGGTACTGTTAATTCAAGTGGTGTTTGAGCGAAGGTAAATACAAACATGTGAGATTTAATCAAAACGGATACCAATAAATTGCTATTTCGGTCAAAGGAAGATAACTTCTTAAGATTCTATCTTTATCCAAGTTGTGATTTCGTTTTTTGCCTGGCTATTTGAGATTAGAGTGAAACCATTGAAGCTATTGAAAGCCTGCCTCAATTGGCAGTGAATTGGTGAAAAATATATATTTCTGGTATAGAACGCGAAAAGCCTTTCGTTTTATTGATCCTGAGCCCGATAGCTGCAGTTGTCGACACATTGTTTAGCATTATTTGCATTTCGTCACAACTATCAGCAAAAAGAACTACATCATTAGCGTATTCATGATCTATGATACGATGCTCTGGAGTGATTTGTACACCCCTCTTAGGCTTAGGCTTAGGGTTTAGGTTTAGAGACTGTGCATATCTTGAGTGGCAGCTAGCCGTTTCCATTATCTATTGCATAGTTGAATAAGGTAAGAATGCAATCTTGACCATCAACAGTTCTTATTTCGAAGGAATCTGTCAATTTCCTGTATGCCGATGTGCGTTGATAAAATGTATTTATGAATGTATTTAAATGTATTTATCAAATGATCTTATCTTAAATACCGTCACGTTCCATCATCATCCAAAGCGCACGCTCTATTTACTGAATCGAATACAATTATAAAATCGAAGAAACAAGTGAGGGTGGAGGATATTTGGAGCGATGTACTAATATCCTTTTTAACGTGAATGTCTGGCCAGTGAAATCATATTTATGGTTTAAAATTTCTATTTTAAGCGATAAAAGCTGTTACGCAAAAAATTTTGATGGAACCAATGTAATTTTATTGGTACAAAAATATTAACTGTAAAAGATCTATAAAAACAAATAAATTATGTATTACGAGATCGTCAAAAACAAAAATTATTTAAAAAGTTATAATAAAAATAAACAAAAAAAGGCAAAAGAGCTGAAAAGAATCCATGCAATTCCTTTTATGAAAGATTCGGTACTTTTATATCAATTTTCGTATATATAAGAAAAACTCGATATTCCTTTACGGAAGTGTAATCCTTTACGCAAAAACCTCAATCTCTTTTAAAAAATATTTTTGCAAAAATTCTAATTCTTGTTTTACTGCTGATTGTTGATTTCCGCCATAATTATTAAAAGAACTGACAAAATTAAGGCAATTTTTTCTTTTTCATTTTTATTGCTCGATTTTTTAAAATCGATAAAAAAGTATCGAAAAATAACAAAATTCTACAAGCTTTTTTTGATAAAATGAAACATAATATTTTTATAAATATTTTAAATTACTAATTACAATAAAATTTTTAGAAAGTTATTTGCCACTTCTTGGTTAATACAGTAAGTAAAGCGGTACGATAGGCAACTTTAAAGTTCTGCTAGCTCGTTCTGTTGCTATTTATTGCTAATTATTCATTCATATCTGGTTACTGTTTTTTAAAAAGTTCGTAATGTTTTAATGTTTACCCCTACAGCCAGCGGAGAAAGCTTAGCTGGAAATAGTGAATGAATTAATTACGCTCGGCATAAAGAAATAAATTGTTAATTATTTCGATGCAAGTGATAAATCCAAATTGCAACCCGAATAATGGCTGAATTCTAAGAAAATTTTTCAATAAATACTCAAAAAAAACTATGTATACAAAAAATAATGAATAAAACTGGAATGAGAATAAGCACTGCATCGTATATATTGAATTTTGTTTGCACCTCATGTTGTTCTTTTATTGCAGTTGGTTATTAATCCACTAGGGACAGAAAGAGCCATTCCTTCAAGACCAAACATTATAGCTTCCCTTATACTTGATGGAATTCGACTATCAAAGTCTTCCGTTAAATCTTTTATGAAAATGGAACTTGATTGCTGTTTGAGAACCTGTCTTTATTTTTATCTCCAAATAATTCTTTGGCCCGTAGCTTTATTCTGATATAGCCAATTGGGGTAACCTAGCCAGAAACGATGTGTGATGTTAAAAAAATAAGGAGTCCAATATAGAACCACAAGAACTTAAATGATAAATGGACGAAATACGCAGCCAGCAGATAACTACTGCTTTATTATTATTCTTTTCATTTATCATCCTTATTTATTGTTTTGCTGTTTTACTGATTACAATGTTATAAAGTGGATTCACCAAACTGCGCATCTTTTCGGTGGATATAACGGGCTACCTAATGGACAATTAAAAGCTTCTGAAAATTCATTAAGATTCGAGAGTACTCCGATAACGCGAAATATTTCTGGACTGTGCTCATCGGTAAGCACTTGTTGCACAGCAGCTGCATCTTTTTTATGCCCGCACCAGAACTAAACATGAAATTTTTAGAAAAATGATTTATAAACATTCTACACATTCTTTAATCCAGTGCTTTTAAAATGAATTCCTTTCTTTCAATTCGATAATCAAAATCTAATTAAGGCTTTTAAGACGCCAAGGCTTCTTTCTTTTTGAACGTTGTTCTTAGTGTTAATCCTATTTCAGCCAAAATTCATCGAAAAGCTAAACTTACATGCGCATATGAGAGAAAGAAAATCTGATCATTGGAAAATTTTTCAAAACCAGGCAAGCGCGATTCTTCAGATCCCTTTTTCCTGATATATTTTCGATAAGCCTAAAAAATTAAAAATTATTAATTAGAAATTGGAAATAAGCGATTATTTCCATAAACTTTTTATCCGTAAATCTTATATATTTTGAAATTTAAAAAAAAAATAAAGTTACTCTATATGCCTCTTTAACTCCTCCGTTATCTGCTATATTCTCTCCTTGAGTTAGTTTTCCATTCACCTTAAAATTCATTAAATTTATTAAATTGGCCTTGAGCATTCATCATCTCTGGTTTGCATGTCTCCAGTGGCTATTAGGATAAGGCTAATCTGCTAAGGAGAAAAGCCCTCCTCCCCTCTACATCACCCAAATATGATGATTTAAATCTTATTCGAAGCAACAACTTCAACTTCGTTAAAAATCGTTAAAAATTATTCTTTTAAATCTATTTAAAACGAAGAAAACCATCGAAAATCAAAATGATTCTATTTCTTAGACCTAATAAGTTATGGAGCAAAAGGGGTTGTTGAAAACGCTCAAAGAAATTACTTTTAAATCAGTATTCGGCACGTCATAAGAACTATATTGATTAATGATACATTCTTTTCGTTTAGCGAAACCTTTAAATGAATCTGCATTCCACCAGTTTTGAAGATTCCCATCTTTATCAAACTGACTTCCTAGAAAAATTTTATTGGAGGTATGTAGCGAAACGGAGAAAGCAAAAGGGCTACTATGGGTTTGTAAAAACGAAAAGTAGATTCGAACCAGCATTTGCTTCGTCAACAAATTAATTACCGATCAATTAAGGATCAATGAAAAGAGGTTGAAAAGATGAGTTTCTCGAGTTCAAAGTGGTGCATCGTAGTTTATAAATGTGGACAAAAATTGCGACTTTAACTACCATTTTATAAAATCCAATATTATTAAAAACAGTTTTCATTCCAGTATTTTTTAGAAAAACGAAAAATGAAACAACAGCAAAAAAGAACCAAAAATGGACCTTGATCATCAAAGCCATGTGTTATTTCATGACCAATAACTGCACCAATTGCACCATAATTCACCATTCTGCAAAAGGAGTAATGAATTGTTTGTAAGAAGCTTATATATTCCCTCTTATATTGTTAATATTGATAGAATAGTATTTGTATGTGTTCCCATAAATTAAAACATCAATAATCCAAAAAAACTAGAAATAATTTCCTGGAAGCAAATAGCAATTGTACATAAAATTGAGCCTACAACAATAACATTCGAATTATGTTCGAACTGCCCAAAAAAATCGGAGGAAGAAAAATTCGCGCTAAATAAAAACTCACTTTGGATATGTTCCGCTAAAAAAAGGTGGTTTCAAAATACCCGCAGGAAATGCTGAAATTTATAAAATTATTTTGAAAACTCTGAATGTTTATATAAAAATATCTAAAATTCCATTTGAAAAAAGATTTTTACAATTTTTTTCATTTTCAAAAATCTAAAATGTCATTTTTTACTTCATCAGTTCGATAATAAAATAATTTCTTTTCAACAATTAAAATTGTCCTTTCTAAAAGATATTTCTTAAAAGTTTAAGAGAATTTGACTGTGGATTATTTACGCTTCTAATAATAATATTTATTATTCTAATAATATTTATTGAGACAAAAATCATGCAAAAAAATTAGATTTTTTATAAATTGGATAAAATTTTGATGGATAAATTAACCAAACAATAGATCTTTCTGAAAAATGTTGATGTTCATTTAATAACATTCAAAAACTTACTAAGAGCATTCTTTTCCGGTGAATAAAAAGCATTCACGACTGCCGGACTAACTTCAAATTCATATTTATCAAATTTTTTGGTTAACCTTAAAAACTCCTTTTCCTGTGACCAGATAAGTACTTTTCGAAGTAAATCAAAATATGAATCTGATGAACTTAAATTCAACTGAAAAAAAATTTCGCATCAGAATTTAAATCTAAATTTGAATAAGAAGTCGGTGCTATGAGATAATTTGGCTTCCAAGCGGTTATCCAAATTGAAATCTTTGAACTGTTTTTTTCCAAATATTTTATATTAATAAAATATATTTTAGCAAAATATGCTAAGTACCTATTTGAATAATTCGAATAATAAAGAAAATTGGAACTTACTCGTTCATAATGCTCATCGAGTGCAGTATCGTTATTAATAAAATCAGGATAACCAATATTATTAATCATTCCTTCTGCCTGAAAATTAAATGAGTAAGATTGGAAATATATTAGTTTACGCAAAAAACTGAAGTATTTTTTATATTTCAACATATTTCAACCGGAGAAACGGATATTCTAAAGTAATAACTTTTTCAACGGCGACTTTTTTTGTTTCCTCATCCATCCAATCGTTTTCAGTAACTAACTCTTTAAATGCTTCTCGTAGATTAGCAATCATTTCCTGGATTAAGTCAATTTATTAAGTTTGAATCAAATTTATCGTCAGAATTTGCAACGGAATAAAAATCCTTCATAATGCATAACAAATACAAAGGAGATTTATGAGATTCATATCCAATATTTGAATATGAATTTAAAATATAAATTTGGACTGAGATGGTTAATTCGACTTAGGCAGGCATGCTCGGAGGAGGAAGAATAAAAGAGAATTTCAGGTAATGCCGAGATCACCTCTGGTTGTATTTCTATTCTCAGTCGATTTTGGCAAAGGACCATGTTCTAACTGGCAATGAGGCTAGCCAAAAGAGAAACAATTACCTATTATAAGAAATGGAAAATTGAGATCAAAAAAGGATTTTTCTTTTTTTGGTTCTTTAATCGATTTATAGAAATATCTGTTGGCCGTTTGCATAATTTTAACTTAACTTAAAATTAAAATTTGGCAAACATATATGTTAACTGACCAATGCTTCTTTCTTATCATTAGAATCAAAATGTTCACGGATATAAAGAGCTCCAGCTGCTAATGGAACTAAACTCGTTGGACCTTGTGCACACTCTTTCCAGCGCGGTGATTTTGTCTGCTGGCCAGTCATAACTCGCAGAAAATCCTTAAAAGGCTTCTTTTTTCAATATTCTAGTATAATTCGAATATTGCCAAAGTTAGATGCGAATAAGTTAAAAATTTTTTAAGAAATGAAGAATTTGAAAATGGAAAAATGATAAAATTCTAAAATTAAGATACAAAAGGATGAAATTCCACAGGTTGACCTGCTTTATATCCTCGAAGCGTGTGTCGAGTATTTTTACCCATGCGTGCAAAATACGCCAAAATATATAATTTGTTTTAATACGATCATCTGTTTTATGTAACAATTTGGATGCTTTAATTAGAAAATCAATTTCCGATATAATTATCTCGGTATTGTTGTTTAAAAGATTATGTAATGATTCAGGTGATATTTCATGGAAGAATTGAATCCAATTCACCTAAAATAACTGAGTATTTATAAATGAGAAATAAAGATGCTCAGCATGTGTCGAAGTCTGAAACCATAAGGATTTTAAGCTCATATCCGAGGAGTGTGGACAAAGATCAACCTGAGGAAATAATGAAGCTAAGTCAGCCAATTTTCTTTTATTATACATTCTCGTATTATTTCTGCGATCATCTTCAGGGACGATTATCTGTAACAAAAATATAATATCGCAAAAAAGATATATTTATAAAGATATATATTTTTGTGAAATCCCATTAACTACCGTCGAAATTTGCTGTTCATTGCAAAAATTTAGTCGAAAAACGCAAAAATTCACTATCGCTAGTTTTTTTTCAAGTTCAATAATTTCATTAAGATCGTTATCGAGTTGCGTTCCATTGTAAGTTATATTTGCATCAGCCATTAGCAATTTGATTATTTCGCGTTGATATAATTTATATGCTTCTAAATGCTTTGAAAACATCGTTGAATTGAGGTAATAATCACGCGAGCCACGACCCAGGCCCAGCACACCTTGATCTATCTGGAAATTTCTCAGCTTTTTCACCCACGTTGAACTGAGATAGCAGCCATGGTTTGATTTCATGGGAAAGCGGAAAAATTTGGTGAAAATTTTCAAGAGAGAAAGCAAAAAAAGCTGCGTAGTCTTATTATTTTTATTTGTTACTTTTTTGTTTCTCAACACTGTAAAGAAATTTGAATTTGTTAAACAAATAAGGTCTTCTTTTGGTTTTTCGTCCTTGCGAGATTCGGAAGCACTGAAGCTTAGTAGGAGCTTATCAAGAAACGCTATAGGCGAATTTGCTAAATTTTACATATAAAGTGTTCTTTGTCGTATTTTTGGCATCAGCATAGACATAAACTTGAAAAAATATTTCATTGCCAAAATCACGTCGTGCAGCAGCAAGCAATAACGTAAAATCGAAAGCGCTTCGATCCCAAGTCCCGCTTTCAAGCAACGGCCATTTCGCCAACAAATTAAGTGCATCGAGCAGCTGCCTGAAAATTTCCAACAAAGAACAACCCTGAAAAAGGAAATTACTTTCGAAAGCTCCAACGAAATGTGAAACTAGAAAATTTTTGCAGTTCATCTATGTCGATAGCGATATTTTTAATGCAAAGCAAACGAGTGCCATCTCACTACTTCTGCTCACGCTCAATCTACTGGTTGCTAGTGCGCTTAAAAATTTCAGTCGGCAATAGAGCGAATATGAACGGATCGACAGTAATTTGCGTTAACTCGCTTTGCCCTGTCGAATGGTCGGAAAGTTTCAGTGAATAGAATGAGGAAAGAATAATCAACGAAAGAAGAGCTGAATTTTTAAAAGAATTCAAATATTTTCGACAATACGAAAAAACAAAATTTAATTTAAAATAAAATTGAATGTTTACAAAAATTGTTGCGCGCTTTTCTTTTTACATTTATTAGCAGTGAGCCATTTCAATTTCGGATTTATTTTACGCTTAGAATTCGCTAATTTTAATTGTTTTGAAGAAATTGGTTTATTTATTTCTTATATAATTTCTGCACGATGCGTCGCTGGCCGCTCAGTGGAGACATAATTGTCGCAGAAAAATCGAGGCTTCGTCGAGCGGTGTTGCGTAACGGAGAAAGCAGGTGAGAGCAGAGTGGCTGCTCGTTGCGTCACTGCTAAGGTTCTATTCTCGCTAGGAGCAAATGCAAATCTTTCCAAAAATCTTGATGGTATTTCTATCGCTAAGGTATATTTGTCTGGTCCAACCAGCCAGCGGGGCGAGTTTAGCCAGCGATGGTGAGGATTATCAGTAACTTATTGATTCAGTCGTAATGGTTCAATGGTTCGTTTGTGTTTGATGGAAATATTAACAATTATTATAATCAAAAGTGGAATCCGTATACACTCGAATATACGTAATTCCATCTATAATTGTCTCTCTAGCGAAAGAATCTCATCCTAGCATTCTTATTTGAAAAGTGACTTAATAAGTAAATAAACAGTGTAGAATTTCTTATCGATGCTTTTCGCAATTTTGTCGCTTACGCTATTTCTCGCTGTTTTCGCTTTTTTAAAAAAAACTTGCAGAATTCTGGAAAAAGTTTTAAAATTTCCAATTTTAGTTCGAATTTACTTTGATTTTATTGATTCCAACTCGCTCACATTCATACAAGTTTTATAAGCAATGCGTGCCATCGTAATCGATCGCGAATTTGTCATCGAATCCGATTCTAGTAAAGCTGAAAAGAAGGAATCCTCACAGATAAGCGCATGAAAGATCAATCACCAAAAAAGCTATCTTATCTTTTTATGAGTTTTCAATTTGTCACAAAATTTAAAATGGAATTTTCTACAAGCAACAAATTTGCAGTAAAATTTCAGCATTTCCCAAATTTTTAGTCCAAAAATTTTCATGTGAATATTCAAATTACTCTTCTAACTATAGCTCAATTTTCTAAATAAAATATTCGAAGGAAATCGTACGAACTTCGCATCTGCTGTCGAACACTCTCTCTGACATAAGCGAACGTACCGTAAGCGAACATATCGTCAGGTATTGGGTGGTCCCTGTTCCACTGCCCACAAGCATATTCGTAGAAGTTTTCGCATGGGTCGACCGAAACGTTCATTGCCATCAGCTAGGATAAACTCATTTATGTTCTTATCGACTAATTTTCGCGGACTAATAATAAAGTACAATTCTTCTTTTTTAATGAGTGACTGCTTGCATGGAAATCGGTAACGAAAATTCATTATGGTTTTCGTTGAAGTTTTTCGCGCTTCTTCGAACTGTATTTGGTGATATTAGCTTTAATATTCCTTCAAGCGTAATTTAAAGAACTGTTTAATTTTTTCCTTCTTTTATCGTTTTAAGGAATATTTTCGCAGAAATGCTAAGGTTTGTGTCGAATTTCTAATTCCTCTTCTTTTTCTTCTTTTAACAACAGTACCACAGCACCATTCCATGTACTCATTTGATGTGAAGAGTACGGTACGGTGAGAGAGTACGAGCAGTAGAGTCATTTTTAGTGACGGGTTTAGTTCAAGGTGTCGAAGGTGTCAATCGAGGTAATAATATACCGCTCGATCAGTCCGCCTCTATTTTATCATTAAATTTCTAAATTCACCTAATTTTTCAGTAATTTCTTAATTTTTTTTTTTAAAAGTCTTCACCATTACTGGCTAAACTCGCTCCGCAAGCTTGTCGCCTTGTCGCAAATATGCCAGAGAGTCCCTTGGCGACGGAAATATAGGTGAAATATAGGAAATATAGGTGCATCACCAGCATCACTCGGATTTTTGGACAAGTTTATTCCTGCTGGAAATAGAACTTACCTTAGTGTCAGTACTCCGAATTGAGCAACAACCCACTAGGCCATCCTATCCCCAATTCCTTAATTAATTTCGACCGAAATAATTTTATAAGTATTTATAATTATAATATTATAATTTTTTTATAAGTTGATATTTTATATTTATAAGTTATATTTATAAGTATATTTATAAATTTATAAGTATTTAAAATTATATACCAAGTTAGTAGCAGCCATAACGCATCCTTTAGTTGTACATACTAAATTTGATATCGAATTTCTCGTATCGTTCGAATCCATGGATGATGACTGACCTTCTTTCATTTTCATCCAATTTTCATCGCTTATCTTATCTGATAAGATACATTTTCAAATCAAATTTCCCTAATTTAAGTGTTTAAGTGTTTTAATAAGTAATTTTTACACAACTATTCGAGCTGATGAAAATTTTTTAATTAAAAAAAAGTTAACGAATCATTTGAAAAATTTCAGGCAATTTTCGTAGAATAGTTGGCAATAGATTTATGAATGGAAGAAAGGAGCGGTTTTTCATTTTTTGATAAAAAATTTTTACACACTTACATCCTCTTTTATTTATAAATGATTGGAGAAGTAGTAAAATAATCAGCAGGATTGTAACGGCGAGGAGTATTTTTTCAAGGAAAGTCCGCTTTCGCAACCACTAAAAATTTAAATTTAAAAGCTTCATAAATCTATTTGAATATTATTTATTTAGAGAAAAGTTAAACAGAGCGATAGCCATACGCTTTTATTAATTACTATTGGCTATTGGACAGCATTTGAGAAAGAATGAACATCAACCAATTTCAACCAACTTGTTCGAAAGCCAAATTGGTTTTTAAATCCTAAAAATCCTAAGTCCTAAAAATTTTAAATCCTAAAAAGCTTACCTCTTTTTCTGATCTTTGATCATCGACAAATTATTTTTTGTCCTTTACCCTTTATTTCTTTACCTAATAATTTCGCCAGGAAATTTTGAGAAATTTTAAATTTTATCAGAAAATAGAATATTTCACAAATGTCTATGAAGAAAGTGAAATGAATCAAAACTATATATATATATATATAGTATATATAGTTTACATAAGGGGATTAAATTGCACAGTTTGGAGCACCGATGCTGAGGTTCGCAGGAGTAAACCTGTACAAAAATCCGGGTGATGCTGGCGACTCATCTGTATTTCTATCGCCAAAAGACTCTCTGGCATACTGCCCAATACGAGTGGAGCGAGTTTAACCAGTAATGGTGGGGATTCTTAAAAATAAAGAAATATATAAATATACGCTAAATAAAGCTGAATAAATTATTTCAGTAAATGAGGAGAATAAGAGTAAAAAAATTTGCTCATATTTTTTGATTAGAGATGGACCTCTCCTTCTTCTAGTCGCATTTATCATTTGACTGGCTCCACTGGCTATCAGAACTATATCGTTTCGCCAAAAGAATCATTTGAAGATAGAAGTAATGGTGGACCTCAGATATTATTTACTTTTCAATTTAAAGGCTGATTTATTCAAGGCCCAAAAAAATAATTTTATTCCCGTCAAGGATAAATAGAGAAAAAGTAATTAATGTATCGTTAAACACAATTTCTTCATTTATATTAATATTTAAAATATTATTCTAAAATTATAAAAACGATCATTACGAAAATTTTTTCAAAATATCGTTTGGATGTCGCCTGCTTGTTCCTCACTTCGAGCCTCGAGTAATTATTAACTCTGACTAGAGGAAATGGCTATATCACTGTGGTGCTCCGGATAACTCGAAGCAAAATGGCGTATATAAATAGAGATGAATATTAAATCAGAATTTAGAGGCCTTCATTTCGAAATTTATGAGAAAAAATAAACAACTAACCAGCAAGAATGTTTTTCCTCCAGCCGTTTTATAGACAATTCTAGGATTGTTAGGAATATCGTTTGCTGGTTCTGGTGTGGATATATCGTTTATTGAGATCGATGGTTCTCTATAATTTGAATTTGTTCGACCAACCATCAACTTGTCAAATTTGATTTTTAACTAATTTTATGATCAATAAGTAAAAAAAAGTCCGCATGAACTTCAAGTTTTTGCCAAATAAATTGAAAATTGATGAATAGTGATGACATGAAATTTTTATTTTATTTGCGTCACACAGGCAAATAAAAAATTCCTATCAATTCAAGTTAAATTAATCCGAAATTTCCATGAAACTAAAAGAATCGGCTGTTATAATCCAAAATTGTTGCGCAAAATTAACTGCACTGTAAAATCGTTTTTTAATTAAGTTCGTTCTTCGCCTCAATCCGTTGAAGATGGCTGTGAATTCCAATTTCGTAAGCCAAGCCAAGATAATAGCGTGCAAAAAGTGTTATTAAATCTTAATAAAGGATTAGGCATAGAAATTGCTAAAATGACAAATAAACCTAGGAGTTGCAGTGGTAGATACACTACATTCACTGATCGAGATCAACTGTATCTGACTTTCGTTATCAGTCATATTTAATAACCATTGATTGTTGAATACATCTTTGGATGAGCAATAGAACAGTAGAACAATAATTTAACAATAATAAAAGTAAGAATAACGATTTTTAATAATCTTAAAGGATGTAATCACTTGATAATATTGCAGAGTATTTTCATGCTGCAAGAAAATAAAATCATTGTAATTCAATAATGTGCAATTCAATATTTACAATTATGACGAAATCTATTACTATTTCAATGAGTCTATGAGTCAGTTATTCAGTACAACTATAGATTCAAGCAGGTGAGTGCATTGTAAAGAAAAGAAGGCATCATGAGATGGATCTCTCGATCGGCAGCTGAACAGTAATCTTGAATAGTAATAACTGAATCTTCTCAGCCACATAGATTTATGAAATGACAAATGAAACGACCACATCTGGATTCTTCTGGAATTATTGATAAGCAATGAACAATAAGTTTTATTGGCAATTTTCAGTGATCGTGTGTATTGAATAAAACAGCCATAGTATTCGCTTTAGCACCAATTAACATTGGCAAACTAGTTTTGTCGGGCAAAACTTTTAGGTAACTTTTTAATATTTTTACCGCTTTGCCAATTCATAATCTTTATAATATTTGCAATGAAAATAATGATAATTTAAAATAATGATAAATATAAACGAGTTCATGCCAAGCTGAAACAGAAAATCACAAAGAAGAACATTATATATTATCGAATCAAAACAGGTAGTAAAAATTTATGAACAAAAAAACTCTTTTTTTCTTGTCGATATCAAATCAAATCAAATATCTTTTAAAAAATCTGCGAAACACAGTTTTTTCGCTTTTTTTAGTTTTTGCAATAATAAAAATTAGGAAATTGGAAACTTTAAACGATTTGAAAGATAACAACACAACAACTTTTTAAACTTATTATTTAATTTTTTATTTTTGTTTTCAAACTAAGAAATATGAAAAAAAGGTCGTTTATTTCATATTTAAGACCACGAACAAGACCGTAATTATTTTCGCCGATTTTCCAATGGCCAATGAGACAAGTTTACCGGAAAAAAACTGTGTGAGATGTTTCACATCTATCGACTGCGTCGAAATCATTCCGATGTGCATGATTGCCGAACAGACTTACATTTCACCCTCAAATTGGCACTCTGTGAACAATGAAGACTAACTCATAAGTGAATCACTAAATTCGTTGCTAAAGCAGCACAGAGAAGAGAGGAAATAATTCGAACTTGTTCTATTCAGCGCACGCTTTTAAAGCTGAACCCAGTTCGAAATTGCCTTATTCCGAATATTACGATAGCCTATAACCACTACCAATTTCTTCATCTTGTTCTTCCGATGCTCACATCATCGCTAGCTTGGTTCGTTCCTGTGGCGATTGGGTTAGCATTTGCCCATTTATAAATAAAAAATTTCATACTGTAAGATGAACTGTGTGCTTCCTATGCTCAGCCTTGATCATCGCTAGGGCAGGCTTTTGTTAAAATGTGCTCGGCACATACGGGCAAACAGGCAATACGAATACTTTTAAATTTGTTATCATTTTGTTTTCAATGAGAGAAATTATCCAGGCACTTATAAGAATTAGTTTTCGAAATAAATAGTTTAGTCATGAAAATTGAAACCATTGGATTGTTTGCTATTCAATGAATAAATTATCGCGCAAATTATCGATGATGAATGATCAAATTACAATTTACAATATTTAATAATAATTATTTAATTATTCATCACCAAATATTTTTAAATCTTAAAAATATTAGATTTGACGAGTTGAATGAACAAAGAAATGCAAAATGAAATGTAGGAAATGCAAAAAGTAAAATAAATTGAGATTCGATCTAATTCGGTTTGGCTTCATAAGATTCTTCAATCCTATTTCTTATGCACTGAATGAATGTAAAGTTTTCAGATAAGCAAATTAGGCGATCGCTTAAAATTTTCTTTTTCGGACAGTGCTCCTTATTTTTGGTTTGGCTGGTTGCACGGAATGCAGAAAGCCTATAAAAAATATTTATAGCTGGATCCCTCCAGCACCATTAACAACGAGATTGCTTCCATTAAATTATTTATTATTATTTGTAAATTATTATCGAAATCAGGATAATGTATTAAATAATTTAAAGAGAAAATATAAAAATTTAAAGAAATTCTAAAAATTCTGCCATATTTAATGAGTCTATTAAGCTATCGTTGAAACACATGCTTTGATGCGATCGAATCCTGTGATTGGATTTTTTGAAACTGGATTTTCATTTTGACTTTCATTTTGACTTTTCATGTCTTTTATAAGTTTAGCTTTTTATCTATTTAGAACATATTTGAGCATTTGTGCCGTTTAAGAAACTTGATGAAGGTGAAGAGTCAAAAACTGTCGAATCCTACTGATTTTTATGCATTAATGGGCTTTCTTAGAGAATAAATAATAAAAGATTGAGGATAGAGAGATTTATGATGATTTTAATGATAAAAAGCTTTACGCATTTAAAAAGTTTAGTCATCGAAGGTATAAATGGTACTTTTTAAAAGAGTCGACGAATTTTCCCAAAGAAATCTCAAATAATGATTAAGACGATTAAAAAACGAAATAACGAAAAGAAAGGATTAAACTGGGAAAAAAATTTGAATCGATTTCAAATTTGGGTGGCGTTTAAAAATTTACACTTAAAAACTCGATATGGAAACACACTAAGTTTACTTCCGCAAGATTTACGGCGAACTGGCAGGGATGTGCCTTTAAAAAAGTCTTAGGATAGCGAGCAAAGCAAAGTCAAAAAATCATATGACAATACTCGCCATATTTACCAAAATTTATAAACAAAAAATAATGGAAACCATGTGAATTATGAGAATTAACGAATGGATTAAAAAGCGCAAAAGTTCATCAAAAACGATGAAAAAATGGGAATTACACGATAAACGCGACGAAGATTAAAGAACAAACAAAAGTGAAAAATGTCTGAAAATAAAATAGTAATTTGCCAAATAACTAAAAATTGCCGAAGCGTGGATGCCATTCAGGTTCAGGTAAGCCTTGAAGAATTTAGCACCGCCAAACTTTAAAACTCGAACCAACGACGCTTTATTAAATCGCAAATAATTCGCATAGCGAGGAAGTTCGATTGATAATCGTATGCTGCGATGCAACTTGAATACGATAGCTTTTTTGCGAGATAATTTAAACCGATTATGGACCGATTTTAGTTTACAGTTAAATAAATGAATAGGTCGTGAATTTCTACGATGCAAAAACGAGAAAGTGTGGGCTTGGCCCGATAAATTTAGGTTATCGTTCGCGATTTCAGGCTAGATCGATTTTTTTGAGAGCCCTCACCATTACTGGTTATACTCCTTGCTCCACTGGCTTGTTGTGCAAGATAAATGTGCCAGGAAGTCCCTCGGCGATAGAAGTACAGGTGAGTCGCCAGTATCACTCGGACAGTTTTAATCCTGCGAGGAGTAGAATCTCTGGATCCAAATTGAGCAACAACCCACTGAGCCATTCTAACTCCTCCCTCCCCCTCGGCCAGATCGATATTAAAAATTGAATGAAATTAAATCAACCTTATGAAAAACTTTTTTAGCCCCATTATTTCTTTTCAGGCTTCGTGCAGTAGTAAAAATTTGTTCTGATTTTGTTTAAAAAAAGCTGAAGAGGAACAATCAATTAAATGTTTTAATTTTTAATTTATAATAATGAAAATTAAAAATGGACGAATGGAGAGAAATGCCTATGAAGTGGAAGCACCAAAAACTATAGATTGGTGCTCGCTTAATAGGGAAAATCTTGTTCAGTAATTAATGTAGTCCTTAAAATTTGGTTGTCATTTACAGGCTATTTAAGATAAGAACTAAGTAATTAAGGCTTAATTCGTTATAGAATATGCAGAAAAAAGATCTTCACAAAGGATTCCGCAGATTTGATTCGACAACAAATAAAGCAAATTAAAAACGTCAGGAATAACTGATAAAAAGAAATGTGGTGAATGCGAAATGTCGAAAAAAAGGAATAACGTCAAGATGGTAGGTTAAAAGCAATGTTAATCAGGAAGAGTGAATCTATTGACGAAGCCATTTCTAACTGCCACAATTATTGGCGGAGAAAATAATTGCGGCTTGTTGGCGAGCATAAAATCGATGTTAATCACAGGGATCAAATTTACGCTGTTATTCCTGGATTTTAGATAAGCTGGTCATGCACAAGGGAAAAATTACCAATAAATTCATTGCTAATACACAAATTAGGATGTATGGATGTGGTTTCAGGCATTCGCGAATCGATTTTTGGTTTTTTAGCGAGACTGAGACGCGTTGTCATGCATGCTTCGATATATATCAAACAATTCACCTTCTCCAATTCAGATTGGCTTCATTTACCCAAAATTTTTTCTTTAATCTCTTTTTATTTAGCATTAATAAACATCAATAATGAATAATGAATAAAAGAAATGACATGCATAATTGCTTTAATTCACCGTTCATTTTTGCCTATTTTTAAAAAAAGTATTTATCATTTCACGACGAGATTCACTTTGAAAAGAACGAAAAGAATCGAATTTATAACTCATAATTAAATGGACTGTCATGTCGAAACATGTCGAAACAGTCATATCACTTACAAAATTGCTACGTTCTTAGATTCAGTTAACTCTCTTTAGATTTATCGCTAATCATCTAAATTCATATGGAAATAATAATAGTAAAGCAGAATTTGCAGGAACATTCCAATATTGCAGGAAAAACTTAAATAAGTGACGAAATTAAAGGAAAATGAATACATTTCCCTCCTGGTGCTCTAGAATTAAGCGATTGAAAGCGATAATATGATTCAAGCAACTTTCTTCTCGGTGATTGAATCGGTTAAGGGTGCTCGAATGGATGAAAGTGATTACAACTAGATGACCCCAGTTTGGAACTCCAAATGAAGTCAAACTACCATATGGATTTAAAAAATTTAACTTTAAATATTGGAATCGATTTTCCTCTTTTTCACTAAAAAAATCACCGCTAAAAAACTAGAATTAATCCAGCAACTTGAACGCCGAGCGAACAATACCAACACAACTGTTTTTCGATAAAATTACTTGAACAAATCTCATTACAAATTCCTTTTTGGCCGAACCTTTCCGTAGATTTAATGCATTTTGAACCATTTGAAGGAAAAATTGACTGAAAAAGGATCTGGAAAAACTTTAAAATTCAATCTTAACTTAAATTCCAATTTCGAGCAATGTCGCTCCTTAAAAAAAAACCAACAGGTAAAAAATACATTACGTTCCACTAAATGAAACGAAAAGATAAAAATTAAATATGAATTAAAAATATTTATTTTCCCTATATATATATGTATAATATATATACATATATATTATATATAAACCAAATTTTAGAACGTCAGCGAAAAAAAATGTCGAATGCAAAATAATATGTTGAATATATCGAAAAATGATTATGATTTTACGGTTACGATTTAAGTTTTATAAAAATCAACTAAGGTTAAAATAATAAAAGCATCTTTATGACTAAAAATTATTAGGAATTAGTAAAAAAAAATTCCATTTTCTCGTAAAAGAAATAATAAAAATGAAGTTAAATAAATATAAACTCCGCATTGTTATATTTTTTTCTGTTTATTTTAAATTAATACTTTCAATCCATTCGAATGACTTTAATCTTAAATTTAAGCATTTTGAAGTGAGTATATATAAGCAAACGTTTAAAGAAATAACGAGAAAACAAAAGAAAAATTTCGCATATTTCTTGTTTCTCGCTAAGAAACAATCTTCTTCACTTGATCTTCTGAAAAAAGATCCAATAATGCTGCCATCGTTGGATATCTGCAAATCGAATAGCAATAAAAAATTTAGGAACTATCACAAGTCTTTAATCGTGACATTTCTAAGAAAAATTTTAAAAAATTTCATGTACATATTTCAAAAAAGTTAATTAGATTTTATCGCATTAATTAGAAGAAAAAAAAGGATATTGATTAAAATGATATGATATGGAAAATGTATTAAGTAAAAATAACACGACATGTAGCGTGATATTACTTAAGTTTAAAATGGATCAAGCAATATGATCCAAAGCTCTTCGTGATAGATGCCGTCCAATGTTTGCTTGTCTAATATTTACGAAAAATCCATCATTAGATTATTGACGCCACGCTTAAAGAAATCTACACCGAACGTTGGTTAAACACTCAGCCGCAAATATTTTGGAAAATAATGTGTATAAATAATGTTGTTTAGCAATAAAATAATCAAATAATGAACAGCATGAAAAATGAAAAAAGGCGCATTAAAAACAATAAGGACCAGCAAATTAAGATTAAATACTTTTTTTTCATATAGTTAGAAGAAACAAATTTCGAACAAACCTCATCATAGAATGTCGACAACCAATTAAAATGAGTTTATGCTTGGCTCTTGTTATGGCTACATTTATGCGCTTCTGATCAGCAAGTAATTCACTGGCAATTTTGCTTCCATCCTCAGTCCACACTAGACTTAATATGATAATCGATTTCTCCTTTCCTTGGTACTGATCAATAGTATTAACTTCGACATTATCTAACATACATTTCAGCATATCACTATGATAACGGTAAACGCCAATAACACCAATATCCTCATTCTTTACTCCTGCCTATGATCAGATTAAGAAGAATCAAGATAAAAGGATAAATATAAATTTTACGAAATGTATAAAAAAATAAAAGAGTAATAAACAAATAGGACAAATACCCGAAAAAAACTGTCGCAAAGAGATTTGATAAGTTGGATTTCACCATTATTCCAAATATGCCTGGGATCTGCACCAACTTCCATACGATATTGAGAATTAATCGTTGATTGGGTATCAAGAAAAACAATCGCATCATTAACCCTATTAGACATGCATAACTGTAGATACTCTAAAAGTGAAACTTGATCGTTTCCTGTTAATTGATCAGTTTAATATTAATAGTTTGAATTGGAGCTTTAATTTTATGGAATAAAATTCTGAGATACATATATTCTCTCTTATCTCCAATCATAAGATCATTATAACAAAATTTTTTTCACAATTTGTTTCACAAAAAAACGCAGTGAAAACATTAAGGAAGAAATAAGGGAGATTTATTATTTATTATTTGTTAAATTATTATTAATTTATTAAATTATTGATGCAGAAAATTTAAAATATTTTTAAAAAATGCAGAAAAGATGTAATTACTCTAAATGTAATTACTAATCAATTTTCATCCAAAAATCGCTTTTTTACAAAATGATTCCACTCATATGAAAATATTGTATTAAAAAAAATACATAAGGAAAAAGAAAAAAATCAATTAAAGTAAAATATTCAAAAAAATGAATTTTAAGACCTGGTACGAATGATAAATCAATGTTTTCTAGTGATAACGACCTATATCGAGATTCAGCAACAGCATCATCGGCGCATGCTAATTTATTATCGTAAAACAATTCGCTACTCAATTTCGCAATTAATCTGCAAAAATATTTGTTAAAAAAAACCACAAAAAATAGACAAAATTAAGAAATTAATAAAGAAAATATGGGATATGAACATGATGCTATTGATTAAACTGCGCAAAAAAATAAGCATTTTAAGATATTTTTCACACCAGTAAAAAAAGCAAATGTCATAGGAAGTACTATTTCAAATATTATATTTCAAAACCTAAACTTTAAAATTAGAGTAGAAAGAAACTGGAAATAAAAAAACCACCTATTCATTCTATACTGATTTTTAAGAGCTATAAATGCATCATTTTTCTCTACCATTAACCGTTCCATTAACGAAACTGCCATTCCTTCATCCCTAACAAATTTTGTTCTATTAGAATGAATCTTGCAATATAGAACAATGCATATAAATAAGGTATAAAAAGCCTTGTTTAATCAAATTCGTTAAAGCAAACAAAAAATAATTTATAATTGAAGCAGGTATTATAAACAGATATTATAAATTGTGAAATTTAGCCACGATGGGACGACTAAAATATTAACTGATTTCGACAGCAGAAAAAAATTTTAGTGGTATTAAGCATTAGTTGTAGCCATTTATTGCTTAAAAATAATGGATAACCACCTAATTTACAAAATATTCAATAGACCATTGTGGAATTTTCCAAAAATTAGAAAAATGATATAAAATTATACTTAGCAATTCGCGATTTAACAAGAGGGCTCAATTGAAGTGGATCTCCAACGAGTATAAAAGTATCAGATTTACTCAAAGCTGGAAGCAATGCGCTTTCCACAATCAAAGATGCCTCATCCACGATAGTTACTGAGAATCGCCGATTCAATAAAAAATGTGAAGATGGAATACTCAGGCACGTACATGCAATTATTGGCTGAAAAAATTTGAATAAATGATGACAAATTTTTAGTGAATTATAGCAAAACTGAATAAAAATATAAAATTCTGTGCTAAGGAAAGGGAACACAAACTTTTGGCTACGATTACTAGGTCTACAAATAATCTATTTGATAAATTCATTTAACTTGAACACATTTTTATATTTTACATTCATTTTTTATTGATAAATATCTTTGATATTTGATATTCCTTTATGGTGCAAAAATCAATATTTAGACTGATTATATATGATGGTAAAGTCTGATCGAATGAAAATACTAATGCTAAATAATATTAGTATTTAATATTAATGGGAAAACCGTTTGATTGATTATGGCTCGCATTTTATCACATTTTTCATTATCGCCTTCAATTTTTGAGAGTTTTCCATCCAAAGTTATATTTCTAAATTCTTTATCATAGGAATTTCGCCCCAAACGTAAAATTTTACTGGGACAAATATGCTGAAACAACGAATTTAATTTTTTCGATCAATTTATCAGAATCAATGGTAATTTTAAAACTTCGTTAAAAATTTTGAAATTTCTGGAAATAATGTCGGTTAATAAAATAAATAATTAATGCTACTTTAATATTGAAAATCTTAAATAACCCAAAAAAAATTACTACAAATTAATTAAGAATTTCACCTTCATTAATTTCAATAAAATATTATCAACTGCAGAATGAGTATAAGCAGTCAGAAGAACGGAACGATCAAGTATTAACAAACATTGCAACAATATAACGATGGTAGTAGTTTTACCTAAAATATGTTTCAAGTAATATATAGCTTTCTGGCGTATATGCCTCTTCCGACTGCAAGGGATCTAAATAATCAAACAAACCTGAGCCTGGAAAGCCTTGTACAATCAAGTAATCTTTTGCCATAAGCGATTTCAATACGGCTCGTGCTTGTTCTTGATTTAGAATTTTTAACAAATCAGAAATTTTTGATAAATCACTTTTCTTTACTTTATCAAATTTTGGCATCCTTAGGTCAATAATTAATTCTCTTACTTTTGATCTGCAACACATAAATAAATAATATGCAGAACAATTAAAAAAATATTAAAAATATAATATTAAAAAATAATAAAAGAATGATAAGTGGAATAAAATTTGGGAGAAAAACTCACTCTTCATCTTTCGGCTTCATTATCCTTGTAACATTAGATAAATTTATTAAATGATTCGAAAAATTTTCATGTTTGTCGAAAAAATATTCTTGATTTGATTTAAATCGATTAATAACATTGTCTTTGAAGGATAAAGTTATATCTTTTTCTACAATATATCTTATGTTCGGAATAACAACTGGCAAAATAAGAATTTACTATTTGTGATGAAGAAAAGAACAAATTTTTCTCACTAACCCGCGACAGAAATTGTGGATCCGATGGCAATGCTGAATTTGTTGTCAGTAGAAACAATTATGAGATCACCAAGTGTAAATAGCGAATTCAAACGAAATTTACTAAAGAAATTTTGTTTTTTTATTATGTAAAAGGATATCATTCATCAAAGCACAACGATTAAAAAAATTGCATATATGAATAAAAATTACCTTTTGGTAGAAAATTTTATGATTAGGCCAGAATCATCTTTCATATCACTTTCGATAAACATCTCAGATAAGAAATGATCATCCGCGTGCCTAAAATTTTTGTGAATGATCGATTTTATATTAAAAATTTATTTTTATAATTTATAAATCGAAACTCTTATATGAATTTTCTTTTTTCCTATAAATTTAATTTAAATTATCATGATTTATCAGCAGAGCCAAAAACTTGGAGTGAAACATGTCAAAGACATTACTTTTTATGGTATTCAATTTTAATTTTAATACGGCAATATTACAGCAATTTTAAAATCAAAATAGAATCGAAATCATCTTAAAAGTCAACAGTTAACCTTTGTTTTGTGACCATTTTGAACATATTTTTAGATTTTAATGAATGGTCAGTTTTCCATTCCAGGAATATCCAATGAACCCATTTAGCAAAATAACGAAGATGTTCATCATTAAGATGAGACGTGAGAATTTTTACGAAATTTTGCATTGAACCCGATATTTCTTCTAAGTTATCAAAAGTTCGTTGCAGTAAACTACATGTTAGCGAATATGAACAAGAGGAACAGAAATGAGGATCTGGTAACGGCTCTAAATATTAATACAATTTTTAATAAATTTACCAATTAGCCTTAACAAAAATAAGCAAAATAATTTTAATTCACTATTTAAATTTCAAAAGATTTTTCTAGATTAAAATCTGCAAATAATTTGCAATGCGAATTCTCGATTTATAGACCAAAATGTACCATTATTTAATTTGAAATTTTGGCATAAAAAGAGAAAGATTATTAGGAATGCAAATGTGGAAAAGGAAAAAAAAACATAAAAGAGAAAAATCTGGAATATAAGATTAAACAAAAAGTCTAATAAATAACGAAATTCATTTACGAAATTTAAAATTCATTCAAATAAAATTCTAAAATATCACAATAATTAGCTAAAAAAATTACAAAAAACTGGAGAAAAACTGTCGAATTTCAGAGGAATCCTGTTTTGTAATATTCTTGAAATTATAATTACCATTTAGTTTACAGTACGAACAATTACCACAAAATAAAAAAAATTGTTTAAATATTAGAAAATTTACTAGGTAGAACATTTTCAGAACACACAAATTTGGCGAGTTCGTTTCTCATATGAATTATACCCTTCAAATCAGCTGCTTTAGGACAAATCTGATCCATATTACCATCTTTAAGAAACAATATTGTTCCATTCCCAATGGTACCCTGGAAAATGAGAATATAACGATTGTCTGATTCATTTTTATTGAAAAAACACAAACTGATCCATTAAAGACATAAAAATTTTTAATTAGAAAAATTTTTTCTATTTCGTCCTCATTTCCTCATTTTTGATTACTTATTTTAACTTACTTCGTTGAAAATAACAAAGAGGAAATATAGGACGAAATGTAAGCCATATGAAAAACAATACAAAGAAAGAAAGAAACAATAGTGCAAAAATCGTTCACCATTGGCCAATAGAAAAACACTGATGATTTAAATTTTTTGAAAAATACCTACCGCATTGATGGCTTGGCTTGATAGAGCCAAACAGTACAAAAGAATTTGTGCTGTGTATTCAATAGTAAGCCCACTCTTTCTCGTCTTTAATTCAAGTGGTTCTATCAGATGTGTTCCATCTTTTGTTCGCACCTTAATTAATTATTCAACATTCAAATAGCTAGAGTAAAAAAAATACTCCAAATTAATTTTAAAAAGTAACCTGCAGAGAAACGTCAACTTTGCCTTTTATACCAAGCAATGGAAAATGTATATTTTCTTCAATATCCATTACTGTTTGAATTGTCGAGCCATTTGGTAAAGTTTTATTGTTTGCATAAGGTTTTACCATATATGTTGTGATCCATTTAACAATGGATTCCATGTAAGGAATTAACTCATTTTCGACATAAAAATAAAGATAATCAATGAAAATTTTGAAATATTGAATTAAAATAAAATATTCAGTCTAGTGAAAAGTTCCGCACGGAAATTCCTGATTATATTTTTAATTCAAATTGAGATTTAAAATTTCATAAAGAAACTTGAACTATACAGAAAAAAATGCAGATTGTAAAATAAAAACCTCTGAGGAAGACCAATCCAAAGCAATAATTGGTTCCATAAATTTTGAACGAAGTTCTCGCCGCCATACATATAGTAACCATGTTTTAGTCAAGTATCGTGGTGTACGATATACTGCAATCTTAATGATTCTATTATTATGAGCAACAAATGAAATTTTTTAGCTAATATTACAGCTAATATTTTACAGCTGATATTTTGACAATTTATTGAGAAAAATATGCCAAAAATATGCAAAAAACTGGTCCACCTTAATTCGCCATTAATTGTGTCAAAGCACTGAATTATTAGTGTTCTATTAAAAGGAAAAAAAAAATTGAAAAAAAAACCTGAAACAAAGAATGAAGAATATTTCCCAGAAGCATATATTTATTAGGCTCACTACTCGTGTAATATTTTTCACCAAGAATTACTTTTCGTTTACAAAAGACTCCCTGAGAGATTGATGTACACGCTACAAGAATATCACTATTAACCACGACTAGTCCATTGGTCCAGTCAGCCACTAATTCCTGAAAAAAATTCATTGAAAATTTTAATGATAAAATGGAAAATAATATTTTGCAGCAAAATTGATATAAAAATCTAAAAAAAAATAAAAATATTTTGACAGAAACAAAAAAACAACTAATTACTGGGGCAACTATTTTCAATGCACTTTTTATCACAAAATTTTCGACTTTTTACCAGTGAACTACTTATAAATTTATAAATTTTTTTGTTTTATAAATTTTCTAAAATATTTTTGTCAAAATTTAAAAGCGAATAAAACTACGCCTTTTTTACCTACCTCCATTAACTCATTAAAAAATAAGACGACTGATTTTTGGCCAATATGATTAGAATTATAGAATAAATTTTTTGCAATTTATCACCGCATTCATCGAAAAACTTTTAAAAAAAAACAAATGATAACAAACTAACTGTTTCGCTAACTATTTTAGGATCAATTAATCGCAAAGATGAATTAGAATCGATTAATGTGTTGGACCATATATCGCGCAAGTACACAGTGATGTTTCGCTTCAATTCATACGAACGACAAGATAATTTTATACAATCTTCCGTTTTTTCTATTGAATCAATTCTTAAATCGAAGATTTTAGCCGAGACAAGGGAAGGAAAGTCAGCTATACCACTATCTAAATTTTTTACTTATAAACAAATTGGAATATATGAAATATACATATTTAAAAAAAATTCCCTTTCTCATTCTCTATAGGTGGTAAGGGCCTCGAAGATAGAGAATTCTGTATAATAAATTGGCTGTTCTTAGCCGTATGTTCTCTTAGATGGAGATCTCCGATGTAATTTCTGGAATTTGCTGAAACCACTTTTCCAGTGCTCCTATTATCACTGGGATATATATATATGTATGTAAAATATATACATACATATATATTTTATATACATATATGTAAATAGAAAAGAAACAAATAAAAAAGCAAAAAAATAAATAATATAAAAAATATACATTGGCTTCAAGATCTGAAAACAAATCACAGCAACCTCCCAGAATAGGGACCAGTTACCATTGCAGTTGCTGAACGCGATTCAAAACTATGAAAAGTTGGACAGCACCTTGTCTCGATACAAAAATCTTCTAACAATCTTTCTTCTAAGAATCAGACTTCTAACAATCTTCACATCTATTGGCTAAAAAAACTAAGAGCGGTTCAAGAATGCCTAACGACACGGATGAACCAGCTACTTGTGGCCGGCTCTCATCCAGACTTGTTAACAAAAAGAAGGACGATATTGATCTAAAAGACCTTCATAAGTGAACAACATCGTCAAACCAACCAATAATCTCTCTACCCACAATGTGGAAAGTCATGTCTATGACCATATGAACTAGTATATGAGTGCAGTTCAAAATGCATTAAAAACACCACAAATTCCAAACATTACCTATTCATAGGTAAGGCAATCGTTCTAGATTTAAAAACTCAGGAGACCAATCTGTGCACAGTTTGGATTGACTAAAGGAAAGCTTATGATACTCCACACATGGACCTGTGAATGTCTGGCTCTATAGAAAGTCAACAGGACCTTAAAGAAGCTTACTGAAAAATCAATGGGAGTGTGGAAAACGACACTTGCATTTAACTCGAAACAGCTTGCAAATGAGGAAAATACAAGGGGATGCATGTCTCCTTTATTGTGCATATGTACCAGATACTCTCTCAGAAAGATATCACTAGATATAGGTACAAACTCAAGATCGGAACGACCATCAGTCATCTTCTCTATATGGATGACATAAAGTTGAAAATGAATATGTAAAGTGAATATGTGAATGTGAAAAGTGAACGAGGAGACGTCGACTCGCTTATCCATCTAACTCGGACCGATAGAGAGGACATTGGGATAACATTCGGACTGGAGAAATGTGGCAGAATGGTGATAAAAAAAGGAAAGGTAGATGGTCATAACAAATAAGGACCCGCATTTATGACACAAAGCGGACATACGGGCTAGCTACAAGTATCTTGGTATCCTATAGTCACATGGTAACTAAGACGAGGAGGCAAGGTAGACTGCAACACCTAAGTACTGCCAAAAGACTAGACAAATCTTGAAAGAGCCAGCGCAATAGGAAAAATAAAATCCATGTAAATCCATAATAAAAAATATACATAAAAATGAAATGAAAAATGAATCGTATTAAATACCGCCTGCGGGGATACTAATTCGTTTCGTCCTTTTGAGTTCATGGTGTTCATAACCAATATCACCAGTAGCATATTTTGGAGAATTCGCTTCAGCTGATATTTCAGAAGTTACTTTTCTTGATCTTTTTTTCGGTAGTTCGCTCATTTTTCACTCTATAACAAATTTATTTCATCAGCCAAATAAATCAGATATGACCACATGATTCCATTCTGACAAATAATTTGCTTAATGAAATGAACATAATTTTGACAAATTGACTAAAGCTGAAATAATAAATTTCAATAATAAATGTGACAATAATTCTATGGCATCTATGGCATCTACCTCACTGTGATCTTATTAATTATCACATGGCTGTGAAACACTGGCAGTAAAATGAAAGATATGAAGAAGCATTATCACATATACCCATTTGCCTTTGCTATACGGTGCAGAGAATTAGTTATCACTTGCAGATATCCCCTTCTCCTTAGAGTAGCTAGTGGAGCTACTCTAATCAATAATGGTGCACACTGTTAGAAGAAAAACAAAAAAAATTAGCCAACAATCTTTGTCCCAACCAGAATAAGGAAAAAAATTATAAAAATCCCGAAAAAAGGCCAAAAAAATTTTTTGCCTTATATTATTGTTTCTGGGACTTCACTCCAGCTGGAAGAATGGGCTATTTTGGCGACACACTCGCACTTCCATCACCAAATGACTTCGGTTCGTTTGACATGCCAGCGGAGTGAGTGTTCTTAGGGAGAAAGTTATTTCTCAACATTTATTAACAAGTTTTTCATTTTTTATCGATAATTTCGTAGTGGCAAATATTTCTTTTCCTTTTATATAAAACTGGCCTAAACAACATAACTGACCGGAATGCAGGGCACGACTTCTGCCCTCAACAGTCGACCTCAACGATGAGCACACCTATCATAAAGAATCGCGGTGGTCCTGATGAGCCACTTGCTCGTACAGTCAACGACCAACAACAGCCAACGGCCAAGCATCCAGTCGGCTAAGCTAGCCGAGCTAGCAATGATAACCGCTAAATATTTGCTTAATTGATTAAATGCAAATTTGGCCATTAAAGCTTTTTTATTTCTTAGTCAAATACGAACTAAAGTAGAACACAACAAAAAGCTTTAAAATGGTAATAAGTGAGAAAGGAAAAACTGCTTAAAAATAAATGTTCAAATAAATTAAAAATTTTTAAATTTCCCGCCAAATATTTGAATCTCAAAAGTACGACTTTACAGTTCGTACTAGGTTGAACGGGAGCGAATTTGGACAAGGTGTTGAACCAGTCCTTTGTTGCAGCGCATTCCCTCGAAAGGTCGAAGTTGCAGGGTGTGGTCGCTTTGCGGCTGTAAATTTCCCGGAATTGCGTCAAAATTATGTTGTTTTTTTAAACTTTTGTGTAGCGTTTACAATCTTTTCTTTTTCGTATAGCTTTGGCTGTTGTCGGTTTGGCCAATTTTGCTAGTTGCTAGCGTTTTTCAAACCTTCCGATTAGGTGTCAGCTAAAAACCAACCTGTTGTTTCTTAAATTGATATGGAACTATCCTGATTGTATAATTCCAAAGCCTTCTTGCTTTTGTACCATCCTGGTGTGTGCTTATGGACAGCTGGCGTTTTTAAATGATTATTATTAGCTTATTATTTAATTTTACGTCATATTATTTAGTCATTTACTGAACTGAATGCAGCTTGTGTGCTCAAATGAAAAATCGAAGTGTTATGGACCAAGAATCTAATTTACCCACAGTTTCGCAATCAAGTTCCGGTAAAGAATTTTTATTTCCAATTTTCTTTTAAAGAAAATTGAAGCTCTGCAGTTCATTTGCTGTTTAATTTCCACTTCTAATTTCCACTTTAGTATTTCCACTAATTTCCACTTTTTAAACTGTAAACTTTGATTTCCATGAATGCTCTATTCATAATTTTTTTGTTCTTGTTTTTCCTGTGTGGCATAGAACATTGGTGATTCATGGAAGTACCAAGCCACTTTGCAATTTACAATTTAAAATATTTTTTTCTAGTCTTTTTAGTTTAATCTGCAGGATCATTGATAATAGAGCATGTTGAAAATGATAATATTCGCTCAAATTTGGCAACAGAATGGAACCAAGAAGCAAATATAAATGCGGACATTGTTGATGTTTTAGGTGAAATCAAAAGAGAAAAAGTACGATTAGGTCAGTTGTAATTCATTGGAACTTTATTCATTCATTTTTGATGTAAAAGATGAAATTCATTTTAAGAACAAGCGTTATTTGAATCGAATGAAGAATTAAATGCAACTCAGGATAAGTTGTTGAAGATAAGTCAGATGGCTGAAATGCAAAAAGAAGAGATAGAAACAATGTTAAAGGATCGAAGTGAAAGATTGGCAATCATGCGAGATTTAGAAGCCGATCGAGATCGTCTAATTATGGCTAAAGTTATTTTTTTAAATGTTTTTCAGATGGCTTTTTGATTTTTCAGGATGTCAATTAGATGATTAAGGTTTTTTTTTATTTTTGATAGTCTGATAGTTTGATAGTTGATATTCGTAATAAAATAGATAGGAGCATAAAAAAAAAGATAGATAAGAACATGTCCTAATAAAAAATTCATCTAATTGACAATTTTAGAATGAATGTGAGCAGAAATCTGAAATTTTGCTGCGACAGAAAGAGGATTATAATATTAAAATTGAGCGATTAATTCATGAAAAATTTCTTTTGACAGGTACATTCTGTTTTAACGTTCTGTTTTATCGAATAATGTCTGATAATAAATTTAATAAATTCAAAAACCAATCGGGTAAGAAATATTTGAGTGAATTCTAAATCGTGGCTTTTAAATTTATTCTGAATATAAATTGCAGGTGATATGCAACGTTTAAAGGATGAGCTTTCAAAACTAAAGAACAGTTATATACTTATGGAAAATCAAGTAAATGAAGCGAACAAAGCAAAAAATCTTATCGAAGTAATTTCATCTTCAAGTTTTTGGAATTTAATCTCTTCACCTTTTGGTTGCTGCTAATTTGATAGGAATTTTGTAGTTTGAAAAAGAACGTTGGGCTCAAGAAAAAGAAATCTATCTGCGAAACAAGGAATGGTTCATGGCTGAAATAAATGAAAGAGATAAAAAGTTTATTACGTTAAAAATTGATATGGTAAGTTGGATAAAAATCCTGTTCATATTTAGTTATCTAAATTTCTTAGAGCGTTTATTTAAAAATTTATTTTTTTGGTATTTTTTTTATAGAAAATAAATTTTTTTTTGTAAGATATAAAAGTTTTTTGATATTAAGCTTCGTATAACTGGTGAATCACAAGCAGAAGTAGCAAAATTAGCGGAAGAGCGAGATTCTGCGAAAGATGAGCTCAATCGAGCATCGCTTCAATTAAATTTTAGTAAAGAAGAGATTGCAAGACTAAACCAGCGAATTAAAGAGGTTTTCTTTTGTCGAAGTTATTAATATTATTTCATGAAGTTTTATTCCTATTCCTTTTGTAATTTTAGGCGTTGGAAACAAACGTTGCAAAAATGAATAAAATGGAAGAGGAGATGCTGGCGAGCGAGCGTTTAATTTCAATTTATAAGGAAGCAAGTGAGGATGCAGAAAAGCAATTAAAAGAAATTACTTTAGACTTTGAAGAGCGTGGAAGATTATTGGCACAAATGAAAATAGGTAAGGTTATTATTTTAAAGGTCGAAAGCATTGCTTTTAGTTCCAGATTTTCCTTTTTTTCTTGATATTTTTGGTTTAAAATATCTATTGAACAGTTTGATTTCATACATTTCATTGTATTTTTTGCTCTTATCAATTCTTATTTAACCAGATCGTTTTTTATTTATTTTAGCGTTTTTATTTTATTTTTATTTATTATTTTTTATTTAGCGTTTTTATTTTAGCGTTCGATTCAATGAATGTGAAACTAGCTGAGGAAGAAAAAGTTTATGAAAATCAGTTGAAAATTAAAGGTAATGAATGGTCTTTTGATTAATTGAATCTCTGAATTTAATTGATAATCACTGAATATTATTTAATTATTCGTTTTATCTTGCCTGTGGCATAAATTCAGCATTTTTATTGTGATATCACGTGTTCAGATAAGAAAATTGAGGAATTAAACGATGAATTAGCAAAAGCGAATGATTTGTTGAAGTCAAAACATCACAGTAAGTTTCCGCTACTTCTTTTATATATATCAGTAATATAAATTGAATTTATGAATTTATGTTATATATTTGACATTTTTTGTTTCATATATTTAGTCATATTTCAGTCTTCATTTTTGTTTAGTATCACTGACCGATGATGAAATTGCTGCGATGTCACCAACAGCAGCGGCAGCATCATTACTTATAAAAAGTGGAGTATCACTTACTGGCATTTACAAAGAGCATTGTCGTGTTATTGCAGAACTGGAAGAAGCAAAGCTTGAAAACAAACGAATTGAAGGATATCTTCGTGAATTAGTTGATGTATAGACCTATAGAAATTTGTAATAAATATGTTTTTTTTCGTACTTTTTATTGATAGAAATTTTTTTTTAGGATATCGAACATAAAGCACCATTGTTGGCGCAGCAACGTTTTGAATTTGACAAAATGACTAATATTTGTAGCAATCTAACTACGCAGCTAGAAACAGCGGATGAAGATAAGCAACGGCTACTGTCTTCGCGTGATGCGATAGCTCGCGAACTTGCATATACTAGAGCTGAGCTTGAACGTTGTCAACGGGATAATGAGGATCTAAATAGACAGGTTATTATATGTATTAACATTGTTTTTATTTAAGGTTATAGCTAATATTTGGGGATAGAATGGTTCAGTGGGTATTTGCTCGATTCGGAGTGCAGATGCTGAGGTTTTATTCCTTGCAAACCTGTCGAAAAATCGGGGTCATGCTCACGTCCCACATGTATTTCTATCGTCAAAGGACTCCCTGGTATATTTGTCCAATGCGACAAACCAGCGGAGCGAGTTTAGCCAGTAATGATGAGGACGCCAAATTATTTCATAATTTTTTTTCTAATTAAGAAAAGAAAAAAAATATAAAAAATAAATATAAAAAAAAAAAATATTTTATTTTACTTCATCTTTGTAATTATAATTTTTATAAATCTATTGTTTTAAATGATGCATTGATTAATTTTTAAGCTTATTGAATTGTTCGAAATGGATTTAGGTGCGTCATTTATTGCACACTATTGAAATAGATAAAGTGTCTGGCCGTGATGCAGATTCGCCACCAATAAGTGCTGAAGATCGAGATATTCTCTGGTCTTCTATTGGTCAGCTTCAGCAAGCAAATCAAAAACTTATGTCTGATTTACGCGAAACAAAAATAAATCAAGATAAAATGGTTCAAGAAGCAAATAGCGCAGAGTGGGTTTTCAAAATTTTCATTTAGACGCATAGAGATATCTTCTATGAATGAAATAAGCCAGTTGCAAATCTATTTAGATTTGTACTATATTATTATTTTTAAAGGATAAATCAATTAAAAGAGTCGTTAAATGATGCAATAAAGAAATTGGAAAGTTTGAGAGACCAAAATTCAAAGTTGAATCTTGTTGTAGAAAAACTTCAAGAACAGCGGGATTCCTATAAAAACTTAATTTGCGAGAGAAAAACTGATGAGGAGGTAAAAATTTTATACAATTTTATAGTATACAATCATTAATTTTTTCCTACTCAGTTATTTTTTTTATGAGGCACATAATTTTAAACAATTTTTTTAACTTCAGACATATTAGGCTTTAATAATGATTTAATAATATTAATAATTTTTATTTTCATGTTTTTTTATTAAGTTGCATTTTTTTCAGTCAGTTATTTTGTCGAATCGCGTAAGAGATTATGAAACACAAATTAAACAATTGGAAGAAAAAGCTGAACGTGCTGAAAAATGCCTTGAACTTTTTAGACAAGAGAAAAAATTATCAGATAAGTAAGTTTTTTATTGAGTGATTCCAATTTCAGTGTGAAAAAATTTCCTCTCAATTTTGAAATAAATCAGAAATTCTTTTACAATTTAAAATATTCCTTAATTTCTAAAATTAAAATTATTTCTTTGAAATTTTCCTAGAATTTTGCAAGATCGTATCGATTATCAATTTGAGTTAGTTGCTGAATTAAGAAAAACGAATGGGAAATTAGAAGGCGATATCGAAATGCAAAAGCAAATGCAAAATATTATGATGAAACAAGTTTGTAAATTTATATACTAAAAGGGAACGAAGGAAGCATTAAGGATTTTTCAAAGATTTTTTAACAGCGCGATTTTGTCCGCATCATTTTTGCTTTTTTTTTTTTTAAGAATGAAAACGATGCTAATGAATTAATAACATTGCGAGAGAAAAATGCTGAATTAGTAGCCAAACTCGAAGCTTGCAAAGAAAGATTGCAAATATTAGAAAAAGAATTGATTAATCATTCTTCAGAAAGAGCAAAACAAAGGTATAGAAATTTTGGATTTTGAAATCGTGTGTTTTTAGAATAAAATATTTTTTTTGCTATTTGATTTTGTTATTCATTTTAGATTACGCAGTTCATTGTTTTTTCTTAAAAAAATTTATTCTATTTACCGATTCTCTCTGTAAAATTTCACTTTTAATTTCACTCATTTTATACTATTTTATGAAAATTTTAGGAGCGATATTAATTCTTTGAATGAGGAAATCGCAACACTTCGTTCTCGTGAAGCTTGTCTTCATCAAGAACTTATAGTCATTCGTGAATCAAACTACAGCAATGAAAAGATTGCCAACACTATTCATCAAATTCAAGTAACTCTCTTGATTAGAATCTCTCATGTATTTTTATTTTTCTATTAAAAATACTGCAGATTATCAAGATAAAAATTAAACAGCGTATTCAAAATTTTATCTCAGAATTATTACTACAAAGTTCAGTTCTGTTAATGGATTGACTATTTAGAGATTTTTTTTGGTCTTTTTTAAATTTATGTAGTTACGTAGTAAATATATATCTCAATATATCTGTTTTCATTTTATATTTGATATTTTTTTTGCTTAATTCGAGTGTTTTAAATGCTATTTATAGAGTCGTCTAAGTGATGCAGAAATCGAGAAAATAACTCTATTAGAAGAGCAGTTAAATGTTGCAAAAAATGAGAATGACAGTTTAAAGAAATTTGTGGCTGACATTACAGAGCAACATCGAATTATCAGTCTTGATTTAAAGGTTGTATAATTCAAATTTTCCAGAAAATTGTAATTTCAGAATAAGGAATATGCTTATTGATTTGTTTATTAATCTTTAGATTGATATATATTTAGATGATGTCTAATAAAATTGCGAGTGAACGAGATCAAGCATTAGCAAGTAAAAAATCTGCCGAAGACAAACTGGTTTGGAAAGAAAAAGAGTTAACTCAACTACAAGATAAACATGATCAACTAATTAGGCAGCTAAATGCTCCAAACACTGCCATAGGTGGTTCTACTACAAATTTTAATAGTAGATATTTTTGAATTAAGAAATTTACTTGATTTTTCTTCATTATGGATCATTCTTTATATTCCACTGATTGTATATAGTTACTTTTTTGGTTCTTTTTGGTTCTTTTTCGGTTATTAATGATTCTTTGATACCTTTAGTTTTTCAATTTGCTATATTTTTTAGACGATGTTGAAGGTCAGAAAAAGGAAGCGCAGTTGTTGCGAAATAAAAACAATTATTTAGACAATCAGTTAAAAGAAATGTCTGATAAATATGAAGGTTAATTTAATTTCTTATGTTTGGTGAATATTTAAGATTTAAAAAAGAAACAAAATATAAAAAATATCAAAAATATTATTCGTCATATTCTGTCCACTGAAAAAAATTGGATAAAATTGTTTCTAATTTGTAGTTCTTGAAAAAAAATTGACCATAAAAGAAAAAGAACTGGAAGATGTGGTAAAAGTCAGCAATAATATTGAGTCAACTTTAGTTGAACAGAGCAAAGTAAGTTATTTTAATTTCGCTGTTTTATGGGATTTCGCAAATTATTTCTTGATTTTTTAAGGATTTTTGAATTAATTATGCGTCAATTATGTTTACGTTTATGTCAGTTATAATTATATTTTTTAGTTCGTCGAAGCAGAACAACGTAGTTTACAGGCAATGCTCGAATTAAGCCAAAAACAGTTGGAAGCGAGGTGTTATATTGTTCCACTTTAAATGAAGTTTTCATGATATGAAGTTTTTTGATGGCTAGATGAATGGTATTTTTGAATTTCTAGAAGTGGAAATTTTTTGCTAGTTTAATTCTCCCATCATTTCGAAGCATTAATGTTTTTTTTTTCATAGATTATTCTAAAATTTTAGCACTGTTCTGGTGAATGATCTACGAAAGGAAATAGCAAATCTTGAGCAGCGTATTGATGATGAAGCGTTCAATTCAGAGCAAATGAAGATAAATGCACAGAAGGAATTATTGGAAGTGGAAAAGCGATTAAATATATTAGAAATGGAAAAATGTAATGCTGATTCTCAAATCAGTGATCTTAACAATCAGCTACAGTTGATACAAGTGGAGAAAATTTCCGTTAGTTGATAATTTCAGTTATTATTATTAATAAAAAGAATGAATTTTGTTATTTTTCGATTGTCCATTAAGATTTCTATATAAGTTTTTATGTCATAAAGGGTTGGAATTTATTGGTATTTTACAATTATTATATTTATATTTATTTTTCAATATTAAAAGGTGGAAAATGAACGCAATAAATGTTTGGAAGAATTGATGAAAGCAGAAAATCGTTTGAAAGATTTCGATAAGGAGCTTATTGAAAAAGAAAATTTAAATACCGAAATAAAAAATGAATTAAAAGAATGTCGGCGCCAACTCACTTCAGAAATTGTAAATTTCGTTTTTTTGCTTACTATAAATAAAATTATTTGGGATTATTTATACAGATTATTTATTTATTAAGAATAATATAATCTTAAGAGTAGAATAATATAATATTATTTTTTATATTAATTTAATATAATATAAAAAGAAATCAGTACCTTCCTACGTTAAGATCTGTATAAGAAAATGTTTTTTTTGGTATAAGAAAATGTTTTCTATAAAAATTCAATTATAAACAATTATAAACGCAGTGTTCATTGTTTTTTCTTTAAAAAATTTGTTCTATTTACCGATTCTCTCTGTAAAATTTCACTTTTAATTTCACTCATTTTATATTATTTTCTGAAAATTAATATAATATTAATACATATTTCATAGGCGATATTACGTGCTGAAAATAATAAAATTAACGAATCACTGAAAGAAGCAAACGAGGAAAATGTGAATTATTCGAAGAAGATAGACCAACTTAATGAGAACTTAGTCAAAGTATTTTTTGTTATTTTTTTAACGGCATAAATTTTATTAAATTATATTATTTTCTTGTATATCATTGGATTTTTACCATTTTTTTTTTAAATGGCTGTTTATTCCGATAATTTTTTTAACTCAATTTTTTATTGCGAAGAATTATTTTATTTTAAATGCTTTAAATTTGAGAACCAAATTGAATATTTGTACTACATATTTATGTTACAGCTGAGTGAGCGCATTTTGTTTTTGGAAAGAATTCAGAATAATTCATCCACAGAATTTGATGATTCTTCACGATCAGTGGCGCCCCTTCATGAAGTCATCAAATACTTACAGAATGAAAATCATCTGGTATTCTTTTAACTTTTTAACTTTTGAAAAAATTTAAATATTTAAATAGATAATTTTCAAATAAAGGTGCCTGCAGTGAATAAAAGATCGAGTAGGTTTGATTGGTCAGACATGAAAATATTTGTTTCGAATGGAAAAAAATTGGTCTTATACATTTTCTTTTTTATTGCATTCATTTATTTCCCAAACTTGAACAAAGCAAAGCATTTTATCTTGAAAATAAATTTAGGCATTGGAACGATCAATGAATGCAGAATTGCAGTGGAAACGTCTGCAGGCTCAACAGTCAACTATAAATGATCAACGGATACAACTGGAAGATGAAGTTCGAGAACTCCGTGGTCAGTTGGAGGTCAGTTATATAATTTGTATTGTTAATTTTTTTTAAATTATTATTTTTAAATATTATTATTATAATAATTATTATTAAAAAATTATTTTTTAAAATTTAGTTTATAAATTTTCATCAGTTACATATTTTCAAAATTTATTTTAATTCTTATTTTTTATGCAGTAAATAAATTAATTTTGAGTATTCAGAATCAGGTTCGTCAATTAGCAGAAAAAGGTGAAATGGCTGAACGTTTGTCTGTTTTTGATGCTGTTCAAAATGAAAATCGTTCTCTGAAAACGCAGTTGGAAACAATATCAACTAATTGTAGTCAATTAAGGAAAAAGGTATTTATCATTCATTTCTTTAAGATACTGGGTATTGGTTTTATTATTTTTTCTTTCGTGTGTAAGTCAAAATATGGTATATTAGGGGGTTTATGTTCTAGTAGTCAGAGTGTTTCTTATGAGGTTGTTTTTTCTATTTTTCTAGTTTCTTTAATATTTGAGATTGGTTGTTATAGTTTTAGTTTTATTTTTAATTTTTGTATTTTTTAATTTGTGTTTTTGATTTGTGTTTTTTTATATTTATTTTGGTTTTAGCGGAGTTAAATCGTGCTCCTTTTGATTTTTGTGAAGGTGAGAGTGTGTTAGTTAGTGGATTCTTTCATTGATAAATTTTGATATTTTTTAGATTATTGATTTGCAAGTTAGTTTAGCGAATTCTGAAGCTGAAAGAATAACAGGAAAATCGAAATTGCAAAACGTCATGAATGATTTAGAAAACTATAGAAAAGAGGTAATATTTGCCATTTATTATCAAATTTTGTGAGCTAAAGTTAGTCCTTTCTCAAAATAATAAATAATAAAAATTTCAGTTATGAAAAGTTCTATATTTATTTATCAAATGTATAATAAAATTAGCTAATAAGCGAATTAAATTTTTACAGCTGAATTTATGGAAAGAAAGGCATTCACAGTCACTAACTACTTTAGCAAAGTTTGGACCACAAAAAACAATCGATCTAACGTAATAGATATTCAGTTTATTCGATGCTTTTTTTATTTTGTATTCAGTTGGCTAAATTTGTTATCAAGTTTTTTTCCAATAATATGTCTTTAATTAAATATTGATATAATTTTAGAAGCGAAATCGAAGTTCTTAAAGGCAAGATATCGTTATTGACCAGTGAACGTGATTCTTTAAAGAAGGACATAGAGAAAATCAAACACTCTTCTGAAACTAACACTTCATTCAGGTTACATTTGCCATTTATATAATCTTTAAATAGTTTTTGATAATAAACTGTTGTTAATATATTGTTTTTATAGTCCTGAAGAAAGCAGCGCTAAAGAAGAACTTGAAAAGACGAGATTGGCTTATCGAGAGCTTCAAGCACGTTTTGATCAGGCTCGAGTTATTGGTCGTAAATATCGTTTACAGTCACAAACTCTGGAGCAAGAAAAGGATGCCTTAGAAAAACGACTTGTTGCAAAAGTTGATGAAGCAACAAAAGATTCACTTTCCTCTAGTGGTGAAATATCGAAACTTAAGCAAGAATTGGTTGCAGCACGTAGTGAAATTGAAAAATTTAAACAGGTTTTAATTTTTTGCTGAATTTTTTGCGTAATATCTATTGGTTTGTTTTACCTTTTTTTTATAGTTTTTTTACTTTTGAATATTCTATTGTTTTTATGATGTGTTTAGTTGGTGTTTTTGTCTATTGTTTGTTGTTTAGTGGAATTGTTAGTAAGTCAAAGTATGGTATGTTAGGAGGTTTACGTTCCAGTAGTCAGAGCGTTTCTTATGAGGTTGTTTTTTCTATTTTTTTAGTTTCTTTGATGTTTGAAGTTAGTTGTTATAGTTTTAGTTTTGCTTTTAATTTTTATACTTTTTAATTTTTATACTTTAATTTTTGTTTTTTTGTATTTGTTTTTGGTTTTGGCAGAGTTGAATCGTGCTCCTTTTGATTTTTCTGAAGGTGAGAGTGAGTTAGTTAGTGGGTTTAATGTTGAGTATTCTAGTGTACCTTTTGTTTTGTTGTTTTTAAGGGAGTATGGTAGTTTATTATTTTTTAGGGTATTGTTTTCTGTGTTATTTTTTAGTTTTAGTATATTGGCTATTTTTTTATTTTTTTTTCTTGTAATTTTTGTTCGTAGGTCTTTTCCTCGTTTTCGTTATGATAAGATGATGGGTTTTTTTTGGTTTTGTCTTATGCCTTTGGTTTTATTTTTTTTGGTTTTTAGTGTTTTTTATTGGTTGTGAGGTGTTAGCTTAATTTTAAAGTAAGAGATTTTTGATCTTTTGATGGTTTTCACACTTTATCATTTTAGCATATTGGTAATGTGTTTATTTTAAGAGTAAAAGAATTGAGGATGATTAACAGATTTTGAGAGGTTTTCTAAACTTTTCTTGATTTAATTATCGTTTGTTAGTGTTTTTTTCTTTGTATTTTTTGTTATTTTTTTTTGTAGTGTTGTTTTTTATTCAAGAATTTGGTGGTTTTTATGAATTTTTTAATGGTTTGGGAGTTGGTTTTTGTAATTATCTTTTTGGTGGTGGTGATAGATATTTTGTTAAGTTTTTGTTGGTTTTTGTTGTATTGGTTATGTCTTTTAGTTTTTATCATTATTTAAGTTATACTGAGGATGTTTGGTGTAATGTTGTTTTTAGGGGTAGATTGTCTATGGTTGGTCTTTTAGTTTCTTTTTTAGTTTGGTTGGTTGGTTTTATTCATTTTTTAAATTTATTTGGGTGTTTTCCTGAATTTTTCAATTATTTTAAATATTTTAATTTGCTTGTTTAGAAAGTATTTCCACAGCGCACTGGTTGGCCAGTAGATGTCGGATCAAATAGTGCTGCCAAAACCAATGCTGTTTTGCAATCCCAAATGAAACAAATTGAAGCTCTCAATCAACTGAACAAGGTTAGTTTTTTTTTTTAAGAGTCCTCACCATTACTGGTTAAACTCGCTCCACTGGCTTGTTGTATTGGGCAATATACCAGCGAATCCCTTGGCGATAGAAATACAGGTGAGTCGCCAGCATCACCCGGATTTTTTTGTACTGGACTGGATTTTTTTGTACTGGACTTCCTCTCCGCGAAGAAGCGAACCTCAGCATCGACGCTCCAAATTGAGAAACAACCCAGTGAGCCATTCTATCCCCCTAGAACAAGGTTAGTTTACTTACTATTATCCAGTTATTACCAAAAATTTTTTCTCAATTGCTCCATTCCAGATTCTATTTTCCACTTTCCAGGAATTAAAAAATCAATTGGAAGAGTTATCCAATAAATTTAAAGAGAGTCAAGAAAAAATTGTCGAATTAGAAGGCAACTTGCGTGAATTATATTCCGACAGTGAAACAAAGGGTACGCTTTATTTTCATTTCTTGGAAATCTTTGTCTGTTTCGTAGATTTTAAACTTATAGACTGAATAATTTCCAGATGAACTGCGTTTTCGTTTAAAATCGATTACTAGTATGATGTGCAAAAAGGACGCAGAGAATGCGAAACTTCGTAACGATTTGGAAGGTGTAATGCAACAAAAAATGGAACTTGAAGCGCAGACAGAGAAAATTGGTTCTGAACTTTGTGAATGCAAACGACAGTTGAGCACTTGTCTTTCATCCCAACCTATTATTCGTGCATTAGATCTTGCAAAGCCTGTTACGTACGTATTAATCTTTTTTTAATATATTTGGATATGGACAAGAATTAAAAAAGATTATTCATTTTTTCACTTGATCTGAATTGTTTGGTGATTAGTATTCTATTTTTCGATTTTACATCCTTTATGATTCAGATCCTCTTCAGCGGTCATCTTTCCAGACGAAAAAAAATTTCCTCCACAAGATGTAATACCTGTATCGGAAGACTCCAAATCCTTTTCAGGTTTTTAATTTTTTATGGGAAATTAATTTATATATCACTAATTTTTAATTAAATTTTAAATTTTCTTGTTATTCAGCATTATTTTTCACTGAATCTTTGCCAACAACTATTAAACCAGAATCTTCAACAGGAACTTCAGGAAATTTTAATTTAAAAGTTAATTCTTCATTTAAAAGTGAAATGGAGGTACAGAAGGCAACTCTTGTTTCCACTACCATAGAACAGGTATTATGCATAATTTGTAGAGAATGTTGATTTTTCTATTATATTTCTCAAGTTCGATTTCCCATTTGTTTACTTAATTATACTCCTGTTATCCTATTAGATAACCTTCCATTTTTCATTTTTAAGCACTAAATTTTTTTTTCTCACGCTATAGTTTTTTTTGAAATAATAAATAGCTTATTGCTTTGAAGGCGATGAAGAATTTTTGAAGAATTTTTCTTAAATAAAATAAACTTACTAACTTGTCACATCCTTGAAAATTATTGTTAGTTTAAATTAAGTTTTAATATTTTTATGGCTATCTTAATTTTCTTTTATCATAGTTTTCTAGAAATTAATTTAATTTAAAAATTTTATTCCATTGTAAAATTTTAATTTTTGGAAATATTTAATTTTGCATATTTCATTTTCAATGAGTAATTTAGAGTAATACTGTTAGTCAGTCAAGCACCATTTTCGCCATTGCTCATCCATTTGGAAATGCTCAGTCGAATGGTAAGATTCACTGATTTTGTATTAAATGGAAAGTTTATGATACAGACATGGTTCTCTTTAGTAATTTCGGGTAGTGGTGATGGCACAAATATAATAAGTAGCAGCGGCGTTACTCCCGGTTCCGCTCAGATTGCAACAACTAAGTCATCTGAAATCGCAAATATCATGGCCACCCGAAAGAGGCCTCTTGATTGCGCCAGGTTTCATTAATTTGTCGGAAAATCTTTTCATTTCCATTTGTTTGAAAAACATTTAATTGATATATTTAGTGATCAGACATCAAGTAATGAGGCAGATTTTGATACCCAAGAAACAAAGCGTCAGCGTGCCAGTCCCCTCGGGCAGGTGAAATTTTTTAGTTTTAAATTTCTAAAATTTTAGAAATACTATTTCGTAGTGTAGTATTTGTAAATATTTCTTTTTAATTGATGTGTTATCAGTCAATTTATATGATTTTTTGATTATGAGCTAGTTATTTTTCTGAAACTGTCTTTACTTTTTATTCACGAGTGTCTTTCTTGATGGTTAATATCCAATATTTTTCTTAATTTTATTTAACTTTTTGCTTTCAGTTCTTTAATTTCTTTAATTTCGCATTCCACTTTTTACTTTAATTTAAATGTTTTACAATGCAAAAATAAAAATATTGTAAGATGTAGGTTTCAACTAGTGGACGGCTTATTCAGCTGAATGCTAATTTGAGACTAGAAGAACAAAAATCAAATATTTTGGATGATGATGGAGCTGAGCAGGAACAACAAGAAAATGGTATCATATTTAATCATATTAGTTATAAATATATCTTTTTAATTGTGGATATTTTCAATTATTTTATTGTTAATTATTGTTAATTGTTAATTATAATTTTTACCTTGCAATATTTTTAGTTGAAACCACAACGAACCCTGAAATTGAAGGAACGAATAAGGTCGATTTAATCTTATCACATTTCTGCATAACTATGAGAGAATTATTTATGGTAAATCAGCAAATTTAGTTGACGAACGTTGTCGCTGAAAATGACACAGAAGTGGGTGTTATGGAAGATCTTGGAGAATCAAATTCCAGAGCAAATGAAAATTCCCCGGATCTTGAAAGGAACGTTGGAGAAGATGAAATCATACTCGATGATGATGAGGATGGGGATGACGACATTAGCTATGGGGTAACAATTGTTCATTTTTCATTTTTGATTTTCTCTATTATCATTCATTTCACTGGTGGTCAGTGAAATCATTTTTCGGGAGGGGTTTAAATGAACATGTTTAGGGTGCGGAAGATTCTGATGAAGAGATGGAAGATGAGGAAGGATATGGTCATTATGATGAAGATGAAGACGATGTTTTTGATGATGAGGAAGACCCTGATCCTCAATATATGTTTCCACGTCATGTTAGTAAATTACTTTATGTGCTTGTAATTTCTTGAAAATTTTATCTGTTAATTATCTGTTTGTCTGTTAATCTGTTTTTGTTATTATTTTTATTTGTCCACTTTGTTTTTATTTCGAAATTTTAGCGTCAAATGGATGATGAAGTTATCGTTATGGACGAAGAGAATGAAGATTCTGGATTACCGGCTGATCAATCAACCGATGAAGCCGATGAAGGCATTGGACGAATTTCTAATCTTACTGATGAAGCAAGCATTGATGAACCACACGAAGCAGATGTCGAGAATAGTGATGGTGATTTAAATATTTTTTACTGTAATTCTAATCCAAAAATTTAAATTAAAATCTTCAGCTAATCGTGAAATTGTCCTTATCTCACAGCGTGTCGTTGGAAATGATCATTTGGAGCTTCAACAAGGTACTGGATCTCAGTTAAGTTCCAATGATGCTTCTGGTCGATTTGCGCCTGGTGAAATAAAAAGGTAAAATCTTTTTTCGTACGTTTATCAAATTAACTTCGAAAAATCAACTTTGCTGGTGTTATAGAAATGAAAGGTAAAAAGTACGGAATTTCTAAGTGAATAGTGAATTGAAAGGATTAAGTTCTCATTTACTTTTTATCGAATTAAATTTATAATTATTGCAGTGGTGAGTCATCTGAAGCGACATTTTCGCCTAGTAGGGAAATGGAATTATCTCAGTCGGCGCTTCCCAGTGAGAATTCAAATGGTTTGATTCGTATAACCTTCATTTTTTCATTTATGTTTTCATAGTTCATTTTATTATCCAGTCTAATCACATGAGTATATCGAAATTCTTTAGTTCAAGTCATATTTTAATATTTCAATATTTTAATATTTTAATATAAATATTTTAATATTTTTCTCTTCAATAGACATATTCGACTTATTTGCAATCCATTTCCCGGGTTTTCATTTTTATCATCTAAACTAACTGATTATATGGTGAGAAATTATAATTCTAATCTTATTTGAAGTTTTGTTTTTCAGTGGTTAGTGCATCAGGTCTTTTGGCTTCGCGAGGCTCTTCTCCATTTATTGGTGAAACTTTTTTTGTTTTTCAGCATGCTCTTGCTATTGCTATTCTTATTTTTATTTATTTATTTATTGAAAACCAGCCAAGCGGGGCAGAAAAGCCATGTGCTTATATTAATAACAACAGTTAAAATAACAAATAATAAGAATTAATGAAAAAGTAATAATAAAATAAACAATTTAAAGATGAAATTAAGAGGAAATTGCAAAATAATATAATATATATTATAATATAGTATAATTCGAAATAACTGTAATCGGATGGTAAAAATCGAGATTTTATACTTCCTGCATAATGTGAACTTTTTAAATAACTGTAATCGGATGGTAAAAATCGAGATTTTATACTTCCTGCATGATGTGAACTTTTTAAATAATATCATAAATAATATTATCTATTCTTTTTTTAAGGATAGCTAGGGATGTGCACAAGCTATATCGTTCGATGGTTTATTACAGAAATTAATATTACGAATAAAGAAATCATGAGTCTTTAGTTTAGTTTTAGTAATTTTAGCCCATAAGTTCTTGTTGGATTTAAATTTAACCTAAAATTATATTTTAAACAATCTA